ATGTTAGAATCCCTTATTAGAAGCATCAGGAACACTTATCCTATCAGGACAATTCATTAATGATTAAGGGAAAGATTTAAAACAATTGTTTAAATCCAAAGGAAGTTGCTTTTTAGAAGACTTAAAGCAAAAGAAGTGAATTTGAATATTCGTTAAAAACATTGCAATTATAATTTTAATCATTTTCTTATAACTTTTTTATTAATATGTGTTTTTTATTAGTATTTAAATATTTGGACAATATTCAGATGTTAGAAACAACGGTTATAAATTAATATTTATAGACGTCCAATACACTATTCAATTTATAATATAAACTTAGTAAACAGGTTTAGTCCTAATAATGATTACTAATAGTTTAGTATAATTTAGATTTTCAGTTTATAATAAAGACAATGATACCTTTAAAAGCAAAGATAAGAAGAAAGATACATTTCAAAAATTAAAAAATAACCTTAATTTTAGAAATGCTCTTAAATGATAACATTGAGATTGAATGATTTTAAAATTACTCTACTCTAATCTTGGTCATATTTTCGTAACCTGTTATTTATTATTTTCAATTGATATTAAATGATATTAAAAGTATTAGAGGACTGAAAAGATATATTAATCATTATTAAGTATTCTAAACCCTAATAGAATTTAGAGATCATAATTATATCCATCCCTAACAATAATCTTAAATTAGCTCTATATGAATTGCATTCAAACCAAGCGAGCTACTTTTAACAATAATTTTGCATATATATAATGAACAGTTATTAATCACTCAGATAAGAACTATGTAATCAGACCTCAAACTGATTTTTTTACAAATTAATTAATATCTACACAACGATAATATCAGTCAACTAGTTCAATTTTATTAATTGATTATATAATGAATAATTTTTAAAAAATAACAAAATTAATCTTCTCTATAACTTTGAATTTAACCCTATTAGACAATATATTTTTAGAATTAATTAAATTTATTAATATTACAGAAATGTAGATGTATTTCTCTTTAAAAAATTTAAATTACACTCTCTGATATATAAGTGAATTTAAAATAAAATTTCACAAGTCCTTTTAAAAATTAGTTCTCCTCCTTTCAATTATTGCTCCTCTATTTCTTTTCTCCACTACTTCTATTCTTCCTTTTTACCTTCTTTGCGATAAAGTTTTTTTTTTTGCGTTCAGAAGACATAAAAGTTTATGTTTTCAATAAAAGACTGCCACAAACAGAATCAGAGCCATCTAAATTTAGTAATAATCTACTCCAACAAGGATATCTTTCTATTTTAATCTAAATTTGAAATTTGGTAATTTCTATTGGCATCCCTTAATTGGATAGAGTAATCCTATTGATGCAATTTTATTGAGATCATAAACATTTGGAACATACTCAATTGGAAGGTTTAAAATTTTGAACACTCCATTTTTCATTTTGAGATAAATGTATTCCTCTAGTAAACTAGACACCAATCAAAAGTAAAATTAATAAATTTTTCTTAATCAATTATAGATCAAACTTCATTACTAAAAAATAATTTTACATTCTTCATGTTACAAGAGTTTTCCACTCAGTTGGAGAATGGATGATTAAATCTATCTATCACGTAGGAAGCTTTTTGATTAAGATGAACTCATTCACAAGTTATTTACAATTTTTCATCTCTCATCTTAAAACCTTTTTTCTGTTTGCTTTTATTTTCGGCTCAGCTGGTAACATAAATCTTACTTGTTTAAAGTAAATTTCAAAATTGAAGTTCTAAATAACAATGATTCTCTAAATTACTTGAACCTACTTTTATCAAATCAATCTCGACAGAAATTGGATTTGATAATAAAATTGCTTATTAAATTGTCTTGTAATAATCTTTACATTTTTATCTAATCATGAAAAAAATCAAAGTTGCTGTTATAATCTCCAATCAAATTCAAATCAAATTCTTTATACTAAAATCTTAAAATTATGTATTAAAAGTTCAATATTAACTTTATTTTCTTATGAGAAACTCAAAGATCAAGTATCATAAGGAAAAAGCAAAAAATGATTTGTATGAGGTTTTCTTAGATGAAGAATTTTTCAGCGTTTTGTTTGAAAGGTTGAAAAAAGGAATGGTTGAAGATTTTCAANACCCAACCCAAACCCAAAACCCAAACCCAACCCCAAACCCAAACCCAACCCCGAATGGCAATCTGAATTCAAATAAAGAGAAAAGATTTTTACTACTCTGTAAAAAAAAGTGTACAAATTGATAAAATCCGTCATGATAATTTTGATAAATTCTGATGTATAAATTTGGATAAATTCCGATCAGGAATAGTTGGTAATCCTTCGAGACAACCTGTACATGCTTTGGTGACCCGACGTCCCTAAAGGGTATCACCATTGTGTTGTCCTATTGCTTCCCTGGGAGTATATTAGCGTACTACAGGAAGGTACGCTTGAGAGCCCTGTCTTAGAATGAAAAGGGACGGGGTATTGTAGTTTCTCTTTTGAATAAATCCTCATAAAAGCTGAATATGATCTATAATACATTTAATTTAATAAACATCCATCACGATTTGAGAGTGTTTCTTTCATAAAAGGTCGTGAGAAGAAACAGTAATATCATTGTTAAAACATTTACATGTATCAGCAAATTAAAAAGTTTTTGAAGAGTAATTGTAGCAAATTGACATCACATTTGTACTACACTTGATTAAAATAAAATCCTTAGCATATCTGATAGCACAAACAGTATAGTATATTTAAATGAATCCTAAGTGGTATGATTATACAAATATTCTCTTATTCAAAGTCAACAGTAGGTGCATCTCTTGATTGAACAAACAAATGAAGTCTTATTGCATAATCTAGTCACATTTTACATAACCCTATAATAGAAGTAAGAATAACCGCATCAACTTCAACCTATCCCAGCAAGACAAAGTCTTGGTATATTTGAAGTTCATTTATAATACAATTAAGCAATTTTCTTATTAATCATTAATCTGAGAAAATGTGTAATAATGATTGTCAATTTTTTTATAAAATCCAGCAACAATCTATGAAATAAAAGCTATTATGTATGCAGAGCAATAAAGCTTTAATTGACATCATGAAGTAGAACACAATAAACTTCTGAACACTCAATAAATAGTCAATGTCTCTGATCGTTTGGAGTACAATTATTTGAATAGAGGATGACCATCCAGTTACACAAGTTGTAGGCATTATAAAATGTAATTTAACAACAGCGAACCACAAGTAATATAATAGCTATAATCGACACTTTGTATTTGGAGCTTGGATATCTGTAATAACAACTCTCTCAAAGGTAGGCACAACTTAAAATAGAATATGCTCTATTATTACCACCTTATACACCTAAGGAACTGGTTATGTATCAGTATTAGCATTCGAAAAAATCAGGTACAAAAGATGAACAAATGAAATATTCAAGTAAGGTAAGAGTTACATATCTAGAGAAAGAAGGATAATGATTAATAGAAAGGCACGGATTTAAGGGAAATTCAGACTTCTTTCTTTTTATGATGAGTAATCATTTGAAATATGTTTCAGGATGCAGAATATTCTCCATTTAATACAATCCAGGAAGCGCTTTTAACCAAGCAGTTGTCTCATACAGAATGAATTGAAAGTTAAAGAAAAATATTGTTAAGTATAACAATCATCACATAAATTTGGGCTGGGCAGCATTTCCACTAGACTGGCTGCAACAAGAATTACATTTATTAAAGGAGCAAGAAGGCAGTAAATATAATCTCCTATTGTTTGAACGATTTTGTGACCATTTAAAGATTTTAACGTTAATTGCAGGCATCAATTTACAAGTCAAGATGATAGGCATAAAAAAGTTTGAGTTCTATTAGGAAATAGAAGATGCCAAAATAAAGCATTGAATAGTGCATTAATGAGAAGGCCTCATTAGAGAAGTAATTCAGATCTATCAAGTGCAGGTGATCTCACCAAGTCTTTAGTACAACCTTCCTTTATTTGTATTGATATTAGATAAATTTAATAGGAACTTGTATCTAAAGCATACTTATTCAACTATGTAAAATTCTTAGGTGCAGTTTTTAAGTATATCTAATAGTTATCATGAGTCCTTTAATTTATATGAGATAGTTGTTGTTAGTAGAATTAACTTTGTATTACTAAAGTCACTACAGAAGATGAATATTGAATATGATTATCAGGAGATTACAGAGTAAACTTTGTAAATATTAAACATTAACACCATGCAAATATCAAAAGCAAGTTAGCAAAATAAGGTGTAAGAGATATATATTATTCGATATTAACAGAGAAACAGTATCACAAGTATTATATCAATCAGAAGTAATTCTATTGCTAAAAAATCGAGCTTATGATTTACTTCACCATAAGTATAAAACACATATCGTGCATATTTGAAAGGCATAACTTGACGGCATCCATAAGTTTGGGTTAAACTTTGGAGGACTAATCTCAAAAAAAAAAAACAGTTCAAACATTTTGAATCAGGATGTACAATAGATCACTTCAATTGTGCATCATAAAAGAACAAGCATACAAATTGCATTATTAACAACAATCAAGGAAGAAAGCCACTTCGTTTTAGTTATTTTAACCTGTGCAAACTGCAAATGTTTAACACGATGAGTAGTGCTAACTGTGTTATGTCGCAAAAATGTATAATCCAAGCATACCATGATTTAGACTACCTCCATCTAGTTAGCGAAAGTTGACAAGTTTGAATTCTATCAAGTAAGACTAGATTAGAGGATATATCATTCATAAACCTCAATTAAGAATTAATACAACAGCTGAAGTAAATGCTGTAATTAGAACAACATAATAGAAACTGAGAATTACAAGTTCTAATTAATGTATTTACTTCAACAAGTATCAATAGTCTCTAGAAGCAAAACCGATACAAAGAGGGGTTGAAAATGCTTTACAATACTTACTTCATTAACCCCTAGATGATTTGATGGAGTGTTCTAAATAGCTTATATAGTCTTAAGCCATCACAATAATCAGTCTTTGCATCTGATATTATAATACAAATAACCATTAATCTAAAGATATTGTTTTAGATTTCATACAGGATGAAACACCTTGGTAATAAGTATGCTTTTGCAGATTTTATGAATTTGAGCTTTATATGATCACAACCGCTTCTTCTTAATTCACACACAGTGAATTGTGAACAGCACTTTAAAGATGTAGTAAAGAACTATTATCTAAATTCAAGCATTAAGTATTTGTATAAGGAGTGAATTACCAACTTATCGATCTGTTCGAAGGTTATAAATAGTTTCAGATAGAAAAGTCATCATGATAACATAAGTGTGATCTTAATCAAACTAGCATATAATTTGAAGGTTTTGCCTAGTTTTAGCATTTAAATAAGAAATTATAGGAAATAAGTCTAAAGTTGATGCATATTAAGTAGCATCAGAGTTAATGATATTAACTATTTGTAAGAATAGTACTTGTGGTCGATTGATTAATTATAAGGAAAATTAAATGTATATGTTTCACATTCATCTCACGTTACTGGATTAGCAACTGCACGTGAAAAGATCATCTAGGCGCTTCGGGGGTTTGATAATTAATTTGGGCTCCTAGATTCTACTCGAAAGTTTAACAATTACTAACAAGTCAAATATTAATACAGATATGAATGATGTGCAAACTTGACTAGCAGTTCATGTATTAGTACAACAAGAAATAATACTGGTAGCGATAAAGGATATTATATTCTAAATAAACTATTTCTATTTGGTTGTTAATTTATTAAGTTCGATGTCCTACAAACTGAACAGCGATTTTGATGATCAGGACATCTCTTTTGCTCTCATTTTATCCTGTCGTTTATAATTATTAATAACCAGCAACAGCCAAAAATATGTTTTAAAAGGACATGCTACCTGACAGATCTAAGAACACAATTATTATATGTGAATATTCAATAAGGTGCATATGAGTAGCAATTATCAAAAATATCCAACGATGGCGTCACGTTAAACATATTTAAGGTAGTTTTAGGTTCTAAGAAAGTAATGTCTTAGATTACAAAATTTTCATGTCTCTCCTTAAATATTGGATGCTATGAAAAGTAAATTACAATCAGGTCAACTAATTGAGCGTGTTGGTAGTGTTATCAAGTTTGACAAATAATTGTACTTAAGAAGGACTTAAGGCCATAATATAACACAGCTGAAACATATTCTTATATTTATTAAATGCAAGAGCAATTAAGAGTAGAATACAAAAAGATTAATAACAGCCATATGCATCAGTTAAGATCGCATAAGCTGTCAATAGACGTCAAAATTAATCACTAGAGTTATTCAAAATATATCCTCTTGTTGAAGGTTGACAAAATAATTTGAGCTATTGTTTGACCAAAGTAATGCAAATATCATTGCATGATTCACATGAATTTTAATTATTCTGGTGGATTTAAAAAAGGGACATCTTTTGACAATATATTGTCGAATTACTGTATTAGTTTGAGAGTTTATTTATTATAAGAGGTAATTAAGAAGGATTAACCCAATAGCAGATAAAATGTGCTTTACATCTATCGGAGTTGAATATGTTTAGACTTAATTAAGACCAGTAAAAGGAATTATTAACTTCAATCAATAATTTATTTAATAAAATTGCATTATTTTATACGTATTGTTTTCAAATATATAGTAAGAATAGGTAGAATGTGTAGGTGGTCATCTTGCACTTGAATCATTAGTGTTCAGTTTTTAATACCTTTATATTTGGATTACTGTTACATAGATAGTATTCATCACGTCATTCAGAACATAATTTGATTGTCAAGACAATATATACTAACACTGAGATTTAAACAAATGGTAACATTGTCCAATTCCAATGACTTTAGAGATATTCTTTTTTTATAGAAGTATTACTGATTTTAAAACCAAACTTCTCCTTCCATATAATTGATTACAAATTTAGATTAGCCGAATTATGATAATTTCTAAATCTACGTGACACCTGATGCATGGTCAACTACAAATTACATTTATCCTTTTATTCTACTTTTTTCTGACTATTTTAAATCTTCTTGATTTTCATTATTATTGCCAATTAACTTATATGCATTGGCTTCTTTATTTTGTAATCCTTAATCATAGTGAAGACTCGGCACTGCGATCCCTTTAACATTTATGTAAAATCTTTCAATTTGGATACAACAAGCTTAAGAAGCTCGATTAAGAATTCCAATATCCATTATCCCTAACCTAACATATATATTTCACTTCTATAAATCCTTCTATTTATTTAATTCATCCCTTACATATTGAGGTTTCTTTCTTTAGTTTGAAATTATTTTTAGAATCTTCATTCTTTGTAAATTGATTTGGTCTAAGCTCATGGCTTCTCTAACTTAAGCACAAAAATCAGAAATTTAATTAATATCTCACAGATTTTGATACATATCGAAGTACTGCCAACGAAAGAACTCTTCTAGAGATGTTTACAGATCCAAATGAAATTTTATCAAGAAAGAAAGAAAGCTGTCATTCAACCAACTGAATAGCATACATAATTACTTAATTTGAACTTTGATAAATTTATTTTACTAAAATCAACTTAGCGAATGAAATTTTATAAATCCAAGTTTATTCTTCAAGTGTTATTAACTCATCCAAAAATATTCATCACAAAAAGTTATAATTTCTAAGCAACCATTTATTTATTAAATGGTTCTAAAAATGAAAAGGAGCTATTAAATGAAGTGAGCCGTTTTTGGAAAAAGAGAATCTAACGCTTATCTAAGAAGTCTGCTTATAGAAAATCTTAAATACTGAAAATACAAATAAATAGAAAAAGCAAAAATCAACTGTTATACTTTAGGTTAGAAGATTGGCCAATCACCTTAGCAACAGGCAGTACAAGCCAAGCAAACAGTTAGGCTTCCAGGGATGGTATTCCGGAAGCCACCAAGTCTTTTAGACTTCGTGTGTACTAGTTACCGATCCTTAGCTAGACCATAGAACTATCACAGTTTAAGAAGGCTACTTTCTGAGGGGACAGCAAAAACCTTCTAAAAGAAGGTTTTTTGGATTCGACGCAGGGAATTTTAGCCTTTGGGTGTAATTCTAGCAGTAGTAGATGTAGGGAAATCCTTTTTTTAATTTTTTCATATACTACTTTTCCACACTTTAACCTTCACGAGAACTGATACAGTTTGCATTTATTTGATGATGCATAATTTTAAGGTGATTTAAATAATAAAAAAATTTGCAAAATACCTGGCTGTTAAATGTAAAATTATTTGGAAACATTGGAGCGAATTATGAAGTATCTAAGAAGTTTATATTTCTTGATACATTTTTTACCCAATTTCGAAGTAGCTGAAAAATTCATCAAACTTATCAAAATAAATCAATAAATCAACAAGTAAAACAGCTTTTATGTGCATTTAAAACTTTGAGAATGATTAAATTATTGATTTCGGTTAGCAAACATTCGAATCAAACAAACAAAGAAGATTTAATCCAATTAAATTGACAATATTTTGATTATTTTTCTTAATCAATAATATAAACTAAAGAATACTTGATCTTCTGTATAAATTTGCTTTTCTCATAATTTATACTCTGAATAATTCAAATTGTTATAGTTTGAAAGAAATAGTTAGAAAGGAAAATGTGCTCTTTTTTAATTATGGAGTAGGAATATAGAATGTATATTTTTTTACTCATATGATATTAAAGGAGATTCTTTGCTTAATTTCTAAAATTTGTTTATATAGAGAAAATAATCTATATAAGATTTGAAATTAATTTCATTTAGTTTAATAATCATCAATAGAAACAAAATTTTAGTACCATTTTGATCTTATGAATTAATTAAACACAATCTACAAATAATAAATGCTTTCAAAATTTTTGAAATATATTATTGACTTTCTTCTCTTTGTTTCAATAGAAAATTCGTCTCTTTTCTAAATATCTCTTTTTCTCTGGTATCCTTATTTGTTATTAAAGCAGCATTTAATAAAGTACTAATAATTCTTTAATGTTAACAAATGGTGATTCAAATAGTTCTTAAAGTTGGTTTCTCAAAACAAGCTTAAACTTTAAAATTTAGATATTTTGTTGATTATTCATTATTGATAAAGAGTTTTGATTAATTAATTTTCGAAGTGTTAAGTTAATAATTAAGATTGCTTTTTGATATTTCTATTATTGGATGCATATATTTATTCATAAATTTCATTTTGCCAAACTTTTCATTTCTAAGAATATAACAATACGAGAGTTTGAATGACATGATAAAAGTATTAAGAAGTTAAATAATCAGTGGAGTTGAGCATCAAATAAGCTGCTAATGTTTTTCGATAGACAAATTATCATACCCAATTTATAACTCAACTTTGCATACAAACTTTATTTACTAAATTAAATAAAGAATATATCAATTTTGCTAATTTGATAATTACAACTAACATGTATCCTTGAATTGTGAGGATTAAACTGGTGTTTGATAAAATCAATTGGTTATATTATTTAATAGAAGATGCTCATTTTTATTTAACAATTCAATTGATTCCTTTGAACGAAATTATAAAAGTTTTATACAGCTACATTTAACAAAATATTATTTATTAAATATTGAATCTTTTTATTGAGTCTTTAAATTCTAGATCTGTGTTTGTTAAATAAAAATGAAGATGCGATAATTTGGTTGGATAAAGCATGATTTATTGATCCTAAACATTTTTATTCTTTAAATGAGAAAGGTAGATTGATTTATAATTAGATTTATAGGTTAATGTTATTAAATATTATTAAATATTTTAACTTCTGTTTGTTATTTTAATCTTTCCTATTGAACTAAAGCACATTTTCTTGAATTATATACTTTTATATTATAGATTTCTTCCTTTTATTGCGAATATGACTACGAAGTCCATCAGTTCTTTTATAATTACATTCAGGCTTAAACGTATGCTTATCAAATTTGGCTTTAGCGATAAACTTGGAGATGTAGAAGCATGAAAATACTATAATTATAATTTCATTAAATGTCTAGCTTCTTCAGCTGTAGTATTTGATATAATCTACCAATAAATTCAAATATATTCAAACAAATTATGATAATAAATTATAAAAACATTCTTCTTTACGCGCTTATGCACGCATGTCTAATATTGATGAAGTCTATGAGAATTTAATCATAATTCATAACTAGCTTAAGTTTTCAACATAAATGAATGTCTTATGCCTAAATTTCTTTTTGTAGTGAATTATTTAAAGGAGAAGTCTTACTCTTCTTTGCCTTCTCATTTTTCTCTAGCATGAATTAAATAATAGTATAATTATTCTCTAATTAATTAATAAATTATAATTTTAAACCATGTGCTATAGATTAATTCACATATTTTTATATGGTTAGAAAAACATCGGGATTATAAATGTGGTCTTTTTATAAGGTTCTAACTGATCTAGTGAGAATATGAACTAATTAATTAGTACTTAAATAGTAGATAATTGAAACAGCGAAGTGGTATATATTAAATTATAATTCATTTTTAAATGCTCTTGATGACATCTAATATATAAAATTTTTGATATATATTATTAGAGATACATTCAAAACAAAGTTAAGGAATCATGAATAAGTTTATTTACTATTTTCTGTTTTAGGATAGTTAAGCTTGGCATCCACATTAGGAACCTCGAAAGGCAGTTCGATTAACTTAAATTTTATGAAGCCCATCAATATTAGTAGTTTCATTATGAAAAATTGTCAGAATTTATCAGAAAATCTCTGAATTTAATTAAAAAATAAGAAATATCTTTATAATATAAATAAAATAATAGAAATAAGATAGTATCTATCTAACTTAAAGAAAATGATTTAGTAAGATTAGTAAGAAGAGATATAATAATAATAAAATATCACAATAACAAATGAAGCAAAATAAGAACAAAACAAGGCAATCAACGAAGAATATTTAGAATGTAATCTTATAAGTATATCAATTTAAAGAAATAATTAATAATTCATATAAATTTGATGAGATATTTTATGAGTTAGCTTTATTAGAGACAGAAGAAAAAATTATAGAGAACGAACTTCTCGAAGAAAATAAAAATAAAGGTGAATTATTCATCCATAAAGGTAATATTATATTTTAACTCTTAAGCAAAACTTTTAGTAAAATTAGATAAATATGATGAGTATTGGGAATATATTAATCAAGTAATTGCTTTAAATCCAAAAAATTAACGACTAATTCTTCACAAAGGTAGAATATATCTACAAACTATTTTAGGGATGACATTAACTCTTTTAAAAAAATATGAAGAAGCTTTTGAATGTTTTAATGAAGCAATAAAAATAGATCCTAGTAATCAAGAATTTCTAATTGAGCTAGGTATTAATTTTTTTATTTTTAATGTAGGGTAATCACTAGAAAGCGTTGATGACTTTGACGGAGCTTACAAATTTTATATTGAGGCTCAGAAGCTTGGTGACAATGTAGTTGGGTTAAATATAAATATAAATAAAGGTAATTTTCAATAGAAATTCTTTTTAGCTTCTACCTTAATTAATTTACATAGATGTGAAGAGGCCATTAAATTGTGTGATCAAGAACTTTCAAATGCTACATGTTAAAAACGTGCTTATGCTACTAAGGGTATCATATAATTACATTAATACAAGCAAGGGCATTATATGTATCACATCGATATCAAGAAGCTCTTGAAATTTGTGATAAATTAATTTAAATGGATGAAAATTTCGACTTGGCTTATGATATCAAGGGTAATTTTAGTAGAAATTTTTATATCTTTTTAGGAAGGACCCTAGCTAATTTAAAGCGACCTGAAGAAGCAATCTAACAATGTCTAAAAGCTATTAGATTAAGTTAGTAGGATTATATACCTTACGCTACCATAGGTAAAATACTATTTAAAGTTTACTCCAGCTGGAGCATTAGTTTAATTAAAACGTCATGAAGAGGCGATTAAATTTGCTGATATTTCACTTAAATTAAACCCAAAAGGTGATATAGCTCTTGGTAACAAAGGTATTTTTACAACTTAATAGTTAAGGATTAGCATTAAGTCATTTAAATAGGCTAGAAGAGGCTGTTGAGTATTTTGAATAAGCCCTTTCAATAACAAAAGATCATCCTATTCTAAATTATTTTATGGGTATGGTTAATTTTTAATAATTATTTAGGATCTACATTAATAAATCTAGAAAGAGAAGAAGAATCTATTGAATATTTAGATAGGGCTATAAAGAGCGATCCAAAAAATAATGAATACAAATTGAGGAAAGGTAAATTTAATTTTAGCATAATTACTTTAGGAATAGCATTATATAATTTAGGGAGAAATGAAGAGTCAATTGAGATTTTTAACGAAGAAATTGCTTTAAATCCAAATAATTATTTGGGATATTTTTTGAAAGGTAAATGTGTTAAAAATTACAAATTTAGGAAAGGCTCTATTTAATTCATTTAGATTTTAAGAAGCAGTTTTATCTTTAAGTGAAGCCCTTAAACTCCATTAAACAGAATTTGGGATATGGAATCTAATGGGTAAATTATAATTTGACTAACAAAAAAGGAAGATCATTATTAAGCTTGCAAATGTTTGATTAATCGATTATATATTTATTGAAAGCACACGAATTAGATCCTTAGAATGAAGTAACTATATTTAACATAGGTAATTTTTCTTGACTCAAACTTTAGGTCTTTCATTAGAACGTCTAAATAAAAATGATGCCGCCATTTTTTGGATTAATAAAGGTCTAAAGATTTGTCCAAACGCTCATTATGCATTAGATTTAATGGGTCTTATTTTTAATCTTATAATAATAGCAAAAATTTTAATAAAAATTGGGAAATTTAAAGAAGCGACATTATACTCATAACAAGCTGTAAGTCTAGATCCTTGTAATGAAGAGTATTAATAGAATTATAGTAATATGAATATCATCTTTAGTGAAAGGTTTATATATGTTGGAATTGGAATACGCATCTATGGAACACTAATGATGAAATAAATCGACATGATTAGAAATATTATATATAAAACAGTAGATATTTATATCAAATTATCATTTTTATATTTATATAGCAATAGGGTTTAGAAATTTATAGGAGTATACTTTATTTTAACTTACTAACTAATACATAATTGCAAATATACTAAAAGTAACCTTCTGATTAAATACTACCATTACGAATACATTAAGAATAAAGATTAAGTAACATTATAAATTAAATGGACAATGATATAATTAATTAATTAATAAAATACTTACTCATGAATTTTATTCTATTATATAGAATTATCACTTCAAAATACATTTCCACTTAGGAGGATTAACAATTTATTAAACTATTTCAGTTAGATATTTTAACTATCAAAAAGATAAATTTCTATAACGTAAGGCATTATTTATAACAAAAAAAGAAAGTGTACTCACCTTGAGGTAAAGTAACAAAATGAAGAACCACATTATGATCAATTTATATGATTATTATTTAATGCGATCTCTTTAACAGAGCTACAATCAATCAACTTTGATAACAAAATATATAAAGGATCTCTTTAAATTTTATTTTAGCTTAATCCAGCATAGTTAGAAATATGATTGTTATTTTGTTAAGTAGAGATTTTTAAATCTATATTAATAGGAAATTATTTATTTAAACTAATAAATGTAAATACTAATTAATTTTATTTTTTTAATTTTAATTTACTCAATTCTTCTTTAAGGCTTATTCACATTTATCTGCAATGAATTAATATATGTACTTTTTCTCATTTTGATAAATTGATCAACTGGCGAAATTTTTAAAGCTTACTCGAAACAGTTTAAAGCTTCAGCGAAATTCTATTTTTCTTGTAAGCACATACCTTTATAAGTTGATTATATAACTATAAATTACCTTTTGATTAAAGTGAAAAGTAATCCTTTGGTTAGATTTAAAGCGCTTAATTCAACCATCTTAAGGATTCATCATATTTACCAAGCTCTCTTAGACAATCCCCTAATTGATAATGAAGCAAATTTACCTTTACCATACAAAGAGTCCAAGTGTTTTGGATTAATGGATAATGCTTAATCATACAATATTATGGCTTCATTGAATTATCCAAGCCCTCTTAAGCAATCACCTTATAATTTTAAGGATTTATTTACCTTTAGATGAGAGTGAGTTCAAATGCTTTGAATCTACAGATATGGCTTAATTATAAAAATTCACAGCTTCCTTTAAATTGTTTTTCATTATTAAACATTCACCTATTTTAAAAATATGAATTACCTTTACACCATAATGAATCTCTATTGTTTGGATTCAATTTCAAAGTCTAATCAATTACTTAAAGGGCATCATCGAATTTTTGACTATTAAATAAAGCCAAACCTAGAAAAATTTCAATAACCTACCCTTGTTAAATAAATTCGTAGATGACTTCTCGTCATCTTTGCTGACTTAAGATAAATTCACTGTCTTTATTAATAATTCCTATTTTAATTTGTCTATTTTCAACTTATGTTCATTTGATAAATCTGTGATAATCTTTGAGATAGATATTTTATAATCAGCAAGAGATATCATTTAACCAATTGCTTAATTCAGTTAATTAGAATCTATCTTCAAAAGCCTTTCCTTTGAGATGTAATATTTGTTTTTAATTTCATTTTTCAATTTGAAGTATGAGTCCAAAACAAGATCTCCTTATTTGCATATCGATTCACATAGACTATCACATTACTTATTATTATTATCAATAAAATTGACTAATTAGTTCAATCCTTAAACATCTTTCATGTGCTGTTAATGGATTCCTTATTTAAGACATTAATTGCAAATCAATCTTAAGTCTGTGCACTATTTATTCAAACAAACCTATTAGATGCATTGAGTATGGTTTTCAATTAAACATTTAATATCTGGAATATCCACTTCTATCATTTTAAAATAAAACTTATTTATAATTTTTTGTCACTATGAATTTCAGAAAGAAACCATTCAATTTTTCAGAAAGGGCATATTGAAATCCAAAAAATTTGAATGAAAGGTTGACTTTATAAGAGTTAATTAATGAAATAATAAAATCTAAAAAAGAATGAAAAGATATTGAAAAAATAATAATTATTTTAGTCAAATTGAGAAAATTTATAGAGGAAGTGAAAAGTTAGAAGTTTTATAATTTTAAGCAAGATTGTGATTGATAGTATCACCTAAAAACTACAAAAAGCAATATAATTTGGAGAAAATAAATGATTTAAATGATATTTTTCTGATTTCATAATTTTTAAATTTTTGCAATAAACATACCACCTGTATTTGATACCTTTGGATCGAATCTAACTGTATTAAAAATTTTGCCCGATTTACATTATTATTAGTTCATACCATGAAATGGATTAACTAAAATGGCATCAGCATTTTATTCTAAAAACTTAATTATTTAATCTTCATTTTGCTTTTAAGAAAAAGAGCATGTGCTATAAACTAACATTCCATTTTATTTCAGAAGTCTATATCCATTCTCTAATAAAGAAAACTATAAGTCATAGATTTATTATAATTTCTTTTAATCTAAAAATCTGCTGTTAAAATCTTCTTCAGTCCATTAATTTGCTTTTGTTTGTTCAGTTGTGTAGGTGTTAGTGTAATTTTTTTATAATTGTTTTTTAGAGGCCTTGCTATTTTTCTATTGCTTTTTAGTGTTTTTTTCATTGATAGGTTTATTTATATATTTTTTTAAATGTTTTATACTACCCTCATGTGTGCATTCAGCGTCAATCAAAACTTTATCAAACAGTATTTCACTTTTATATTTTGTTCCATCTTCTAATATCAATTCAACAAATTTTTCTAACTTATATTTATTAACTATTGATTGAGTAATATTTAATCTATTTTATGAGATGTCAACTCCAAATACCTTTCTTTAAATTCCATCTTCTTTCGTTTAGAGTCTCAATAAATCTGCTATAAAGGTTAATTTAGCTCCTGGCGCACAACAAATCTCCAATAAGTTAATGTCATTTTTATTAATGTCCAATGAATAAACTACTGCAGCACTTGATTTATCAATTCCATATAAGTTACCATCCTTATATAATTAGAGATTATTGATTTTTTCATCTGCAGGGAGGGAGTATATTGTTGGGATTTCATTTATAGATAGAATTTAATTTGACACTTATTGTTAAAGTTATTCAAACGTAATCTAATAATCAGGCTTTATTCGAATATAACGAAGCGTTTACTCAAACAAAAAGATTTCTTCATCGATTCCTTCCTCTTAAAGAAATTCCTTAAACTGTGGTGATAATTTATTTAAAATATTCATAATACTAAAAATGTAAAATATCACTATAAGATGATAAAAAAAATAATTTTTTAAGCCTTCATCCATGGTAATTTTCTTGTTATCAAGAAATAGACTATTAATAATAGTTCTGAAGTGGAATGAAAATAGTTACTGCAAGAAGCTAAAGAATAGATTATTGATTAAATCTGTTTGAACAAAATATCTTCATATCATTTTGATTAAAATGCTACTACTCTATATATCAATTCTGCTTAATCTTAAAAAACTATTAGAGCTTCATTTTTATTCTCAATTAATTAAAAGAATGTGCTTAATTAAAACAAAAATAAATAATTGCCATGCATGTTTAACGTAGAAATTTTTTAGTAATTCCTATTTTCTGCAATCAATAAAATTCATCCAATTTGATCTTCAATTAATACTTAATTAGTTATTGATAACATCACTAAAAACTAATTCTATCTCTGGGCTGTTTGATATATACTAATTCAAATAATTCCCTTATTAAATAATCTACTCTTTGCTTTTTATTCTAACCATTTAAGAAATTAACTTGGATTATAAAATCAGATCAATAGAAAATTATTTGTGTATTTCAGGTAAAACCAATATTGGAGGATCAAAGTATTTCATTCAAATTGCCTGCAATAGTAAATAGTCAATCAAATTCCTACCAAGGAAGAATAATTTAATTTTCCATTTTTTAAATAAAATGAATTAAAATTCAACTTAAGTGCCAATTCTAAAACATCTTATTTAGATTCGAAGATCAGTCATCCAAAATTTTAAATCAAAAGAGAGATGTCGATTTCACATGTTAGAATTGCTTTTACTAATTGAAAATGTAGAAAAGGAGTTCAGAGGAGTTGTGTATAATGAAGAATTTATATTATCAATAATGAAAAACTTGACTTAGATAGATTCAGATGAATTAATGATTGAAATTTTGAGGTAATCCCTTCCTTATTGGAATGTCACCATTTAGATGATGTTTGTGAAACATACTTTGACAATTCTTTCTGTAATCTGCAAAACTCAAAATATTCAACTTCGAGTGGCCATACTCTAATTTGTTATGGATGTGAATATTAAGAGTTACGAACCTGCTTTTAGATTGACTATCAAGGATGGGATATTAAAAATTATTCTGCAAATTTTAAAATCTCCCAAAGAAGTTAAGGAACTTGCTTTGATTGCCTTGGATAGTTTTAAATATTAATATAAATGAAATAATTTGTTAACCCAGTTTTTCAACCTCTAGATCATTCTATATCAATGACTAATCGTAGAACTGAATACATACCTAAGATTCCTCAACCAACAATTGGACAAGAGTTGCCATGTGATTTTGAAAAAATATTTTCATCAGAAACAGACATTTCATCTAGGCTGAATGATAGCATGATTTAGCCATTTGATAATAGGAATTTCTACATTGATTAATCTCCTGCTTACAGAGGAACAACAGAGAGCTAATTCCACAATAATACCCTCACTCTAACACAAGTAGTTGACTAGAAAAAATATAATTAAGAAATCATCAAATATTCTGATGATGATAGTTTAATTAATTCTTCGTTTTTTGGCGTCCTAAATTAGGATGCTTTCTAAAAACCATTATAACAGATGGATTCAATTTACAGAAAACTTGAAGAACCAAGTTAATTTAATCATAATACCAAAAATGCCCAGACACTTTGTGATGAAGAATTAAGAGCTGAATTGCAAGATCAAGTATAAGACCTTCATATTAATAATAAATTTATTTCTCCTACACTTTATTAGCCATTTAGTTAACCGATACAAGACAGTTCCAATAGAATTAATAATTTTAACAATACCAACAAGTACTCAACCGTGCAAACTTATGAAAATAAAACTATTGATGCATACAAACTATATGATTAAAATTCACGATAATAATCCAATATACATTAGCCAAGTTAGTATACATTATAGGGTAACGAACAAATAAAATACAATTCAACCTCATATAACAATAATTATCCAAAATCTGCTGAGACTAATGTTATGATATAAAATACACCTCCAAGAAGTAGGTTCATATCTCCAACTTTATAGAAATAAATAGAATAATAATAGTTTTCTGAAATTAATTAAAACACTCATAGCAATTCTAAAACAGACAAATTAAGAATTAACAGTCCAGACTAATTTGAGACCATTAAAATTACTGAAATTATCAATGTTGAAAACTCTTAAAATTAATCTCTAACATCACCCTCACCTTCTGCACCAATATTGCCTCTAAGGCATTCAAGCTTTATTAATAAAAATTCTGAACCCTTAGCCAATAAAAAAAATTCAGATGTTTATTACTCCTAAATGGTCTAACCTATGACAAATCAAAAAGTATTACAAAGAACTATTGTTAGTAGAGGTTAAGATAATAATGAATATGTATTAGATGCTCAATTATAATAATATTCTAGAAAAATTCAGTCTCCACACAAAAATAACACTATTTTAGACTAATAATCTGAATTATAAAGTAATCGTACTTCCTAACAACAGATTATTATTCCTTAACCTCAAAAATAAATCTATCCAGTTCAATCTCCTACTAAATTACCTCAATCACCAAAATTAATAACGAAACAACAAGAGAGGTTGGATCAAAAAGAGTTATTTTTATAAGCAGAGAAAGCAATAAAATTTTAAAGAACACAACCTAAAGCTATTCTACCTGAATGGTAAAAATAAACAACTAAAAAGGATTCTAAACAAGCACAACAAACAAATCAAATATACTCAAAGAAAAATGGCAATAAATAAGATGATTTACAAGTATTATGTGTAATATGTGAAGATCTTATCCCTTTTGAGGATGTAGATTCCCATTCAATTAGATGTTTAGCAAGATCTAAGCAATAAGCAAAAACTCAAAATGCTCACACTTTAATTCAGAACTTGAATCACAAATTGGAACAATTAAAATAGAACATCATTATATAATCTAAGTAATTAGGAGATGATCTGATAAATAGTGAGGAAATAATTGGTTGCATTACAAAAATCATCTAGTGTTCTTATAATTATAAGAAACTTAAACAATATAATGAGTTATTGGGTTAACAATATCAAAAGTACTAATAAAATTTCGATCAGAAACGATTTATTATGATTCTTACATTGTAAAGGGTCTTAGCAGTGTCATAAGAGAAACAGTTAAAATTATAATTTGTTGAAGAAAGCTAAAATAATTAAATGGAAGATGAAAGTTTTTTATATAATGAACTTAATAGAATAAATAAATAGGTCGAAATAGAAAAAGCGTAACATCAATAATATTATTTAGTAATTTAGAACAAGCCAAGTTAGAATAAGAATTGTTTAAGAAAATATAAAAGGAAGACCTTGAAAATATGAAATATTTGAGAGCATAATACTTGGAATAAAACGTAGATAATGAAGTGCTTTCCTAAATAAATTCGGAATGGGATGTGCGATATCCTGAGACAAAAACCAACAGAATCTCTAATAGTATTGTATCAGATATTTAATACTAACGGGATTTTGATGGGATGGCAGTTCGAAAAGAGGGAAGCAGTCCAACAATAATTTAAAATGAGGTTATACAATTAAATATTATTTAGGATTAAAAAAAAGCATTTTATTAGTTAGCAGTTTAGATAAAATTAAATCTACCTCATAATCACCCAGGAAAAAACTTATTACTTTAGGATGCCTATGAGAAGGCTGTAAATTTAAAAGTACCAAAGGTTGGATGGGAGATGTTTATCATCGAAGAAATTAGAAATATCTAATAATGATAACGTTTAATATATACTTATTGTATTTTTATTAGAGATTATGTTTGTTTTCGATAATAATTTGTAATTATAAACTAATTATAAATACTAAATATTAAGAACTAAAACTTGAATATATAGAAATTATTAAGTGATAAATGAATAAAGACATTAATCTATATGCATTCTAAAGTGATGTAGAAATGAATTTAAGGATAGAATTTCAATATTTGATAGTGTATTATTAATAAAATAAAACAGGGGATTGCAAATAAAATCATTTCAAACATAGTTGTTGAGGTTGCTACGATGATAATATGCTTTATTTATTTTCCATAACTTATAATGGCTAGTGAATTTCCAATTGTAATAAAATTAGATAATGTCTTATGCATTTTTTGTTTTAATCTATATCAATAATTGAGAAAATTACTAGATGTGATAAGAATTCGTATTATTTGCCATATCTACATAATCCACATTCAAATATGGCAATTTCTTTTGTGGTCCAAGTTTCTACGAGATAAAATGGATAGAATACCGAATGCAAAATCGTTCCTTAAGGGAGAAATAAGTATATCTAGGACATCTTGCTGTAAAAGAGAGTAAGCATTCTAGTTGTTTGGCTATTATTATTCTATTTGTTCTTGATTAGGAGAATCGTTATCAAGAATTTTCTTCTTTCTGCCTGGTTTCTTTTCCTTTTATACATATAAAATATACTTGCTTAATGTCTCTTTTACTATCTATCAAAACCTTTTCTTTCATAAATTCAGCTAATTTCTAATCACTCTTGTAATACAATTAGACCACAACACTTAGGAGACTTTCAAACGCATTTACCCACAATGGTTAAGTTCCTTTTTGGCGATACTGTCCTCCTTGTGGTAATTTCTTTGTGAAAATGATCGGAGTGATTGAGTTTGGTGGTAAAAACTTACTAAGTAAAATATTATGAAAAAATAAATGATGAATATAAGGAAATAGTGATTCGGAAAGTGATGAAAAAGTACTTACTCTAATAAAACTTCGTCTATCAAGGCATCCGAATTGGTTTTCTTTTTGTATTAATTTATAATCTCTGTTGGAAGCTCCAAATATCCGGTGCTAAAATAATAATAAATATGCAATAATCTAATATAAAGAATAAGGGAAACTGCATTTACAGCAATCAAAATAAAATATAAAGATAGTTACATACATATGTGAGCCTTATCGAGCAAGATGCTTAATTTGCTATATCACTTATTTTTGTTATTCTGTGACTATTTGCTATTTGTATTGCAAATTGGTGGCTAAATTAATGCTGATTCTGTTACAAGTCTTATCTCCATTCTCTCCTAATTTTATCACTTTGCGTATGCCCAAATCAATTCCATTATTGTCTTCGAAATATGTGCTATTAATTTAATTTTCCTACTATTCATCAGTTTAATTCTTCATTGTTAGCTACTAACTTAATATTATCAAATCCAGAACCTATATTTTCGATGAAGAAATGCTTATTGAAAATAATTATTTGTTTCATAAATAATTCTTTGCCCTTATATTGATAAGCCTAAAAACAATCAATCTATCCAAATCTTATTCATTCTCCTCTTATTTCTTGAGCTAATTCTCATACTTTAATTCATATATGCATTTATTTATCTTTTTAATTTTCCAAACCATCATTGTGAGTAATTTCATATCAATACCTTTTCATCGATCCCAATCAATTTCATTAATAGTCGACTTCTTGTCAAGAACATCCTTAAGTCCTTCTCACTTATCCAAAACCATAAAACAGCAAAATCTGCTCATCAGCTCACTTCAAAGTGAATACACCTTGTTTCACTCTCCTGATACACAATGAATGTATATTGAAGATCTCAATCATTCTGAAGATAATATTTTAGTATTCTTCAAGAGAAGACTCCAAACCAATATAAAATGATAGATCTTAATATTATGTGAAAATGGGAAAATTCTTATTTTCATTATTTAAACACACTCAAGCATCTTATTTATGCTCTTATCAATTCAAATTTTGTATTACAACACCTCTATACACCAATTAATAAGGTAAATTAATTTAAAATATATATCACTTTTTGTATAAACCATATGCAGAAATCATTTTGGGACAAAGATTTTCTAACAAGACTTCTTTGAACTTTTGAAACTGTCATAAAATCAAAATCGTTCCTTGAAATATCTCAAATTTATGCTCAAATATAACATCATTTTATAAGTGTCATCTTAAGTTAATATATTTATACTAGAGTTTTATACAATATTGTTATTTGTTAACATCATTTTGATGTCTTTCAAAACCAATATTTGAGATAATAAATTCTGATGTCTATCTAATCTCTATGTATGATTATTTGCTTAGCTTTCTTTTTCGAGTTCATACTATCTTATTTATTTTTGAATCAAGAGAAAATATAGCATCATTTACATCAGTCTATTTTTATACATCTTCTTTCTTTTTTTGAGCTACTTTCTATCAGCTTTTATTAAGATATATCTAATGAAGTTCTAGGATTTTTTTATTTTGCATGTTAGTTTAATTTCTTGATATTTTTCATACAATGATTATCATTACCTTAATATTTTCTTGTTATCTGTCTTAAGAACATTTCTTTTTATCAGGAATCTATTCCAATAAATATTCCTATCTTTCTAAATTGTTATAGCTGCATCCAAAACTAGTCTATATTCCTATTCAAGATTATTTATGCAATAATCTTAATGACTTTTGAAGTGAAGAAATCTACATATTTTTTTTTTCACTATTTGAATAAAGGTCTTTTAGATAATTTGATTATTATAAAGTTTTTTCTCTTTGAAGTTTTTTACAATTTAAGTAATTTGACAATATAACTGTTAGCCGATGAAGTATTCAATTTTTGATTGAGCTATTCTATCTTGTAATAGAGCAGATCTAGAAATAAAAATAAATAGTTAACATAGACATAATATTATGCAATTATATTTTATAATGTTACTATAATTCTGATTATATATTCAAAACAAATTATTGACATTTGTACAATTAAAATCTCTATCTTTAGCATTATTATATTGTATTAATTTGAATATTTTAATTCTTGCCCTATTAAATTCTACTACAATACTTTTAGCTATTAAACTAGTTATAACTGAAAAATGGCCGAATTTTAGATTCTATCTATATAGAAGTGTTTAAGATTTATTTATTTTGCTTTTTTAGAATTGAAAAGGCACTAATATGATTGAAATCCAAGAGAATAAACATTTATTGCTAAATTGCTTTCGAATTTGCTAAATAAAAAGTTAAAATTGATTGTAAAAGAGAATTTCAATGTTTATTTAAAAATAATTGGTTTTTCAATCTCGATCTAAGGAAAAACGACAGTAATAAACAAAGATTAAATTATTATTATGATGAATAAGTCTGAATTGCCAATTCACAAGAGCAATTTATATTATTTAGAGATTGAAGCTATTTCTCCTGAAAATAATAAATAATTTTATGCACTGAATTGTAAGGTATAAGTAATCTTATGTATCCACTAATATTATTATTGCTATTCCTAAAAATATGTTTTGATAATATGTCAAAAAGATTCTCGATAGCACTGACACAAACCTTTGTCACTGGCAAAAATAAATTATTTGAACAGGGCACTTAGATTTTAACAATTCTCACTAAATGAGACAACTTAATCGCCATATAAATCAGAGTTCTCTATGAAAGGAAAATTAAACAATTAAGTCAGTATACATTTTTCAAAAATCACTTTTTGATAGAAAGAGATCAAAAAATTTGGCAAATCAAAAAATCTTTTCGTACAAGCAGGAGTTGGAAGTCTAGGATACAAATTTATATTATTTCGTTTAATTGTACCTAAATAACAGATGAATATTTTAATAATTAATATATTCAGTTTACTTTTATAATCTGTTGACTAATATTATGAATATTGAATCTATAATAGGTTTATAAATTCATATATAAAATAAAAAATTTATTATTTCAAATAGAGGTAAGCAATCATAAAAAGCTTTAGAAATGAATAATCGGTTTTCAATTCTTTTAATTAAATGTATGAAAAAATTCAACCTTAGTTAGATGGAACTCCAATTTAGATTCTCGATCAAATTAATAAAAAGTGACATGATATTACCAAAAAAGATGAAATAAGCTTTAAACTATAAGAATAACTTATGTTACAAATTTCATAAGGTTAATTTTTATATACTAGTAATAAGAATTCTGCATCTCAATATACCATTTTTATGAGTAATTGTAGGAAAAATTCTTTATTTGTAATATATATATTGCTAAATAGCTTAATAGAAATACTAAATATCTCTAAAGTTAGCGTGTTTGATATTTGCTTCATGTTTTGCTGTTGAAATGTAAGAGGATGTATTTTTAGATCCTAATTTCTGATTGAGCAATTATACATTCAGAACAATTTTATTCATGGATAAAAGTGATATATATCTCATGATTTAAGGGAGGCAAGAAAGTCTAATTGATTCAAATATGAAATATATTTTTTTCTAACAATTAATTAAATTTCATAAATTAAGAAAAATCTAAAACTTTATTCGATGAAAAGCTCCATGGAACAATTCGATGCTCTAGATGAATTGGCAGATTTTCCAGAAGAATTAAATGTCAAAGCAATTTTATAGAAGGTTAAGGCATTTTTAGTTGTAAAACAGCTAAAAGAAGATAGTTCGCCAAATTTGGTCATACCAAATCTATATATTGGGTGTTTAGGAACAGTATTAAATAAAAAAAAACTATGTGAATGTATTTAGAATGTCTAAATTAAAGTTTAAATAACCCACATTCTTAGTGTGTGTGAGATGCCGATATTTCCATATTAAACTGAAGATTTTAAATCTCTTCTCATTAACATCAACGATAGCGTAGATTAGGAAATCAAATCAAAGTTCGAAATGGCTAATGATTTCATTCATTCTGCTATCCAAAAAAATTAAAATGTACTTATTCATTGGTATTTTTACATATTAATTAAAGTTTTGCTGGTAAATCTAGGTCTGCTTCCTTTGTTATTGCATACTTAATAAAATATCAGCAAATGACTCCACTATAAGCTCTCAAACTCCTTCAATCGAAGCGAAGAATTGCCCAACCTAATATGGGCTTCATGAAATAGCTTGATGCTTATCATAAAGAACTCTATAGATAACCACAGATACAAAAAGAATAAAAAGAAGTCGAAGTCTCTCCTGTCGAAAAAAAAGTAAAATTAAATTAAGAAGAAGAAGAAATTTAATAATAAGGAGATCGATAGCTACTAAATTCATGATTATTATTCACAGAATACTTATTTTTCATACAACAACCTTTATTTTTTACTGATTGAATTATAAATTTAATTCTATAAAATTAGCTTTCGAATATAACTACGTGAACCTTTAAATGTAGATAAAGAAATCTATAATTTTTTGTTGATTATTAATACTTTCCTCTATCATTATTTTTCGAATAATGGGCAAGCAAATACTTATAATAATTTAAAAATAATTCATTATGTTTTTAATTTTAAGCATTTACAAAGGTCTTTCATATCTTCAGAAATTGAAAAGAGTTTTAGGGAATTATATTTTGAGTATTAGCTGCATGGTTAATTTTGAATAAGCAAGAAAAATAATTTTTAATATACTATAATTTTATAAAAAATTAGGAAGTAGTTAATGTTCGATTTTTGTCCTTTATAGTAAATTTGATGTAAGTCTAATTTCTTGAACTATTAAGATTTGTTCTCAAATTGCTATTTAAATTATTTACAAATTTTAAGAATCAGTTTGATTTCTCTTGTCTTCGTTTGTAATATTTTGGAGCAGTGGCTTAAAAAAGTGTTATTATTTAATTTAAAATTTGATTAGAGTTAATAGAATGGCTTTTAATAGTAATTCCTTTAAATTGAGATTGCAATATAATTTTTTTGAATGATATTCATTAAGCTTGAAATTTGTTATCTATTAAAAACAATTACCAAAATAATTGATTTAATACAGTTTGGTATTTATTATTTCTATAGCGTTTATTGAAAGATCATTATGTGATTGTCATTTTGCTGAAAAATATTTTTATCTTTTCGATTATTAGATTTTATTCTATATTAAGTGAAAAAGATAGTGAGTCATAAGGGTATATGATACAATCCTATTGGATAATCTAAACTTTCATGATTCATTAATGTTATAAAATTTAATGATTCACATAAAATGAATAATGTTGATTTCTTGAGTAATTCATGAAGATTTGTAATAGTTTAACATTACATATCAAATAAAATAAGTGATTGATAGAAATAATTATGCCTTATGATTATAAAATCAATCAAATCTGATACGTCTTAAATTTGCAGCAAGGACAGAATCATCGGCTTGGATGATTTCAAATTTTTTTTGGATGAATGAAAATTAGATTTCTTCTAGACAATCTTAACTTGATGAAAACTTGACAGTTTTTCCTTTGTAAACTTCTTCATCAAATCCTTAGACAACAACTCCAGGGGGAATCTTGATTGATTTGACTTAACTTATTTTTTCCTTGAATTTATTAATTAATATTTACTCTAGCAAGGGATGGAGTATCTCTACAGATTTCAAATTTGGTTCCCTTGAATCCACATTCAGTATATAATTCAACGCAATCTTCTTTTAATTCATAAAGGATTTGGAATTCTCTGAAACCCCATGATTCATCATCTGCGGCTTAATCTAAGGTAGAAGTTAAGACAACGTTGGCAGTGGGATTAGTGTGTTCAAGAATGACATCAACGTTGAAAAAGTAAGTCATCCAAGTACTTTAAGGAGCTCCACAGATTTTGGCTTATCCTGGAGTACTGAATCCAAAGGATCTTTCAAAGACTACCTTGCCATCGACGAAGAGTTAGAATTTCTCATCATCCCATGAATCTATCTTCCAGAATTAGAATTATATTCTGAGTCTTGAATGTTTGGGAAGATTGAAATTTCTCTCAGCCTTGCCTTTGACACCAAATCTTTAATATCCACCAAACAATTTCTTTTATCCACAAGTTGAAAATGGATTTTAATTTTGGAATACATTTGATGGAATCCAATCGTACAATCCTTAGAAATCTTATTCATCATTAAAGAAGAATCTGTTCAATGTCATCCACTTAACTAATCAATTTATATATCTATTTAATTACTTCCTTCTTTGCATTCTCCATTGACAAGATCGAATCCTTGACCACATGAAGTACAATCAGATTTAGCTGGTCCAGTGCAACCAGTACACCCTTTGAAACATTGGGCAGCAAATAATTAGAAATCTCTAACTCCCCATGATTCATTCTCAGGTGGTTCATCCAAGGTAGATTTCATTAAGACTTTGACTTCAGGGAATTTGTGTGGAACATTAATCTCAATATTAACTATCTTTTCAGCCCATCCTTCTCCTTATTTAGCACCTGTATCAACACCACAGAGATCAACTCCTTCATTATAAGCGAATGCTTGTCTGAATTTCTCTTAATCATCAATTTCCATTAAGAACAACTCATTATCCCAAGAATCAATCTTCCACATTTAAACTTTCACCTTGACTTAAAAGTGTGGAGGTAAATTTGAGAATCTCTTCCACAAATTGGCTTTTCTTCCTAATTTTCCATAACCACCAAAGAGTTGAACTCCTGCACATTCATTTCCTTCAGCTTTTCCTTCTCCATCCAATGTCCATCCTTCTAATGAAATTTATTTATTCCAATTAGTGGCTACATTTGTCCAAAAGAAACAATTATCTGGTTTATTATCGCTACAGACTGAACACTCTGGATGGCATCTTTGGAATGATACTTTGAAATCTCTGAATGCCCAGGATTCCTATGATACATAGTGAATTTTACATTCAAAGCATCCTCATCCAAATTTGATGTCAAAACTATGCTTACTGTTGGTGAATTATGTGGGACTTCAAATTCAATATTATAAAAGGCTTCTTTCCAGTCATTTGCAGCTCCACATAAATTTGCTCCCTCTGAATAATGCCATTTAGCTTGCCATATGAAACCATCAACCAAAACAAACATAATTTCATTATCCCAACTATCTATTCTAAAGGTTTATTATAGAAATTGATTTGTACTTCCATAGCTGCACATTAATCTTTAATTTATAATGTGGAGGAAGATTCAATTATTTTAATGCTGTTGCTCCTTTTCCAAAAGCTCCATAACCACCAACCAAACTCACTTTATCGCACTTACTAAAGGTGTTTCCTTTAAATGCCTTCTTTACAACCCAGCCTTAAAATAATGATCAATCTTTACCATCCAAATCAGTTATTTCTGCCGATGTAAATGCTTCATAATGGGTTACCCAAGGGTCCTGAGCTAGCAAGATCTGCATGCCCAATAAAATAAGCAGAATTGTCTTCATAATATATTTATATTAATGCTTATCAATTCCCTTTAAAAACGAATACTTTTTAATTTGTATTAGCAGATTATCCAATTTATCAATAATTTATCTACTTATACTTCATTAATTCTTCACTAGCGACCTTCCATTACACATACTAATCTAAACTTGTATATTTCATGATAACCAATTAAAACAATTCTCGCAAATCTCATAAGTTTAATAAATTGAATTATGGGTCGTCTAACACTTACAGCTTCATAAACTGTTATAATCATTTGATCAAATAATGTGTGGTTTGATGGTTAAAGTAAAAATATCGGGATTGAGAATAAGTTTTTAAGTGTTTTATTCAAATTTATCTTCAGATACAAGCTTGATTAAATATTGAGAATAAAAGTAGATTAAGTCATTTTTGAAACTCCCTTTATCAAGCTAAATAAGCAAACCTGTTTAAACGACGATATAATACAAAAAGATAAACCAAATTTAAATGAGAATTATCTCATGTCTAAATTAAGATACAATTCAAAAGGATAACTTCAGAGATGCCACATAAAGAACACGTTTAAAAAATTCAATAAAGTAGTATAGTTGGATTTTGTACATATTAAATATCAGGAGAGTTCTTTATATACTGATTTATATGAATAATTATAAAGTTTATTTAAGAGTAAGACCAATTGAATATGATCAATCTATGCTAAGTATAGATTAGAATGTTATCTCCATTAAGGTATTTGTAATGAAAATAATGGCAGGATCCAACAAATAAATAAGCAGAATGGCAACAATATCGGTATGATAAGATTTTCCCAGCATCCTCATCATAATAAGAACTATTTGAAAGTGTGTTTAATTTTGATTATGAGAATAAGAATGGATGTATAATATCTTATGGGCAATCGGGCAGTGGTAAAAGTTACTCCTTATTTGGTAATGTTTAAAATCCAGGAATCGTTCCTTTATTGATTTAACAGATTCTTCAAAAAGGGTCGAATGTTCAAGTTTCATTTCAAGAGATTTATGTGGATTAAATAAGAGATTTAAATACGAATCTCATAACTGAGGAGTTTACTAAGCGATCAATATTGTTAATCAATGATTTTTGGGAGATGATCAAAATTGTTAGAAGCACCGACATCAAAAGATAGATGAGAACTCATATTATACTCACATTAGAGATAAACTCCAATACTAAGTTGCAATTCGTAGATTTAGCAGGATCTGAGAGAGTGGCAAAAAATATAACTGAAGGAGAGAAATTTCAAGAAGCCATCCTTATAACTGCTAGTCATCAAGTACTTAATCGTTGCTTAAATTCTTTCAACCAAAATCCAAACAAATTGTTACCAAAAAAAGAATCCAAATTAACATCAGCATTAATAATTGAAAATAATACTCAAGTTGTTTTAATAGGAGCAATCAATCCTAGTCAATCAAATTATGAAGAATGCCTATTGACATTACAATATTTAGATAGAACTAAAAATATTTAGGTTTCAATTAAAAAATAGCAATCGATGTTAGGTTTTGATTCTTAGATTAACGTTCAATAAGAAAAGGAAATCAAGAAATTAAAGGATGAGATTGAGGAATATAAAATTAAAATAGAATAATTAAATGCTGATAGGAAGAAAAGATTTCTTGAACTCTAACGACTTTTAGGGTTGGATATAGATTTAGAAAGACTGACTGCTAAAAATGCAAAGGATATTACCATATTCAAGAACTAATAAGAAGCTTTATTAAAAAATGTTAGCTTATCACAATAAATTGATGAATATCATTATGAAAATGCACAATTAAAAAGACAACTTGAAGATATGAAAAAGGATACTCATTCGAAATTGGAAAGATATTAATAGCAAATCTTGGAACAAAAGGAAATCAATAAAAAATTGAAAGATCAATTGCAATTATCTAAAATGAGTGGGGATGATGCACTTAGACTATTATCCTCAGATAGAGATCAATTTATTAAAAAATTGTAAGATGAATCAAAAAATTTACTAGAAGACAAAGTCGCTTCTATTCTCAATCTTCCTTAAACTGCTTAAACTAAAAATGTTGAAAATCAAAAGCTTCAAGAATTAAAGAAGTAAATCAAAACAGAAATTGAAAAAGAATTTAATAAAACCCTAGACATTATTAAAGCTGAATATAATAAGTCTTTGGAACATTATAAATTTTAGTATGAGTAAAAGTTAAGCGCTAAAGTCGAAGAAATTGAAAATTTTCTTAATTAATTCAAGAAATACAGAGAGAAAAAAAAGTATAATCTTGTATATTTTATAGATCCTAGATAAATGAAATTGTCGAAGAATTATTAGATTTATATGATATTATATCAAAGTAAGGCAAAGTTATTGATAAAATCGAAACAGGAGGATATAGTGGTGGATTAAAATCATTCAGTATTCCAAAACAAGACAAACCTAATTTGCCCAATAAAGTTAAACATAAAAAGTATGCTTTTTAATACCAATTTTAGCTTATTTCATTTTCTGGATACTAATAGTGTGACTGCTACCTTAACCAAAAAGGCGTCCACTATTGAAAAAACAATTAAAACAGCTACGAAATAATTAAGATAATCATAAAGCTAAATTATTTTAGAAATCGATTATAATTAATTAGATTCCATTAATTTTATGTCCATGGATTTCAGTACTGTCAGAGCATATGCAAACAAATTAAGAGAGATGATTAAAGAACTACAAGATTAAATTACTATAAATTCAGATAAATTTAAATAATAAATAGCGCAACTTTAGAGAGGTATGAATTCAAGTTTATAGTTTACCCAAAGAACGTGATGATGCTTAATAAAAATATAATATGGAAAGCAGAAAATACAATTAAACAAGGGTCGTGATAGAATCATAAAATAGAATTTTGTAAAAGGTTAGACCACTTAGTTCAGTTTAAAGAAAATAGTGACTTGAATAATTTTTAATGTAAAAATCTTATCATTGAATACTCCAACTCATTTTAGTTTAAAAAAAGCCAAAACTAATTCCTTCTTGTGATTCTGGCACTTCTTAGGTTTATTTTTTTATATTTTAATATTTTTCCTTCCAAGTATTCTAAAATCAATATAAAATCTTACATAAATTTATGCCCATTATTATTTTTCTTAAAACTAGTCAAATGTTTATTGTTTATAACTCTAGAACATTGCTTAAACTTATAAATTTTCCTTTTGACTATCATACAGTTTCTTATTGAGCTTGAGCATTTTAATGATATCATCAATTGATTTTTTATAAGTTTAAAAGTAAAGTTCATTTTATGAATGTTGCAGTTAATTTTAATTAAACTTCTTTTCCCCAAAAGAATGTCTTTGTATCTAATGATAGAAAATGTAATCTTACTAATTAAATCAGAAACTATTAAAATTACTCTAACAAATTTAGAGTTAATTCATAGTTTGAAAAATCAACTATCCAACCTAAATTAATTGAAAAGATCTTTTAAGTTATCTAAAATAGTTTCATGAAAAAGAATTCTTTCCTTATATTGAAAATCTTATCAAATTGATTTTAAATTTAATCTATCTTAGGCCATAATTGGTTTGGAATTTCCGATTAGAAATCTGCCAATTTTATTTGTAATAATCTTTGGCAAATAGGTTTGAGTATTTGGATATCATTTGAATATTTCTTTTTTAATTCAAAATCATTTAACAATGAATTAAGGATGTCTTGTAATATTTTTCTTTTTCGATCCAAACTTACATCTAAAATAGATTTTTATTTCAATAACTAAAGTATCTTACCCACATGCTCAAGCTGATATTCATTTTAAAATTCTTGTAATAAATTCACATGATCAATCCATAGTGTAATTTCCTGAATAAAACTGTCCGTTTGTATTTTTGCAATGTTTATTTATTTTTCGAGACTATTTAAATTAAGTGTCCAAACTGTGATTGTTTATTTAAGATCTTCGTCAGACTAAGTTAAATGTAACAATATACAAGTATGTTGTCTTCAATTTTGTTTTTGTTTTTTAAAAATACTAACTTTTTTTAGGGTGGATTATAATTAGCAGGTTTAATGAGCCATTATTCTTTTTGCATTTGTTCTTAGGTGGATGGGCGTGATTTTCCAACTTTTGAATAAAACGAGTTTTTCAAAAAGCTTTCCTTCATATTTGAATCATTGGTAGTAGCTTGACTGATTTGATCACTATCAAAAATCATCATATTCCAGACTTAATACGTTTGTACCATGTAAAATGAAATTCTACAAACTGAAAATAGAATGATATTCAACCTGATCGTAATTGCATCTATTCCTTTTTATTTAGATAAGAGATGATTTCATCTCCACAGATTTCAAAAACCTTCTTAAATTTTTCAGATTGATCAGGCAAGTTTGATTCTTATTTTTTGATGTCTTTTCTAAGGTCCTTTTTCGAAATTATTGATCTTCTAATTTACATATTAATATAAAATATATTTATTGTGAGTATATATATTTATGAAATTGGTTGTTCATGTTGAAATCTACTTGCGAAAATTTGACTTTTACATTTTCTTAAAGATATTGTTAATTAATTACCACAATTTCTTCCTAAAATTCTTTAGATAACAATTCTTTTTATTTATCAGCTTCTAATCTCAGCCTTTATCTTTCTTTCAATTCTTTTTCTTTTTCTTATTTCAACTTTTCCACTTTATCAAGTTTTTCATCAAACATTTCTCCCTTTTTCATTCTCTCTTTTTATAAATTTTATTATTATTCTTCAACTTACTTGAAATATGTTTATAATTTTTATTATTCTTACTTCTACCTGTCACTTAATTGCTTGTTCAAATTCTCTTATAACTATGTTAAAATTAGTGACATATTTACTTCTTGTGAAGATTTAAATTTTGCATCTAAAGATTGACTTAACTCTTTTAACTTCTTGTTTTCTATTTGTTTTTTATTTTCCAAAACTTATTCAATTTAATGATTGTGTTCCGATTTCTTTTTAAGTAAGACATCCAATTATTCTTTTTAATATTCATTTTCAAACTTTACAACTGTTTCAATGGTTTTTTTAACTTGAAGTTGTGATTGCTATAATTATAAAATATATCTTTACTTTTAATTACTCTAATTCGATCATTTTAGCTTGACTTAAATTTTTCTCGAATTCCATCCTTTTCTGTTCAGCTTTATGCTTTAAATCTTCCTTGAATTTCAACTATTTCATGGATATGTCTGAGAGTTTTTCTTTTTTTTTCATCAACAGTTGCGAATTTCTAATTTCCTTATCTCTTAATTATTTCTCATATTCCATGAGATGTTACATCTCTCTTTATTATTTCTATCTCAGTTTTAAAAGTGGATCTATTTTTGACATTATTCACAAACAAACAATTATAATAAATAATAAATTATAGTCATATAAGTTGTAATTAAGCACATACTTTTTTACCATTTTCTACACCACCAATATAAACTAATGAACTTAAAATTTATAGTTGGATCCTTGAGAATAGTTTCTTTAATTAATTAGGTTTTGACTCTCACTTCTTTTTCTCAATAGTTCTTTCATATTCAATTTTTCAAATTATGGTCCTTTTGAATTTTTTCGATTAATATGTTTCAACTTATTATTTGAGCTTCGTCAGATGATATTAAATACTATTGCATCAATATCCTTTTTGTGGATAAGCATCATGTTTATTATTTCAATTTTAGAACTTAATGCTTAATAAATTGAGATACTGAGTTTGTATAGATTTACTCCCTTAAGATTTATATCTTTGATGATTCTACTCATGTTCAAAATCAGAAATTTGACTAAATCTCATTTTTTTGCCATTTATCTATATGATAACATTTGCTATATCCCATGCATGAATTTAAGAGTAATTGGCTTTGATAATACCTCTGCTTTGGAGGGATTGGTCAGATTAATGAGGTCTTTAGAATTCATAATCTTGATTGTGCTAGTAGAATGATAATGAGTGCATGACTTTAATTAATAAATGAATTAATGAAATAAATAATAACAATTCAAGTGGGGTAAAGTGGAAATCAGATTGGAAATGCGATATGGAATTAAATGATGGATGATTGTGGTGAGAAATTGGATGAAAAGTTTTTTCGTAAAGGGATTCCTCGAACAATACTAGTGGATAATGAGGAGAACACATTGGATAGGATTAGGGGAAATAAGAATTTATCTTATTATGATCCAAATAACTTTGTGTGTGGAAGGAGTGCTAAGTGTTTGACATTTGCAAGTGGTTACTATGGTTAGAATGATTTATTTGATGAGATTGTGGAAAGGGTAAGAAAGGAATAAGAGCAATGTGATGGAATATAGGCAGTGCAATTGATTCATTCAATAAATGGTGGAACGGGATCTGGAATAGGAGCCAAACTAGTATATTATACAAGTGATCATTTTTGTGATTGCTCCAAAATCAACATTTCTATTTATCCATCAAAATATGAAAATAGTGTGATTTATCCTTATAATTGTCTACTTGGTTTGATGCATCTCAATTACAGTTACAATATGGGATTCTACTTTGATAATGATGCCTTACAACAAATGACAGAGAATATGTTTATTTATGATCAAAATTACGAAACTTACAATCAATTATTGGCTTTTGCGATGGATGGGATCTACAAATCCTTCCGTCACAACTCCTAATCCAATACGAACTTTTATAAGATCTAAACTAACATCACTCCCTTTCCGAAATTGCATTGCTACACAGTGTCACTAGCTCCTCTATTTTCATACATCAATTCACCAAGTCTATTGCAAGTGAGTAAAGAAATCTACTCAAAGCGAAACCAAACCTTCTCGATGTCCTTATCCCAAGGTTTGTTTCTAGCCTAGTAAATCATGGTCTATGGGGATACTGATATATTTTCAGTCTAGTAGGAATTCAAGTAGACTTTAACTTCAGATGAAGTCCAATTCGTCAGATGGATTGCAGATCCAATCACCTACTCTGTTTGTCCAGTGAAACAAAAACAATGTGATTTGATGGCCTTTTCTATCAATCATCATACAGCTATAGGAAACAAACTTAATTTATTGTAATAACAATACAGGACTCTTTTTCAAAAGAAAGCTTATTTGCACTTGTTCTTACAGGATGGCCTTGATGAATTGGAACTCCAGGAAGCAGAAGCTGCATGCGGAGATGTGATTTCAGAGTATTGTTGTTACAATGATTACACTGATACTACAGATGAATGATTATATTGTTTGTTTTATTATAATTTTATAAACAAATCGAATATGTTATGCTGGACTCCGTTCAATAAAGGTACTAATCACGATCCCATCTGTTCCCGTACTCATTATCGATGTTGGAGTTGAAGCAAAAGTTGTGTAACTAAGGACGCGAATCCTCATAGTTTGAAATGTAATCATCACACTCATCATAGCATTGATCTTATTGAGTATTTTCATAATCATACCTAAAATGGGTTTCACCATTGGAGTGTTGTATTGCACCACTGGCTTTACTGTCAGGTTTAACATTAGCTCCCCGTCTGCATTTTAATTGCACATTCTCCTTCTGTTCCTCTTGTTCCTCTTTTGCCCTGCTGCCGTATAAGGGTTGAATTTCTGATGGTGCGACCTACTTAATACTTTATTTTACCTACACTACGACGGAGATCTGGTTCCTATTGTTAGTGACATCAGTTTGAAGATTTTGTTATTCTTTCGATTTTATTGACTCTACATCGATGTGCTGTGATGCTACTCCAAGAACTCCACATATATTTGATGTTCCTGACTAGTCCAATGGCCTTGATTCTTCATCCCATTTTACCCTTGCTCCTTATTGATTTTCTTTTTCGACCCTTCTGTCTTCTTGCTCCCTTCCTAATAAATCATCGCAATCCCCCCTTACTTTTTAACTAAAATCAACGCCACTCTGACTGTCGGTCCTTTGACTGCTGTTGGTCTCACTAACTTCATTTTGTTAGCCATATTGATTTTCCAAAGGATGAGATGAGTATGAAGGTAAGCTTAAGACACAGCTGTCTTTCATTTAAGGTATTAAAATAATTATTATATTCCCATCTACATATCACACTCATAAGTCCAAATTCGCTATAATATTTTCATCTACCCCCCTACATCTTCACTTTTTATATTTAATAATTTGTAATTATTTTTATATTATTTTAAATCAACCTTCAAGTTTTCTAATATTCTAATAGAATATTTCATTTTTATTCACCCAATTCCCCTTCATTCTCAACCTGATTACAGCATTCTACTCATTAAATCCAATCCAATACATTAATGTAATATCAAAATTTAAATTCTTGCAGATTGAAAAAAAGATAAAACATGTACTAAGTCATTGAGAAGTATTCTGGCTTCCTTGAAAATGTCTGTTCTAATCTCTTAATTATTAAAACCTCTGTCAATCAAACAAGGTATTGTTTTAGACACAGTTCAAATTAGATTAAATAATCTACTGTAATATCATGAGTAATCATAGGAATAATTTCAAATTTAAGAGCATTAAAATCATCTTTTCCATAATTATTATCTATTCCTAATTCCACAACAATATGCAATATTCAAAGAGAGAATAATATTTGATTATTTGGTATGCATCTGATAAATGACAAAGGATGTGTGTAATTTTATAATTATAAACATATTATTATTAATGATGATATAGGAACTTAAAATAATTGTATTTGTTAGGTTATCATTGAATTTGGTATGTGTTGGTATACTATAAAATATAAAACAATTTGGAAATTTAATATATTAACATACACAAGTGTTGTAAACAATCAGAATCTCAATGACTTCTCACTTTTCACAGCTCCAAACTTCTCATTTAGCAAGCTCTTGATTTTAGTATAGTCATTGTAACTCCACGATTTCTTGGTGTCCTTTTCATTCAACATCTTAAGTGCCTAGATGGATATCAATAAAATAGTAATACTTATCCCCATGTTACAAATCTACCCTTGACTCGTAATCTCTCTTCAGCAACCTTTTGTCTGATGTGATAGTGAACTTTCTTCTCGTAAGTGCGATTGTGTTTCTTTTCTAGATATCGCTTGACTTTTTATTTTCTCGCCATTTCCTTAAGTGATTCATGATTTGTTGAAGTACACAATTGTTCAACCCAATCTTCAAACTTCAAAGTTTCTTCATCATTTAGGATATCGTCACACAATCCCACCTTGATTCTCAATAGATCGTCTCCCTTCACATAGTTTGAAACAAATTCATCCTATTTTAGGGATGGTGTGAAGCGCATATTCAATTCATCCAAATGATTATCGACGTTAGAAGGAGCAGGCAAATTCTTTGGGTATGAATATTTCTTTTAATTTTCACGTTAGAGCATATCAGCCAATCTCTCCAAATCTCCCATTGGTTGTACTTCTGATTGTTCTGCGGTGGTGCATTCCAATTAGAGACAAACTTTTTTTTTGGGATCTTCATCGAGATTGAATTCCTCAAAATTGATTGCCTATGGTCTTTTGAAATGTGATAACTACTAAGGAGAAAAAACAGGGAATTGAACCTCCTCCTACAATTCTTCCTACTCATACAATAATAAACAAAATGTCTTACTTATTCATTATCTGCCATATAATGAGGTTCATCATAAGTAAAGGAGTTGTCCTTCTCTATATCTAATTTCTCATCCTTCTCAAATACTACATCACTTAACACTTTTTGGGTATTCATTTTATGCACAAGATTTTATTTTGGTTTAAAAATCTTTTTATTTATATCCAAATTATCATAAACCTTTAAATACTGCCTCTTCCAATGTATTTAAAATGCTTCAAATTAAGAAATCTCCTTTTTTTAAATGGAACAAACCTAACAAGCTGGTTCTTTAAATGAATTTTTTAATTAATACAATAAGAAAAACTTAAGAACCTAATTATCTAAACTTAAACTTCGTTTATGAACTTAAAAATACTTAGAAACTTAAGGGACAATATACAAATCAATATAAGACATACTTATTGATTCATTTTGAGCGTAAGAAATTGTGTAATGAAATTGTTGAATTGAATGATTTACATCGATTAGTATTTAACACATAATAAAACAATTAGATGAGAGAGATTCTAAAAGTTATTGAGTCAGATTTAGATGATAATGTTTTTGAGGATTATTATAATTTTATTATTATAATATAAATAATGTATTAAGACGCCAGTTACTACTCATAATCTTAGTAGAAATAATCAGTCAAGAATAATTCAATGAAGGTCGCACGATAATGGTAGATAAATGATTAAAAAGCAGAAAAAAATGGATTACACAAAGCAATTTATTGGGTTAAGAGTTAAACAAAGAATGAAGATGGAACTTAAAAATAAGAGAGATGGGTGGCTGACTAAAAATATGTTGGTGATTGGAATCAAAACAAAAAGTGTGGCTTTGGTGTATAATATTACGGAAATGGTGATAAATATGAAGGTGGATGGTTTGACAATCAAAGAAATGGATAAGGAACATATTGGGTGAGCGAAGGAAAGAATAAGTATAGACATTCATATTTATGATACTAGAATGAGAAGAGAATATACAGGCGATTGGGTGAATGACAAGAAAACAGGCAAGGGAACCATGTTTTATTAGAATGGAAATAGATATGATGGTGTATGGCAGGATGATAAATCACATGGAGAAGGACGTATGATTTATGCAAATGGCGATGTTTACGAAGGCTCATGGTTTAAAGGCTTAAGAAGTGGTTACGGAGTCTTAACCAAAAGAAATGGTGATCATTTTGAGGGCTATTGGGTTAACGATAAGAGAGTAATAAATATACATTATTATTATTCAGGAAGGCCAAGGATCTTACTTCTTTGCTACAAAGAATCAAGTATTTGTCGGAGAATGGGTAGACGATATGCCCAAAACTGGAGTGTATTCTGAAGTGGAGGATCCCTACACAGTGAAGGAGGAAAGAGAGAAGCATTTCATGGATCCTTATGTGTTGCCAGACATTCCTAAAGTTGAATTGCATGATCCTACCAATGTTCTTAAGGAGTCTATGGAGTTGGCTAGAAAGGAGAGAATCATTTACAGAGCCATTCATATCCCATTAGATGAAATGTATTCTAAATAGGAGATGGAAGACTTGGCTTTATAATTTGAGTCTGCTTCGAATTAGGAACACAAAATTACATTAATTAATAGCAAAGCCATTTTTTAGAGCATGGGTTTTGATATTGAAGGTAATTATTTTGTTTTATCTTAAGAAAAACTACTTCAAAGCTATTTAAAGCATTTGCAATAGGATAAGTACAACGAATTTGAAATAGAGTTGGAAACTTTCATGAGATTAGTAGCTATAATATTAGAAAGTCAAGGGAATGATCAATCAGAGATTAATATTTGATATAGATTATTATTAGTATTAATTTCAATAGAATAAATTACTATAGGAAGTGCAAAATTTTGTATTTTCAGTTTTTCGATTTAAAAAACCGAAAATTTGACAACTAATTTTTTTATAAATTTATTCTTCTATTCTACTAAGTAATGCTAAAATGTTATAGAGTATTTTTTAGTTTTGAGTTAAATATCATAGCCAATACATTCTGCACTCATTATATCATTATGAATGTAATATCCATCATAATCAGTAAGGATTATTGTTGTGATTAATTATGATTCTATGATCCTATTTTTTTAATTTTGATATGAAGGAGAATGTTCACTATTGAGATGAAACATCGCCATCGCCCATTGAAGTTGTTTTGGTTTTAGGTGATTGCAAAGCGAATTCACATTAGATTTTGAGTACAATGATAGGTTGAGATCTTGATAAATTAAATATAGTTATATATATTACAGTATATAATATTTAATTCATCCGCATAAAAATTGCTTTGTTCCAATAAGTTTTGTGCATTTTGAACACCTGTGTTGTGCATCTTTACATCTGTCCCAAACACAAGGCAAGATCGCAAAAACAGCTGTTATGATGAATGCTAATAAAATCAACATAATTATGTAACTACACTTACCCATTTCGAATAGAACGTCAGTTTCTACTAATTAATTGCATTTAGTACACAATAATTTTTCCTTATTTCTTGATTAAGGTACTTTAGGATATTCAGCATTTTCTTCTATTTATTTATTTCCAACCGACAATTCCACTTGATGTGGTTTAATTATTTATTAGAAGCCCTAAGATTGACAATAACTTGTCTATTGATTATGCTAATCACTATCAAGCATAAGATTGGAAAATAATTAATATTAATTTATAAATTATAGATAAAATCTAGTATCAAATTTAGGTAATTATAGTTATTTAGAAATACCCACATAAAAGAATAAAGAATATTTTGAAGAACTGGAGCAGCAGCAAACATCACATAGAAAAAGATATAATTAAGAAGGAAATTAATATAATCATCGATAAGTCAACAAATTATTCAAATAAACTTTCTTCCAACTGATGATTAATCGTTTTCATATATCACCTAACTTTTTAATATTAATGATAACTGTAGGATAAATAGTGAGAATTCTTCAATAATTAAAAGTGATAATTTATTCTAAGAAACCTGCAAATCATAGTAATATTATTAAAATAGATAATAATTTCCAGCTGTTAAAACTGTCTTATGATACTTGATGAGAATGATCTAAAAATCTTTCAATCGATTTATGTTGTTCGTTTCATTTTATAAACTTTACACCTATAATGCAGAAGATTTCATTGCATTTAACAATTTATTCCTCAGGTTAATCTTATGATATTTTATATTGAATTAGTTTTGTTTGTCAAAATTTCCTTTAAGTGTTGTTTATTCTGTTGTAGCAATAATTCAACATGATTGCTAAGTGATAAGGTATAAAAGATAAAATTAGATGATAAGATATTTATTTACTGTTAGTATCTATTCTAAATTTAATAATAACAGTATTAATTTAAGCGAGGCTTATTATTAATTTTTAGATTGTTGCAAAGGTCTTTGATAAATTGATTATATGAATCCTACACATATATGGGCATAGTAGATATTTGTGATATATATTAAATTAAAATATTATTAATGGGCTGTTGCATGAAAGGGAAGGCTCATGTAGCAGCGAGTTCCATAAATGCAAGTCAGAGACAGACTAGGAAATTCGATACTCAGCGTTCTCGAGTGGATGAAATGAAATTTGAGGTGTTTGAGAAAACTATGTATGGAAACGAGGATAATTATTATGATGCAGATGAATTAACTTGCATTGATCGCAATTAACTATTAAGTCTTATTAAAAGTGAGCCAAAAAAGATTCGTTGGACTCCTGGCCAAGTAATTGGGTAAGGCTCATTTGGAAGAGTAATAGAGGCTATGAATTTAGATACTGGACAATTGATGGCCGTTAAATAAGTGATGGTAGATATTCGCAATGAGGATCGCATAATGGCACTTGAGATCGAAATTGATTTACTTTCTTTGATCAAGCACAAGAACATAGTTTCTTATTATGGAATGGAACGAACAGAAAAGACCTTGAATATCTTTCTGGAGCGAGTCGCAGGAGGATCCCTGAGTTCAATGCTCCAGAAATTCGGTTCATTTTAGGAATCTTTAATTAAAGTTTATATGCGTCAAATTTTGTAAGGGCTGGAATATTTGCATCAAAATGGCATTATGCACAGGGATATTAAGGGTGCAAATGTGCTAGTTGACAATCAAGGAGTTTGCAAATTGGCTGACTTTGGGAGCAGTAAGAAGATTGCATTAAATAGCGATAGCACTATATTTGGAACTCCTAATTTTATGGCTCCTGAAGTTGTACAATAATAAAAATCTGGGAGGAAGGCAGATATTTGGAGTCTGGGATGCACCATGATTGAATTGGCAACAGGTAAGCCCCCATGGCATGAGTTAACAAATTAATTTGCGGTTATGATCAGGATAGGAAAAGGTGAGATACCTCAAATTCCAGAAGGGTTTTCGGAAGAAGCCAAAAGCTTTGTTTCGCATTGTTTAGAGTATTTAAGGGTGAAAATATTTTATTAGGGTTGATGAGAGGAAGCGTTGGAATGCTACTAAATTATTAAAGCATCCGTTTCTGATCCCATAGAATAAGCTCGAAATTCCTTAGGGAAAAACTTCATTACGGAATACGCCTGGGAGTAAATCGAAACAACAATAGCGGTCATTCAAATATCCAGAATAAGAAACCTCTCGTTCTCCTGGCTAAGTGAAAGAGTTTGAATAACAACACTCAGACAATCTGTAGCCCATGAATGACAGTTCTTTTGTTCTCAAATAGAAAAGGTAGTAGGAATGATAAAATTCTTTGTATTTTAATTAGTTTCATATTAATTTATAATTCACACAAGGAACAATATATTAAATTATTGTTATTGCTATTATTTTATTTTAAGAATTATATTTTGAATAACTAAGAATTTGAATTAATAAAATATCACTTAATTTAGGTATGATGATATAATATTCCTAATGTCTTTGCTATACAAGTGATCAAATTCTGATGGTTCAATTCCTTGTTTTTAAGAGAATATAATTTTTAGGATTTAGATTAAAGGATAATCTACCGATTACTGTATATATAATTGTATTTATACTTAGAAATTTCTACAAAGTTTGATAGTTAATTCAATTGTATTAACAATATTACAATATTAATTGTGTTTTTAAAAAGGTAAAAAGTTGATTTGATTATTACGTATCGTATCGTATTTTGATTACACAAAGAATGAGGCTTATTACCAATTCATTTTGTTTGGATGATTATTAATATTATTATAAATGCAACCATAATCAAACAAGGATGATGAACACAGTTAAGTGGAAGATCACATTTTAAGGAAATTCGAGCTACTTGAAATCAAAGGAAAAGGAGCATACGGAGTTGTTTGGAAGGCAGTTGATCGTAAAACAAAATAGGTTGTTGCATTGAAGAAAGTAATTTAAGTTGTAATGTCTTAGATTTTTGATGCATTTCACAATCCGACTGATTCACAGAGGACATTTCGCGAAGTTATTTTCTTAGAGCAATTGACAAACCATGAAAACATCATCAAATTAAACTCTGTTATAAAAGCAGAAAATAGTAAGGATCTGTATATGGTCTTTGAATTTATGGAAACAGACCTCCATAAAGTATTTAAACTTAATAGTGACTATAGGTGATTAGAGCAAACATTTTGGAGCCTATCCATAAAAAATATATTATATACCAAATACTCAAAGGTCTCAAATATCTACATTCTGGTGAACTCATACATCGAGACTTGAAACCTTCCAACTTGTTAATCAATTCGGAATGCAAGGTCAAAGTTGCTGACTTCGGTTTGGCAAGGAGTGTGGCTAAGCCTGATGACAATAGTAAGTGTTAATACAATAACATTACTTAGGCCATCCAATACTTACTGAATATGTTGCTACTCGATGGTATAGAGCTCCAGAAATTTTGCTGGGTTCCTAACATTATACTAAAGCTGTTGACATGTGGAGTCTTGGTTGTATCTTGGGGGAGATGATAATAAACAAGGCTGTTTTCCCTGGAACTTCAACTATGAACTAAATAGAGAGAATCATTGAATTGATTGGAAAACCAAAACAGGATGAATTAGATGCTCTTCAAGCTCCTCAAGCTAAAGAAGTAATTTCAGATATAGCCAATTAACAAAGGAAGAGCATTAAATAACTATTTGCCTCAGCCGAAGATGAGGCAATTGACTTTATCAGGTAATAAGTGAATTTAACAGTAGAAAAACACTGCTTTACAATCCATTTAAACGAATGACAGTTGAATAGGCACTGAATCATCCATATGTAAAAGAATTCAAAGGAACGGAAGATGAAATTTCTAGAGGTACTCATATTGACATTTGTAGATAGTGCTATTGAAACCTAAATGGATGATAATCATAAATATTCAGTTAAAGAATATAGAGATAACCTGTACGCTCATATTAATCAAAAGAGGAAGATGGAACATAGAATTAATATTCGTGAATTTCAAAATGTTCCAGTCAATGTAAGTTCTGAGAAATCTAAATCTCCCACTAAGAAGAAGGATTCCACCATCAACAAATACTAGGATTCAGATCCCTCTAAAACCGACATTAGCGATAACAAACAGCCTGAATCCCAACAAATTAATAGACATTTTCATCAAAAAACCCCATCCAATCTCCAATAAGGAAAAAAAACTACATCCTCTCAAGAACACATCCATCATAATTAACCCTAAGTTTAATTCAACTATCAAAGTCCTAGCATGATGATGCAGAAAAAACAATCATAATCCATCTTCCCAAATGTTGATAACGGTAGTCCCTTAAAATAAATCCCCAGGAAATAGTCAATGTAAAACATTTAAAATAGCGTCTCGACAGTTTTATAAAATACAACCTAATCAAACTTATAAAGTCAGAGTGCTTTGTAGGTCTCTCAACATCAACTCTCAAGAAAAGGTTCTTAAGGAAACATCTAGAAGACATCCTCAACCAAAATGTCAGCAACTAACTATAACTCATTATTTTAACAATTAAGTAAAATCAGAAAGTGATTATTTACAAACAGTCATATCATTAAAACATAAGTATAATCTAATTAAAAAATATTATAAAATCTAATAAATTTCTTGTTATAATTAATTTATCACCATAATCAAAAAAATCCTCCAGATTTTATTTCAGTTCCTACAGGATTCGATTTCTGTGATTGAGCTATTGATTTAGGTCCAGATTTATTAGATTTAGAGACAGACTTTTATGATTTCTCACTTCCTTGTCTATACACTTATGGAAACCTCACTTTCCCTTATGAATCATTCCTATTTTAACCATTTTCCTTAAAATCAACCCCTTCAGGTATACTCACTTCATTAATAGGAGCATCAGAGCCTGACTTTGTCATCTGCACCTTATCCCAAGAATTCAAAGGAGGCTTTGGTGGCAATGCCTTAACAATGTGATCGATTTCTGGTTTCTCCAAAGTAATGATATCAAATTCTATTTGTAAATTTGTTAAATACGATTACCTTTATCATACTTCTTGATCAAATCATCATATTTATGTCTCTTTATCAATCTGTCTTGAGTTCTCAGTTGATCCTAGAGATCCCTCTCTCGGTATTCGTTTTCCAAGACATGCCTTATTTCATAACGCTTCTTGTGATTTCTATTGATCTCATCAATCATTTTGATTTCCTCTGGGATCTCCTTTGTTTAATCTAAATACACTGATTCTCTGAACTTCCAAGAGGGTGGAAATCTATCGTTGAAGTGTTTACCATGATTCAATTAGTCCTATTTTAATTTCCTCATTTTTATTGGAAAAAGTACTATTAAAATTCTTATTCTTTGTCATCATTATAAAAGGTTCCTGCAACAATATCATAGTTCCTAACTCTTTTACATTTATCATTGATGTCAGACATGACAGCAGCCTCCTATTCATAAGCTTTTGATTCATGATTTTCCAGAAACCTTGAGAATACTTATAATTTCTAACTTGTTTGTGATGATATTGAAATCTCTCTTGTTCCTATTAACCGCCGGCTTCTCATGAACTCGTTTCTGAACAACTACCTTCATGTTTTTGTAATATTCTTCACTCTTCTTCTCATTTGTAATTATATTGTAATCATTAAAATTGGGTGGTAACTAACAGTTAATTCGAATTGTATACTAAACATTATTTGGTTTTCTCTCTCTCATCTGGTCTCTCTATTCCTTAAACTTGCTCCAAATTAACTAAATCATATTCGTGCAAATATTTCTTCACCATTTCCTATCAAATCTAAACTCACAATACCATTTTCTTTTATGCCAATGTAGATGTCTTCTGAAAATCCTTCTCCTTCTCCTTAACATCCCTTTCTGGATTTTGAAAAGTCTACAAAACAGGATTGAATTCTGTCTGTTTCAATTTCATCTCCTTTTGTGTATAGATCTTGGGTTTCTGAAAATCCACTTTTTGTTTTCTATTCCCTTGATAACTAGGGTTAATGCGGAATCTTACTCTTTCAATTCCTCAGCCCAGGCCTTAGTGTCAGCTGGATCAATGTACATCAAGCAGTTATTAATTTAATACTTAAAATGATAAAAATATACAACAATATAATACAATTCTCTCTCGTATTGAGATTTCATCTAGAAACAAAAGTAAAATCAGGATTATTAGTTATTCATTAATTTTTACAATGTAATAAGATGATAAAAAAATTGATTTCATTCCTGTCCCAAAAAAAAATCAAATTATAGTTCCATATGATTGCAAGATGCAAAAATACGATCTCACAGATAATGATATCAAAATACTGCTCAAGTATTTCAAAGAGTAATCACTATACACCCTATTAAAGATTAGCAATATTGAAACAAATGCGCAAGGATCTCTCCCAATCGAAGAGTTTGAACCCTTACAAAAGCTCTTTCAAAAAAGTTCTAATCTATTCTATTATTTTAGATTGCCTTGAAAATTCTATTACAATTCTTTAGTTTCTTGATTCTTCTGCTCTTCATCTATTTGTGGATTGGATTGTTTATTGTGGTTTTGGCAGATCCCATCATTATGACTCTCTATAGTTATTTGGTGCTGTACTTGGTTTGGTACAAGGGAATAAGGCTTGGGATTGAAATGATGTTGGACTATGGAAAACTAATGCCTTTATAACAATATCTAAAATCAATGAATAAGAAATATTTCGGTAGCAACGGAATTCAATGGCATGTCGGAGGAGGAGGGAAATGGATACAAATAGATTACTTAATATACTTGAAAAAATGAATATAATTCATCCAGAAACTCATTTCTATTCTATAATTGCATCTCAGCCAATTTATTCAACATTAAATATTTTAAGTGAAATAACAAAAAAAACACCATTTAAAATACAAAATTCAAATCTATTGAGCCTATTGGCTTTTCTTTTGATTGTTTCTTCTTTGCACTTTATTTATTATTCTACACTCTGCCCAATTTTTGCAATACTTATTTGAATTTCCCTTAAACACTCTTCCCAACGATTCCCCTGAAATCCCCCTCCTCCCTGCTTCCTTTGTCATTTAAATCGCATATCGAATAGGTAAGTCACATTTCAGTTGACTCAGCAACTGGAGAGCTTCATTTTTGATTTTATTATGGAATCTGTTCTTTCTTTCATATTAGTTTGAGTTGCATTCTTTATAATCCATAGTCAGAAAAGGTACTAAAGGATATTTAATATAAAAAATATTGAATTTTTTACATTTAAATGTTCTTTTACATATTAATTAAAGTAAATATGTTCTATTTATAAAAATGAATTAATCAGATAGTCTTCCTACAGAAGGGACATGTATTGTTGATGTTGATCCAAGACTGAAAATTGAAAATAACTGAAATACCATAATGCAGCCTTCATGATAATGATGCAGTTGCGAGCATTTCAGAACGACCACTTCCTCGTTTAATTCGTATGGACATCTGCAAATACAGCATTCTTGTTCCCCTTCGATTAAATTTGGTTTGTATTTAATTGCTTAGAGTCGAGTTCTGATTTCATTTCTTTGTTGCTCCTTGCTAAATCTACAATTTAAATAAGTGTGATTACAAATTGGCACAGTAATAACAACTGAGGATTATGAGGAATGGAGAACCTAGGATTGCCAAGACCAATATCAAGTAAAGATCAATATATTGATAGAGTGAGATCACAAGGATTGCACATAAAAAGTAATATTAATACATTAACTCCTCTGACTTCATACTGTAATATATACAAAATAAGTATACACCATAACCAAATATAAGTTAGTATATGATTGCTATTATTCGGCAACACCACTTGCCAAAGATTGTCAACTTCGCTACTTCTAGTTTTATTTATCTCGATAATATATTTAATTTCCTTTATTCAATTACTTACTCTACAATTTGAGCTGGTACAATTTGATCTAGTTTGAATGCCAATATTCTTTTACTCGTAGTCAAATGTTTTAAGTGATTCCTTTGGACAATGATCATAAGAAATGCATGGAACATTATCGCAAGAATCCAATAATTCATTGGGTTTTATTCGTGATCCATGAACAGTAATGCAAATCCACATCCAATTTTCAAAGAGTTGAATGAGATAAAATAATATTAAGTGGTCCTAAAATGACACACTGCCTCTTTATAAATAGGGGTTTCTATATACATTTATTATTCTTCCTGTTAGTTTTGATTCACTTCACGAAAATCATTATTCATTTTATATTATAAATATTTTTAAAACGAATCTCATCAAATATAACACAAAAATTAATAACACTCAGAAACTTTATAGTTATCGTTTAATTTATAATACTCTTTTAGTATTTTATTTACTCGACCGAATAAGAGCCAAATTAATGACAAAACCATTATTAGAATTTACTAAATTTAACAATTATTGATCTACAAATTTAATGAATTCAATTATGAAATTTTAAGATGAATGCATGATATTATTATATTGATGAATAAAGAAATTATAATAAAATTTAAGATGAATTCATGATTATTTTTATTAACTACTAACAGAAATAGCATTCAAACATAGTCTAACACTATCTAAACACAATTAACAATAATAATTAGAGAAATTTATAGATCCAAAGACTTGCTTTGATACACTTGTGTCTTCCTATATGCTGATAACTCCATAAGATGCCTTTTCTAATTAAATATAGACTAACTTATATTTCTCTTATTATTAATTTGGTAGTTCTATGCTATACAAGGAGAAAATCAAAAAGATCAGATGACGGGAAGTCATCAAATTACAAAAGAGTATAATTTATTTCATTTTATAGCATTCGAAAGTCAGAAATTTAAACAGACCCTAGTCCATTCTTATATATAACACATAAATTTCAAGGAAAATGAATGATTTCAGCGATTAATGATCTGAAATTGATCAGTTCATACTTTTAACAACATATGAAATATTAAAATCTCATAGATCTCTAATTTATTATTAATAGAATGATTAAAAGAACTGGTATCATTTGAAATTAGTTCTGAAATTAAGGTTTTTGTTGCTCACGAAGAAGGTCTACAAAAATCTACTTGATAGCTTATATTTTATATAAATATAATTAAATGACCATAAGTGTCATAATTCATTATTATTTCTATTACTAGTTATTGATTTATTTATAATGAGCTAATAGAAAAACTTCATTACAACAGATAAAGGGATTACCTATGTAATAGAGAATATGCTCGGTAGCGGGACTGGAGGATAAGTTTATAAAGCCTACAGAGATGAACCAACATAAGTGAAAGCATATGTGGCTCTGAAAATTTAGGGCAATTTAGAAATTTAAGAAAGTTAAACTTTAAAAACACTAAGTGAACATAAGTTGCATCACATCGTTAATATATTGGACTTAGATTCATATAATAATTATATTGTTATCATAATGGATTTGGCTACAGGTTCTTTCCAAGAATTTTGGAAGAATGAGAGAATAGTTGACATAAAGCTTATTCTACACTATTTCCTTTAAGTAAAAATAGAATTAATAATTTAAGATAGTTTAGGGGACAGAGGAATTGCATAGTTTATCTTTAATACATAGAGATTTGAAATTGGATAATGTAGTGTACATGGAAATAAATAACCAAAAGCATCTAAAATTATGCGATACTGGACTAATGAGAGAGAAAAGTGGCAGAAAGACAATAACAGTAGGAACGCCATATTACATGGCACCTGAGTAAATCAATTAAAATATCTATGATGAGAAAATCGACATTTGGGCATTGGGTATGATACTGTACGAAATGATAGCCAAAAAAACTATGGTTGATGGTAAAAAGTATATTTAATTTACAAGGAAATTCAATTCAATCAATATTGCAATCTATCTTAAATTTAAGGTAGGATTAAATTAATTAACAGATCGATTCATTGTTCATTAGCAATTATGAATATTCATAAGATATTAAATTGTTGTTAAAATAGATGATAAATGTAAGAAGCAATGAAAGGAGTAAAGCAAATGTGATAGTTTAGAAGCTGAAAAAAATATTGAAAATTGAGGAGATTCAATCAAGTATTAATGGTCTTTAATAATCTTAATTTCAGTAATTTCAATTCAATACCTCTGTTTATAAAGAACAAATAAAATAAGAGATTTAACAAGAATTAGAAGAAAAGAAAAATTAAGAGTTCAAAAAATTGGAAGAATAATATCAAAAGGATTTAAAATAAATTAGAGAGGAATCTGATGAATAGCATCAAAAATAGATGAGAGATGAAATTAATAAAATTCGAAAGGAAATAGAGGTTGACTAGAAAGCCAAGTTTGAATAAGAACTACAACTCAAGGAATAATAATTATAATAAGAATATCAATTTTAGTTGACTTAAGTAAATGAGAAGTAAAAGTAGGAACTTACAAACAAATACGATGAGGATTTGTTGAAATAAAAAAAATAAATGGAATTGTAATATCAATAAAAAGTTGATCAGCAAATTTCATTAAAGTAGTAGTTTCTCATAAAAGAAGTGGAAGAGAAAATTAGATAAGAATAACAAAATAAGGAAACCGAACTTAAGAAGCAGCTTTAGGAAAAATTGTCACACCAGTATTAATAAGACTTCGAATAGAAACTGAAGGATTTAAGTGAATTCTAAAATTAATTTGTAATAACTCAATAAAATATCTTGAAAAGTAGAAGTCTCATTGAAAATTAATTAAAGGAATTAAAATAATAACTTTAACAATAACAAATGCCATCCCAAAACTATTCTCTTTGTAATTAAGACTTTTAAAAGTAATTAGAGGATAGATTATAATAATTGATGTCAGTGAGTTATTAAATTGAGAAATTGAATTTTATTTAACAACAAAATTACGACTGCAATTAAATTGATGAAAATCGAAAAAAGTTAACAGCAATCATTAATTCTTCATAACAATTTTTGAACCCTTTTGTTGTTGATAGCTTTATTAAGAAATTAAATCAATAACTCAAGAGTATCGCTGAAGAATAGACAAGGTTGTCATTAGAAAATGAACAATAACGATTGACAGCCTTTTTTAAAGATTATTAAGAGCTTATTGATTAAATCGATTCTATGATTTCAAAATAATAGCTCATGATGCAGAACTTAAATGTAAATGCTGATTAGCTAATTTAAAAAGATAATTAATTATAGGCAGAAATCCAATTTGTAAATCAAAAGTTTAATGAGATGAGAGCAGAATTCAAATTACATTAGTCAATAATGAAGAATACTTCCATAAGAGAATAAACTCAAACTGAAAAATTAAATAAATCTTTTATGGATTTAAGAGATCAATTTATTGAATTTGGAAAAAAATTAGATAAAGCCCAAATTAGAGTTTCTTAATAAAAAGAAAAAGACCTACAGTTGATTATGAATGATTTATAGAAACTTATTTTGTAAGTCAACGAATGGGAATAAAAAATAAATTATAATAATGATGAATAATAAACGTAGTTCTCAAATGAGGAGTAAGAAATTCTTCTATAGTTAAACACATAGTTATAAAATTTTGTTGAAATCAAGACTAAAATATAATCATTAAGATCTTAATTAAAATCAAATCAAATTTAGTATTCCAACAAGATTTTTACTACAATCAAAACAGAATTTGAAATTTCTGCCTTTAAAATAGAGTAGTTATATAATAATTATATAAAAATGTTAAATAGATTGTAAGCCTTAAGTTTACAATAACATTAAGTAATTACGGAACATCGAAATCTAAAAGAAAAATTAAGAAAACACTACCAGAGTTTATCGTAGAAGTATGATCATATAGCCAATGAATACAAAGATATTTAGAATGTATGTAAAAATGAAGAAAAGTTTGAATCTATATTGTTAGTAATAGAGAGATAAGAAAAAACTCTTCAAAACGGTTATTAAGAGAGAATCGTTTAAATTAATGAAGAGATTGCTGATTTTGAAAAGAAAGTGTTCTAGAACTTAGGAGAGGTGTAATAAGCAGAAAGTAAAATTTCCTTTAAATTGGAGTTCATATCTGACCATCTTAGATATGAATTATAACAACTTAATGTAATCAAATAATAAGCAACAGAGTAAAAGGATGAATATTTAGAAAAAAATTATTAATCTTTTTTAAGATCTTTAGAAGAATTGTAAACAGCATAGAATAGCCTATAGCTAACTCAAACAGAATAGCAATACTATGATAATATAGACAATAAATAATCCTTACTTCAAAATTCTATCAAAGAGTATTAATAAAAATTAGATGAAGATGAAGCAAACACTCGCTTAATTACTTCTATTAATATTACTAAATATAACTATTATGCCTTATAATAGAAGATAAAGAATTAAATTTAGCAATTTTAGGAAAAGGAAACTTTTTATAAGGAATTGGTTGAAAAATAAAAAGAAAGGATTTCTTAGATTGAAGAGGAAGTAAAAGCGTTCAATCATGATTAAATAGTGGGGAGTGTTAGAAATTACTTGGATAAATTCAAAAAAATTACTGAAAATATTGATTCTCTGAATCATGAAAGTTAAAACTTAGACAAGGAGAAAAAAAAGGCTCACATAAATTAGTTTAATAACTAAATATAAATTTATAGGGAAGAAATTAAGGAATTGCAAAAATAGAAGTAAGAAAATACTGTTTAATTTAATAATCTTCAATTTTATGATATAAAAATTGAAATAATCAAATGTTTTGATTTTCTTTTTTAGTAATTCTGTATGCATTAGAGGGAAATGCGATATTATGAGTACCAATAAACGTAGAGCAATTAGAATTAATAGTAAAAAAAAAATCAAGATGATAATCTAAAATTACATGCGATATGTTTTGGGAATTTAGAAATATGCTTTAACAAGTATTTTTCAAAGAATTAATCATCTCAAGATCAGCTGTTAGTTTAATCTGTAAAGAAATATCTTAATGAAAATAGGTCTACTAATTAATAATCAGTATTAGAATTATCACTTGAAATGGATCTTTTAAAGGACCTGTAAGAGATAAACAAACATTTGGAAAATTAGAGTAAGTCACTTTAAGAAAAAGTAAAAAAACAAAATAAAGTGAAATTAAATGCTAAAATTAAATTATTATCTCAAGCAATTTCCAACGATTAAAATAAATAATTTTTCTTAAATATACAGCAAGCATTTGAATATCACATCCCTAAATTAAAAGAAATAAATTTAGCAAAATGGAAAAAATAACCATCTTGAAATATCATTATGAATAATTTTAATATTATTATAAACAGTCTAAAAGGAATCGTAATAGAAATTTCAAAATGTTAGCCTTTTTGTATTCCAAAATTGCTGTTGTTTAAACTTCATCATTAATAATTTTGGCACATCCTTGTTCTTACCTCAAATGAATTGATATTTTAGAAAATGTTTTAATTGTTCATTGATTCTTAGAGTTTTTCGTCTGCTCGTGTGTGTGTTTAATAATAGTTGATTTCTATAGAGAACAATTTGTTTTCAATTCAGTAGATCTGTTCTAGTTTTTATATAGAATTGGTAGGATTTAATTCAATGATCTAAGATTTTAATTATTTAAGTAATATATTTATAAATAATTCATGTCTTTCTACTTCTGATATTCTTGACAGCTTAATTGAGTGCTACTTTATAAATTTAAGAGTCAAAGGTATTAGTTAGTTTCATTGATTTTCCTAATGTTTTGGCGGTTGCTGACTTTTAATGGTGAATTTATTAAGATACGGATTAAGCATTAACTTATTTGAATGTTGTGGTTGTTTATTATGAATTTAGGGCTTGTCTAGCTGATTGAACTTATTGATAGAAATTAATTTTATGATCACTGCTGATATTAATACTTAGATGCTTATCATTGGACTTTGATTTAAAATTTAATTTCCTTGGTGGATCTCTATTGGACAAGGGTTCTTAGATTTTGACTCTTCTGAATTGATTCAGATCTTTGATACTGAGTTTCTTCTTTGCAAATTGTGTTTTGGAATTATTGGCGGATTCAAATCTTTGTGTAAGACTCCTGGGATCTTGGGCTCCTGTAATACTATCGAAATGGACAGTGCAATATTATTTGGAATCTCTGGTTTATTTTTTGGCAAGCAGAGTTTGTAGGTCAGTCATAACTTTGATTTCTAATTGTTACACCTTTTTTGGGAGATGGGGACTTTATTAAGGGGCTCTTGGAGTCACACATTTGGGTGATTTCAAAAGAGTTGCAATTCTTTATTAATTCGGGAGTAGAGTGCGATTGGTTGGGGACTTAACATCGATGTCTCGTGGTGTCTAATTGATGATATTATAATAAATACAATGTGTAATTGATCTGATTTGATTGATTAATTTTTCTTTTTAATTGTTTTTTTAGGGACTTTGTTCTTGAGCATATTGAGTATATTGGTAATACTAGACTTGCGTTGTTGTTTATCTGGATTGTTTGGTTTTTGAAATAACATAGCTTGTTATTTTAATTGGGGTTTATAACTTTCATATTTGAAATTTGGGATTGCTTACTGCAATATTTGGTATTGTTAGAGTTACTATTTGAAATTGACAAATTATGGTTTGGTCTCAATGAAACTGATGCCTTCAAGGATCTTGTCACATTTAGATATCGGCTAGATTGAGGAGCTGTTTTACTTCATCAGAGGAACTCGCCTCTTGAGCCGTCATTTATTGGCTGGACTAAGGCAATGGCGAGTCACCCACGATGCCCTTTGGAGGTTTATCAGGATTGTTCTTGTTCTCGTTTGCAATGAGTTTGGCAATTCGATAATACTCTAATCTCCTCTTTTTATCATGGTAATAATTGAGTGGAATGATGGCTGGTACCATAAACAAGCGTGGGATATCGTTGTGAAACTAGGGATAGGATTGATCGATACTTTGTAGTACTCACCCAGCATTTGCAATTTATCAGTTAAAATAGTGGAGTTATACACTTTACAAAGCAGTTCTTCTGGTGTGTAGTAGAGTAGTACATCCTTATAGAGAATATTATTAGATGTGCGATAATTGTGCAATATTTCACTAATGCCTTTAGTGTAATGGTAGTTTTAAGACTGAGAGTATTTCAAGAACAATGAATGACGCATGATATCTTGCAAATAACATATTGAATCTACCTATGATTGGAGTATTCTCTTCACAAAAATCACATTTCATTTTGAATTTATGATAATTAAAATATATATAAAATCACTAAGACTTCTGAGTCATTTTCTGAATTACTTTATCGTCTTTGCCATCAATGATAAAGTCCTTCTTAGGGTTGTACCTGCACTTCTTCAAGATGTTCTCAACTTCAGGCTCACTAGGTGTTCTTAAGATTGAGCCATCGTATCTGTAAATGATGGATTTTACAGGTTCATAATAACCTTCACCAACATCTGAAATTCAATTTCAAAAATTCATACCATAGGTGCCTTCCGGGATTTCAATCAGTATGTCATCCTTGGTCATTTGAGTGATTCCTGCTGGTTTGATACTCTATTTGATTTCTTAATGAAATCGTCTGTCATCTCCAATGCAATATTTCCAATCCATGGGTTCGTATTTCAGATGATCTTCAAAAAAATAGGTTCCATCCAACATCTTCCCTCTCTCCCATTTGGCTTTGTATTATCCCTACAGTAATATTAGTAAGCATTGTAATGTACCCCATTGGGAAATATGAGAGTTCCATCTCCGTGAAATTCTCCCTTGAAAAAATCTCCCTCGTAGATCACTCCATTGCTAAAGTAATATTTGCCTTTTCCATGAAACCAACCTTCGAGTTGCTCTCCCTCGTATTTGCTTTCAGCCCACTTTGACATTATATATTAATTAAAATAAGTTATATGTTAAAAATATATATAAATCTCTGTTTAATATATTAATTTTATTTGCATTTCCTCACTCCATTAGTCAAGAATCTAAAGATTGAATTAGTTCAAAATTTTAATTTTTGGCTAAGAATTAAATACAAATATAATACCCAAATAATTAATGTTTCCAAGTAAATTGTATGATCTACAATTGACTCCCTCTTTGAACTCTCTAAACTGCGATTTGGAGAGTGCCAAATTAATGGAATCATTCAAAAAACTCCTAATGGAAGACGACAAAGAGGTGTTGACTCCAGCCCTGGTACTTTTAATATTTACCATCCCCATAGGACTTAATGAAAGCCATATCACACGCTCTCTATGGGACAGTAGTCTATTGGAAATCATTAAGCGAGAAATGCAAAGACGAAGACCTCAACACTGTGAGTCAATTGTTGCAGAGGAAAATAGTCATTTATGATATGTGCGAGAATGAGGATCTGAGATGCCAGATCATAAATTTCGGGTACAAAAAACGCATTTATCTGGCACGATATCTAAACTATTTTTATGTAGTCGGCAAGAAGGGCAGCGTGGAAAAGCATAAATTGATCAAAGATATTCTTCTGGATGTAATTAATGACATTATAGGTTTACCTATAAGAAGACACAAGCGATCATACTCCGATCCCTTCAAATACCTTTCTGATCAAAAGGACAATCGAATCAATAAGGTCAATGTTAAGAATGTACCCCTCTCTCCAACCAACATATCGCGAACCAGTTGGCATATGCAACTCCTAGATGAAATCAACCAGGACGGGGATCTCCTTATGAAAGAATGCAATTCACTCATCAATTCACCCAGTCCTCAGAATGACCTGTTGCAGTCTCTGAACTTGAATTTATAGGAAGGCACCAATATTCTCTCGAATGTAAGTGTATGTGATCCAATTTTAGATCAGGTATTTTGGTACTCTTAAGTTTTATGACGAAGCCAGAGCATATGGGTTTATTGTCATGGATTTGGATGGCAGCGATTTGTTTGTTCATTGCGATGATCTCACCAAAGCAGGAATGACCAAAGACTTCTTACGGACTGCTAAACATGGAAATATCATTAGATTTTCATTTCTGATACTGGAATATTTTGGAAAGTATAACAAGAGCAAAAAAGCGGTTGACTTGCAATTTATTCAAAGTTAACCTTATTTCATGTGATATATTTTTTTATATCTATTTACTAATATATAGTTTAATGATTAATTTTTATTATTCAAATAAAAGAATCACATTCTAGACACATCTATTATAAATAGAGAACGAATGGATATGGCTCAATAATATTTAACAAAATCTTTCAATTTGGAATTACAAAATTAAGAGTCAAAATTAATGGGATGAAAATTGTCTCACATTATTACTTAAGTGCATATTAATAGAGACCACACAATAGTAATGGATTCGGAGAGTTAGTCTTTTTTGAACACAATACGTAGTCAAAATAATTGCTAATCATTTTGATAGTTTTTTGTTGTGGTTTAGTTGGTTAAAGTTGATCTGCCAGGTTGTTTTAAGAATTTGGCTTTAGTTTGATACAAGAAGACTTGAAGATTATGATTTAACGCATATTTAAATTTGCATTTTAGAAATGTCATTTTAATATATTATTATGAATTATATTGATTAAGGTTCTGCACTGTCTAGAAAAGTGCCTAATAGAAAATTATCAAAAAAGAATTCTTTATTTTATTAGGTATGAACATAGCATTTTACACAATTAGTAATCAGTATTGGAGAATGAAGAGTTTCTGTAAAAGTACGAGAAGAATGTTGATTAATTGCAGACAGTAATTGAAGAGCCTGAATTGAAAGAAGTAATACAGAGCAGAAATGAGAAGTTCTTTTAGCTTTTAGAATAGATCATCAAGGTTGAATCATCAATCAAGGACTTTGCTAAAGGGTAATTGACTTGCATTTTACATAGATATCAAAAGTTTGGGTTTATAGTATCAGACAATGGAATCACTTATAGAGAATGGGCCCCGAATGCTCAAGAGTTGAAATTGAATGAGTACAGCTGCACAACTGACAATGGTGGCAACTGGGAAGTTTTTATACCAAAGGATGACGACGACAATCATTAAATAGTGCATGGAAGCACATTAACGACATATTGCAATGATTTATAGAGAGCATCAGTTTGGACCTAAGTAAAAAATGGAGAATAAGCTATATTTTGGAATCCTGAAAACAAATATGAATTCCAATAAAACTAATTATAATAAAAACAATAAAGCAGAGGATTGAAAATTATCAAACAAAACATCAATGAACTTCAGAGCATCCCTGGATTCAATGCAATATTGATCACCCAATAAGTCTTGATGGCTGTCGATACACACTAAATCAGTCCCGATGAATTGAAAAAGACCATTGAAAATCTCCATCAATAAGGACTTTCAGTTCTAATGGATATAGATCATCAACTTATAGCAAAGCATCTAAAAAGTTGGGATGGAAGCGAATACCAATATCATAGAGAAGGCACAGAACAATTGGATTATGGAAAATGGGAAGTGTTGAGACTGCTACTCTCGAATCTGTCCTTCTGGATCTCAGAGTATTAGATTGATGGATTCAAGTTTTCAAATATTGATATAACCGATGACATCGATATTGCTGTCTATTTGATGTTGGCTAATGATTTGATACATGACATCTTGCCAAATGGAATCAGTATCATTCAAAATTTTGATTACCCTGCCTTATGTAGAACCATTAAGGAGGGTGGATTAGGATTTGATTTCAAACTCTCCTAATTGCAATCAAAGTAATACTTGCCAAAAACATTATTCAACATTAATGAGGATGCAACTCAATCTCAATAACTAAATGCCTTGCTCTTAGGATAAGTAAGCATCGATATACATTATTTAGGGAGTGATTTCAGATATTAGAGATTGCCATTTGTTATAGGTGGAGTCCTAACTTGGGTGGCTAGAAAATGAATTTGCTGAAGTGAATGACATTGATTTTGTAATTGAAGTCAAGAGATCAAAATACACATTTTTATTCAATTCTACCGATTAAGTATAATCCCAATCTCAATTTTATAGAATAGAACAATTAAATTGAATTACAAAATTAACAAAGTCCTAAATAATGAAGGATAATAATGGGTGCAAGTAGATGAAAATTGTACAGAAATATCAATTCAATCAGGATAGGCATTGATCATTGAATGATTCCCTTAAAACTATCTGAATTTACAAAATGTGTTAAACAAATATCGATTATTTAAATTTCATTATAATTTTTCAATTGAACAATAAATACTAATTCTCATTCAATTATTTTAGTGGTATATGATATGATCAATCTAAATTTATTGGTTTGATCTCCTGAGTGCATATACTAATATCCTCTTTGTTTCATAATATTTATTTCAGCTATTGATACAATTCAAATTGATACTCATAAACTCTGCCAAAATAGATTCTGATAACGTAATAATTATTTTATCCCCTATCTCAAAAAACTTAAGATTGTTTTTTCAAAATGACATTGAAATCTTTGATATTCATTCAATAAGTGTAAACAGAGAAAGAGTAATTACAATCTGTAATTTTCAAGCTAATCATTAGTTAAAAACATTAATTTCTGATTTTACAATCAGCATCATTTATAAAAGTGTCATTCAATTAACTTCAAGATTTTAAATACAATTAGGAAATATTCTATTTTTTTGTAACTGAGTTTATTGATGATTTTTTATTTTCTATCTTATATTATGAAAATATCCTAATCGAAATAAAAATCATCTCTATCCCAAAACCAATTTCTAAATTTCTGTTATTATTCAAGTTAAGTCAATACTGAACTTATTTTCTCACATTATTTTTCTTAATATCCTCTTATTAAATTCGCATAAACTATCGGTAATAATTGAGGATAATTAAGAAAATTTATTAACTTGAGTACATTAATAAGACAACTTAATGGTGTGTATTATTTTATTTCTCCTAAGAATGACATAAAGTAGTAAAGCATTTTTATCAGGAATCTTACGATGAAATATCACATCAATTTCTAAAGTGATAATTCCTTATTCTTAATCAACATGATAATTGATTTTACTGATTTATGTACATAACATTCAGATATCTTGTATACATTGTTTATCAATTCTGTCTTCTAATGGAATATCAATAGCTAAATTTTGAGTATATCCATGATCATGTACACTTGAGTTTAAAATTTGTTAAATATTTATTATTTATTATCAAATAATAATTAGATCTTAAGATCAAAGATCTGAAACTTAATGATAACGATTTATTGTAACGAATATAGTATTTAGATATGTATGATATGGTTTTCCTTCTATTATTACGCTGCTAATAGAAGAAATCAATGATTCTTGATATTTTTAATTATTCAACTGAATCAGATAATGTACAGTATATTTACATCCATTAGGTCAACATCTCAAAGGATTCTTGCAATAATTAATCCTGAATTGAAAAGAAGTTAAAAATAATAAGTATTGATAGAGGTTGCGTAAATTATTTAATTTTATTTTATTCGCTGTTTTTTCTACAATTTTAAGCATGTTTAAAAACTAAAAATCAAACACATATTCTTTGTTTTATTAAACATTTAGATATATCCTCTTATAATATCTGACAAATAAAGCAACAGAATGATTGCTAATTAATTTCATAATAGATATATTTAATAAAATGATTCCAAATCAGAATTACGAGGTCCATAAAATTGTTGGAAAGAAGAAGTATGAAATTCTTGTTAAGGTCTTGGGATAAGGTCAATATGCTAAGACTTATTTGGCTAGGAACATACAAACTTAGCAATACCTGGCTTGCAAAGTTTTTATCATTTCTTAACAATTAGGTAATTTCCAAAGAATAAATTGTTCATCAACTCAATCAAATTGAAAATAGGGAGGTGGCAGAAAGAAAAAAACAAAAAATAACAGAAAGACTATAGAATGAAGTTGATAATACAAGCAAAATGTGTAAATTGATATTTATTATTTTATATAGCACATCCTCATATAGTAAAATTTGAAGATTTAGTCGAGAGTCCGAACAATATCTACTTTTTTATGGAATACTGCTCAGGTGGAACCTTGGAAAAGCTAATTCAATAAAGAAAAAGACTGAGCCAGGCTGATGCCCTGCCTTACTTTAAATAATTAGCTTTAGGTATAATAGATGCCTTATAAAATAGGTTGTGGATATCTATACGAAAAAAATGTCATTCACAGAGACTTAAAACCATCGAATGTCCTGCTCCAAGACAATGTCATTAAAATTGCTGATTTTGGCTTATCTAAGGCCATGGAGGAACAGATCAAGGAAATAGCAAACGACAACACTCCTTGGATAGGAACTCCTTTGTATATGAGTCCTCAGGTACAATATCCACACTATGTTTAGGTCATAGGACAAGAGTAGTATTCAATAAAGTCTGATGTTTGGTCGCTTGGATGCATATTTTATGAAATGCTTTGCGGGAGAACTCCTTATTATCATGAACAAGTGCAATTCTTACAAATAATGATCTAAACAGATAACGTTTAGTTCCCGAGTGATGTTTAAATATCAGAAAACATGAAGAAATTGATAACGAGCATGCTTGCTAAAACAGAGAATGATAGAATCAGTATTGTATAAGTAATTGAATTCTTGGAAAAGGTTTGAACTAAATGAATATTATTGCAAAAAACCCATATATCATTTATCACTTTATTTAATATATACTAAACAAGTCATTAAGTGAATGACACTCTAATAGTTCTTTTATTTATCCTTTCTCTTTTTTTGTAATCATATTTACACATAAATCAAATTTGTGAGTTTTTGGTAGACGATCTCTTAGAATAGCTAAATTTAATATGAAAAAATACTTGTTAATTTTTCATTGTAACTATTATCCTATTTTAAAGCTAATCCTGCATTTATGATTAAGAATAAGATGTCTGTAGGCAAATCCTTTTTAGAATACAATTATTAAAGATTATCAACTTAAAATACATAGTCAATAATCTAAGAAGGAGTTGCCTTCTTGAATGTATTCATATTCTTCTCAAATATAGTTGCAGTTTCTGGCAATTGTTTCTTATTCAATAAATCTTAAATCACATTAACTGTTAAATTTTATCCTATTTAATCTATTTATTATTAATTGACACTCTTTTATTTAGGTTACTAACCCTTCGCTTATTATTGTTCAGTTTTCTCTTATTATGTATTATTTTATTCATCTTTCCTGTCTTATTTTGGTTAAGATTCTTATTTCTCTCTTAATTTTACTCTGCAATCTGCATTTTATTTTTGAACTTCCAATAATTTATCTTTAGCTTATTTATTTTCTGAATCCAAATAAACAAGTCTCTCTAAATCCTTTCTTGCATTTTCAAATAAATCATTTTATTCTTCCAGTTTCTGTTATGCTTAGGCTAATGTTGCATATGCAACACCTCTCCTATACAAAGCTTTTTAGTTGTTTTAATCTTTAACAAGTACCTTATTGGCTAATTCAATTACTTAGTTATTAGAATTCAATTGACTCAGACATAAGCAAGAATTTGTTAATAATTAGAAATAGAGTTAAATCTAAGAAGGAGCTGGATTTGCTTCGTAAAACTTGATTCCTTCACCCCATACTTAGATGGCTTTCTCGATTTCTTAAGCTTTATAGTGATTATTTCCTTACTCCTTCAATTTTCCAAGTTAAACTGAGATTTCAGCATCAGATAATTATAATTTTTATCCCTCATCAACTTCTTAAATTTGTTTCTTTGTTGTGACAGGTTATTATTATTTAGGTTGGAGTTCCTCATTCTTTTTTTGAATTGGCTACTCAACTTTTCTTGATTACTATCCAATTTCTTGTTTATTTTGTTCTTCTTCTCTGATTTTTGCTACTTTGTTATTTTCCTCCTAACTCATAATCTTAGACAATCTATGAAGTGCTTATGAGGCTTGTTGATTTCCAGGATCAAGATCTTTTACTCTTAGGAAATCCAACTTGCTCAAAACAACCTTATCCAATCTTTCATATGCCATTCCTCTTCTCAAATATGCCTTTGTTTTTATGTCCCATGCAATATTGTCTTCTAAAATGTTTCCACAGTATTCAATCACTTTTTGATACTCTTGCAATTGTAAGTGACAATAAGCTAAATTGCTTAATAGGACTGCTCTTAATTCAACGAATCTGTGCTGGTCAATATATTTTTAATTTTCCTTTAATAATTCTATCAACTCAACAATTGATTATGAATAAGCTCCTTTTTGTATTCTATTTGTGATTTCATTCTTTTTGTTCATAACCTCATCGTATTCCTTACTGAAGTCAGGTTGTTTTTGCTTAGAAATTGGAATTTCTTCCTCCTCCTCATCTTCCTCCACTATTTACACTTTCTTGAATCCGCCTGATTTTTCGATAAACTATTTGTCTAAAGTAAATACACAATTTTACTTTCTGCTGAATTGATTTATTGTTCTGTTAAAAACTTTCTGCATTCTCTCAATTCGCCATTTACTTCGTTGTTGTCTGGTTCTGCTTGAAGAATAAACTTAAAATCTAAATAGGCCTTGTCATATTGCTTTAGGGCAAAGTAGGCCTTCCCTCTTCTGTGATAAGCCTTAGTGTAATCAGGTTGTAATGCAATAGCATAGTCACAATCAGTGATCACATTCTAATACTCCTTAAGTTTCAAATACACGAGTGCTCTATTACAATACGAAGCAGCCATTTGTCTATCAAATTAAATTGACTAGGTATAATAATTGATGGCTTCTTTAAAATCATTTGATTTTAGGGCTTCATTCCCCTTGATCTTCTCCTATTCGGCCAATCTCTTATTTTTTTCCAAGGTGGGATTCTCAGCCCATTTCTCAACATCTATTTAAGCTTGCTTCTTGACCACTGGATCAATAACAACTTCGGATGCTAAAATAGAAATCGAATAATACCCTTAGCATATTTTGGATCGATGGAAACCAATTTTTCCTCCACAGCTTTGATTAAATCGGTGTAATAATTCCCATCTAATTCCAAGAGTTTTAAAGCCTTTTTAAGTGGAGCAACTTTTGTTTGACTATTTACCCAATCGAAATCTATTTTTTCTAGAGTCAAATCGTCACTCATCATTAATAAAAAATTTAAATTTATTTAGTATATCTAACATAGAAATCATCAATTATATATAGCAGTGTATTTAATTAACCTAACCAATTTGGCATCTCAAAAAAGTAGGATCCCTTAATACGTGTATGAGTTCGACTCGTAATACTATTTATAGGAAATTATCTCAATAGATATGCTTGACAACCTTTAATTAATTGTGCTTTAATAAAATAATTATAAGACAATTCAAATAATTTAAATTAATAAAAATCCTATATAATTGTCACTTAAAATAATACTTTTTTTTTACAATAACAATATTGCTAAAATATTTTAGAGCATAATAATCATTGTGTTAAATTCAAAACCTTATTAAAATTAGTCATCCTTCTGTTTACATAATAGACCAAATCTATTCCCTGTTATTCCTGTTTCAGAGAAAGACCACCAATCAACATCCAAAAATAGTTTTACAATATTCCTCCTATTTCTATTTGTCGCAATAGTGCCTTGGGTATCTCATCAGAATTTGCGTATTCTTTCCAATACTCCTTTATAAAATTTAATTTTAGATCTTCTTGCCATCCTTCCTTAATTTTAAAATAGGGAGGCTCTGAAAATGTATAGTCCCATTCCATTTCATTAAAAAAGTTAGCCAATTCATAGCCTGGGTAATTCAGCCCTGCAAATTCAAAATCGATCAGGTGGTATTTCATCAATCTTTTGTCCTTTAGAAAATTCGTTGCATTCAAATCATTATGTGCAATCACCAATGGCAATTCGCTGAAGGAGGGATCTTTGAACAATCCCAAAATAAAAGTTTAGTTTTGATCTGAGAAAACTTACTCAAATGTCGAATATAATTTTTAACAATTGCAATCTGTAATTACGTCGAAAATCTCATCTCTTAAATTAACATTGTGCAACCACTAATAAATAGAAGGAGTATCAAATATTTCGACAAATGAATTTCTATTTCTCAATTTGTGGAATGAACCAAGCATCCTTGCCACCTCTATGTAATCCTCTTTTATTTCCGATAGGGTCACAGGAGAGTATGGCCAATATTCCTCTATCCTTTATAAATTGTCAGAATATAACACTTTTGGTGCCAATTCTAATTATGCAAGTTCTTGTTGAAACCTCACTTCTCTTTCTCGATTTTAGAACAGTCGAAACGTAGAAGTATAACGTCTATATATAACCGACTCCTTGGCTGTGGAAACCTTATAGACGAAATTTGTTAATCCACACATACGTTCAGATTTAAATGGTTCGTCATTAAAAAATTTAAGAAGAAGCTCTTAGTTCATTTTAATAATATTTCATTATCATAAATAATTTTAATTTTCTTCTTTTTTTCAATCTAATTATGATGTGATCGCATCGATTTGCTTTGAAATACTCAAGGACACTTGGAGACATAGGGATCAGAATAATGAAAATCTATATAAAATTATTTTTAAATTCTTTGATACCATAATTAGATTTAATCATTCAAAGATATTTTTTAACTCTTAAAAGTACAGAAATGTTTATAAAGTTAACAATTTTAATGGAAATCGAGACCATAAAACTAGATTCAGAAAATAGGACTTATATTAATCTTTCTGTAAGTTGAATATCGATAAAACTGTTAGATAAAAGAATTCATACAAAAGAAATGTATGTTATAAAGAGGTTCCTTTCTCGACTACATTTAATATTTTTCCCTTCTTCTTAATAATTGATGGTTAATTCATTTATTTCAGGAGAATAAAATATATTTACTCCTTCTTTCAAACATATGGTAAGGGTTCTCATTAATATCTTCATATAACTTTTGGGTATTTAGTTAAAAAACATCATCTATATGGTAATTTATTTAAATAATAATAGTAAATCATATAATTATTGATTAATCTAATTCAAGAGTAGTTCTGTTAATCATCATAATAAGAAAACTATATTAAGAAGCTAAAGTAAAAGATCCTAATGGGTGTTTATTTTCTATATATATAGATATATGAGGACCATTACTTGCATACTACTATTAAAATATTAAGAATTGATTACAAATTATTTTTCAGAGTAAGCATTTTAAATCTTGCTATATTTACCTTTTTTGAGAGCAATATATCTCTAGAACTAGAATAATTAGTAAATGAGTTCAATATACATTTAAACAAATTCATTTGGTTAAAATTAAAAATTGAAGATCATATTCTTTGAGGACCAAATAAACTTTTGAAAGATAGGCATTAATATTTCGAATCAATTCATACTGAATCTAATTTGCAAATATCTAAATTAAAAATTTTTAATTCATCAAGTAATAATAAAAATCTAAGCAAAAAAATTCGGCTCTTTCACTTTTGCATCTAAATTACTACAATCTAAACTCAAAATTAATTGAATTAACACAAATAGGTAAGGATTTTGATTCAATTAATAACTCTGTTTAATAAGAGCAATTCATGAATTTGTAGTGTGTAAGCGATCAAGTTTGCAATATAGAAACCAAATCGTTTAAGATAAAAAATGAAAATGAATAAATCAAGCTCAAATCCAATAATCGAAATATAATACATTTAAATTATCATCATCTCATCTTTATGAAAAAATATCTTATACTAATTTAAGGGATATAAATATTTTATTATTGTTTGGGAACTGAGAGAAATAATATAAATACAATAAAAGAGTCTATCATTTTCTGACAAGTTGTATTGATCCCAATCTACAGCCACTTACATGGTTCTTAGTAGTAGTACCAAGTAGTAGGTACCAACCTCTAATTAAGAAATGGGTAAATATGTAATCTGAATTAATAATATTCATATTCAAAATGCTAGCGTCAAAAGCATAATCACTATTTCTAGTCGTAAGCTGGAATTGTGATTAGATGGCGAACATTTCACACATTAATTGTCCTTCCAATGATGTGTATAAGATGAACCAAAAAGGCAAGTTTCAAGAGTTTGCTCATTTGGATTCCAATCGACACATACCTTCTATTCAGATTCAATTTTTCTTTCACAAAGAAAGTAGTTTTCACCATTAATTGTTTCTCTAACCCAGTTACAATTGTTATATGAGGATTGCCCACAACTTCCAATCTAAGTTTTACAGTCATTGTATGAAATATAATTGCATGAAGGATATGCTTCTTGGCATCTTTTATCATTCTTCTCTACATCTTCACATTTAGTAAATTCTTAGCATTTTCCATCCTTAAACACACAAATTCCTTCCTTTCCATGAAAACACTCCGATTATAGTAACTCAGAGCAACTGGGAAGTTAAGACTAATCCTCACACCTTTAGAGTTCTGAATTATAATAACATTTAGTAGGGAGCAAGCTGCAGTCATTTTACTTTTTGTATTCGTAAGAGGAACAGCCTTAAAATTCAGTGCATGTTGCTTCTAATACGTTAAATATGCATCCTTATCCTTTTGCTAGAGAACAACCCGCTAATAAACTCCCTTATAAACTCTCACAAGGAAGAGATTTGCATTTTCCGTCTTCAAATTTGCATTTCTACATAATTACGCATTCCAATTCATTCTACATCTCCTCACAATCACAACGTCCATTCTTCAAATCCACTAAAGCTTGACCTATTATTTCCTTTTGCAAAGTGAAAATAAGGAGGAGGATGCAAATTTAATTATTTTGGAGCTTCATTTTTTATGATTTATTAAAATTATAAAAGAAATCTCACTTACAAAATCCAATTAAAACTGTTGAGTTTTCATTATTATTATATTCATTGTTGTGTATGTATATTTGAAATTAATTGTTGCATTGCTTAACCTTATAAAATTAGATCGTTCAAATTTCTATTAAAAAATTTGTATGAAAAGGCTAAGAAGTAATTAAGTTTATATCGAATGCTCCAAAATGGAAATTATTTTTAAGGAGAAACAAAAAAATTAATAAGAAAAGGTTCAATGGGATTACATAAACCTTAATAGATTAATTTTAAATATGTTTGAAATTAATAGAAAAAAATTGAAATTTGGACTTATAATATATTAGCATTATTATACATTTCAAAATTTCTAAGTTTCTATAACTCAAATGTCAGTTCCTGTCCATTATGGCTTATTTCCTGCCCAACTTTTTGGATTGTGTATATAATAAGACATGACATAATTTTTAAACTTGAGATACTCCTTGAAGTTTTATTTTTTGCTTGATAAAATATGCTTCGTAGCTAATTTATCCAAGTACCAAGCGAGAACTTATTTAAATGCTTTTTTGCGGTTTTAAATAGGTAGAGATTGGTTTTCATAGATTAATTCCTTTTTTAATGCTTGGTAACCCATTATTAATATTCTCTATTTTCTATAGTATTCTACGAAGGTATCGTAGTTCACCTAAAATTGACTACATATATCTCCAATGATTTCAGCAAATTATTTATTTTCTATTGTACGAAATACATATAATAAGATATATCTGCAATAGCTTTTGTCCTGAAATTTTTTTTTTATTGATTTTTTCTATTAATCTGATTATTTAGGTGGACTAAGAACATCGATTTTATTTTAATCAATTCCTATATTGTCTTATATATCGACAGATTATTGTTAAAATATATCCCAATATTCTCCAATTTCTCTCATCTCATCATTTTCATTGATTTTATTTTAAGTTTTTTTCACCTCCCATTAATGACCAATTATGAATTCTATATTCTCGTATTCTTATTAAATTTTTTCCCGATCTTCCTGAATTTCTCTCATCTCATCACTTTCATTGTAATTGATGAAATATGAATCTCTTTTCATTAATTTTAATAGTGAATATTTAGAAGGGGATAATGGCAGACGCTCTTAAAGATCTAAATCTTCTTACATCTCATATAACTAGTTGGAAAGAAAAAATAGTGAAGGTTTATTAAATTAATTATAACAATAATTAGCTTTTGTGTTTAAATAGGGTGAGGTTACTGTTAAAATCTGAGAAATTAATTCTTTCATATAATTTAATTAAAATAATTGAATACATCAATATGTCTTCGTTGACTACTCTACTATTCTGCTTCTAATCTGACCAAGGTCTCCTACTATAGGTGGAATTATTTATTCAATTTGAGGAATCTGATTTTCCATTCTTGAGCTTCAACTTCAAATTGAGGTAATTATTCTATATATCTCTGTTGCAATTCAGATTATTTTTCAAGATTTTAAATTCTAGATATTGTAACATAATTTACCTTAAGAGAAGTTCCTCTTTTTCTAAAATATATTGTCTAATTTATGATTAATGTTTAATTTTTTATTATTCAATTTATGCTTGCATTAATTAAATTTGAGTAGTTTTATCCTAAAGATCCACATAAAGATCCATGTTTTTGGTTTCTAATTCGTACATGCTAGAAATCAAATTGTAACTATTGATTTTGTTCTCTACTGTAACGCAATCGTAACTCTTTCGTTATGTTTGAAAACCAACTTATAGGTTATTATTCTCGTCTATTTCAGTTTTAAAAACAACGCGATTGGCCTTCTTTTTTTTGGTTTGACCACCCTAGCTTTTCTGAATTGGAGATTCCTATAATTTCACAGACTAAAGGGATTTTGTAATCATAAAATAACTAACCTATAAATACCTAATTACATATTTAATGGTCTTATACTGGCAATTCCTTCTTCAAAATTCCTGATTTTTGAGATGTATTATAGTTGAATATTTTGGCAATGTAACTTTCATGCTTCGGAGATGATCTCGAACCTACTTAAGATTCCTTTTTTATCGTCTAGAATTACATTTCAAATTAATTATTAAACAACTCAAATTCAAATTTTGTTAATTGATAATTTTTATATATTACAATTATTATATAAAATATCTGATCAATAATCAATAATCTATAATCGCTTAGAAATTAGAAACTGTTATTCTTTTGGTTGCATTTTTTGTAAATCATTTGCATAAACAACTATTTGGATTCGTAGGTTCTCTAAAAGTGTATTTTCAATTGGTTTTGCTAATTAGTATTTTTACTAACTCGCAATAAATGCTACTTCATTTTGGTATATTACAGAAACAGAGCATTTATCTTAATATGCTACGAGCATTAATCTGCCATTGGTCAATTATTATTCTTCTAATTTCATTTCGTCTATAGATTATTAGCCTTATTGTGATAAAAATTTAAAGTTTTGTTATTATAATGCATCTTGTACAAATTTATTTTTGAAGTATAATGCTTGCCAAAAAGATTTTATAGGATGAAGAAATAAATAAAAATCTTACTACTCATGATGAATAGATTGAGTTACTGCTTTATATTTTAATAATTTAAACTAAACTATTATTTTCTGACAATTTTGAAGAAAATTTCATTCAAAGTATTTGTTTTTGTGAATGCTCTAGTTTACTGCTTTGTTAAAGTAATTGTGTATGTTCTATCAATTAATTGGTTAACCCTAGCTTTTGGTATTATTATTTTATTTAATCCATTAATTTCCCCTTTGAAGGTTATTTCTTTAAATTTCTTAAATTTCTGCTTCTTATTGTTAAGCTTGTTGGTTTTATTAGGAAGTCAATTGAATTGAAATCTAGCTTATGGGAAATTCTAATTAAAAATTTCTTTATTTTTTTGGAGATGAAAATAATTCTATTTAAAAGTATTTGACTAAACAATTCATGATACTCTAGAATACAGGGTTTACAAATCTCACTCAACAAGATTGGCCATTCAACATTATTAATATTGTTGTGGTAGAGAAACTATTACTTAAAAAAATTGTAGAAAGTTAAAATAAAATTAGTATTACTATCTCATTACATAGTTTTGCATAATGTCATAAAAAGAGTTGGGTTAATAAATTAATTGATAAAAAGCCAATTTACTGTGTTCATATTTATAGCAAAAATAATTTCAATAATTTTCTTATTCTGAATTAGAAATTAAGAATAAAGAAGTATAAATTCGAGAGTTTTCAGTATGTTCTACTTCGAATATATTATCTATGAATATTGCTCATAATTATTCATTCTAATTTCATGTTTATGAAACTCAACATAAATATGTGTACATATGGATTTTGGTAGTTATTTCATTTTCCATAGAATCACATGTTCTAAGGTGCAATGTATAGTGAATCCTGACAAGAATCCACAAGGGATTAATAAAATTTGTAAATTAAATTTGTATAATAAAAATTAATCAAAACCCAAATTCAGAGGGTAATTAATATGATCCAGGTCCTGGGGAGCGATCCCGATATTCAGACATAGTGCGTTGTGCTCTTGGAAATTTGTTGCATTTACTTGCACTAAACTTAGAGCAGAAGTATGTTCCCATAGGATCAAAATTGCCAATCTCCCTATACGAGCCAGGCCCTGGTGTTGTGTCTCTGACTTTTCTTTCTGAACGCGATTTTGGAGGCGACAATACAATAGCCCCAGAGCTTTGTATTAAAAATAATTCTCATAATACTTTCTGTATTAACTAAGAGCATAAACCCCAGTGCTATTAATGCTGCTTGGTAGATTGTAATGCCCTCTAAAATATATGATTACCCATACGGTCCAGGTTTTCGTTCTTTATCTTTCCGACTTGATAATCTCTATCTCATACTGTAACGAACAGAAGATATCGAATCTTTGAATTTGTAAGTCCCAGGTCCTGGAGTATTTTAGACTAGTCCTAAAAAGATGCTCTCATATTTGTTTGCATGCTATTTAATATGGAGAGTGCATGCGTACATCTCTGCCTACACCCATTGTCCTTCCATGCTCTTGGCTCCTTTGGACAGTGTAAAAATTAGGAGCAGGAGTATTGTTGTCGTAAGAGATATTCATCTTCTTGCCATACCCAATGCCTGCAGCTCTTTTACTTAAAGTAGTTGGCAATTAATATATAGGAGGACAACTAAAGGATTTCATACAGATTATCATTTACACGCTGTCCTTCACATCAACCCAACGTTTGGCTTTTGAGAACGTGTACATTTACTTGCTCTTGCTAGTGTTCAATGGAGAACGATTAACAGAAGATCTGTCCATAAAGATATAATGCTATTTATATCAATTATTAATAATTAGTGAAATTAGTATGAAGACTCTTTCGTTTCCTTTTGCTTATCTACGCTCCGTAGGTTTTGATAGACAACTTAATATCAAACTGTAAATCATTTTTTAGACTGTATAAAACTTCCCCTTTGAAATTATACTAATTCTAAGACTATTCTATATAAAATAACTTGTAGTATTAAAGACCTACCCCTATTTGAACAATTTACTTCATCAAATTATCAATAAGATTTATATTTTTATAATAGAATGAGTAGTCATTGAAATTCCTATCACTCCTATTAATTATTTGAATTTAGAAATCTATTTGTTATTAAATTAATTATTATCTCATTCAATTCACTAGTATTTATCTAAAGATTCTAACCAAATTATTATGTTTATATTGAAATCATGAGGAGGAACTTCTAAAATAAACAAAATGATTCTTACTTTAATGCTATGATTTATGATTTTAAAATTAATGGAATGAATTCATATGATTATTTTTAGGAACAATAAAAGCTATCCAGGTGAGAACTTGGGATTTAATATAAACCTTTGCATAAGTAAGGATCAAATAAAGTATATTGAACTTCTTCTATAAATCATGGACAACAAAGTTATTTAGGTTAAACTTGAATAAAGCTAAAGGTAGTTGAATTTAATAGGGGGTTATAATAATGTGTTGAGATACAATATGTAGATATACATTTTTAAGAACTTGCATCAATAGGATTAAAAAGATGATTGAATCATCTATTTTGAAACAAAGCAGCCTAGAGTAGAAGGGGAATAATTTCGGATTAATTTATATATGCTCATTGAATGGTTATCGGAAGATTTAGTATTATAAAATGGTCAAATGGTTTCTAATTGACTATGTGAGGGATAACCTACATTGTGTGATCAATCAAAATTACGAATGGTGTACTAAACAAATAAAAAATGTATGGATGAAATGATTTGAAAATTTATTTAAAATTTAATGTTCGAAAAAGAAATCGTAATCGATGGCAAAGGACATTTGCTAGGCCGTTTAGCCTCATACATTGCTAAGGAGTTGTAGAGAGGTTAAAGAATCGTTGTCGTCAGAACCGAGTTGATTTAACAATCTGGTATGCATTTAACATCATTCTAGGTTCTCTTTTCAGAAACAGAGTCATTTTTGAGGAATACCTTAATAAGAGAATGGCATTCAATCCAAGAAGAGGATACAAACATTACAGAACACCTTCCAGATGTTTTTGGAAAGTTGTCAGAGGCATGCTTTAATACAAATCCAAGAGAGGAGCAGCTGCATTGGAGAGATTAAAGGTCTTTGAAGGAGTGCCACCTCCCTATGATACCAGAAAGAGACAAGTCATTCCAGATGCTATCAAATTGATCAGACTCAAGAATCACAGACCATTTTGCACTTTGGGTGACTTATGTGCATCAGTTGGATGGAATTCATAATCTGTTGTTAACAGACTTGAAGAGAAGAGAAAGCAAAGGTATCGTGCATTTTAAGACTTCAATTAGAGGTGCTGCCTATTATAAGAGAAAGGTTGCCAGAGAAAATCTCAGAAGAAAAGCCATCGGAGCTAAGGAACTTACTTCAATCAATTAAGAGTTGGAGAAGTTGGGTTATTGAAAAAACACATATTATAAAATCATGTACATTTAATCTAGTAAATTAAAAACTCAGAATGGATATTTTCCATTCATTCTTTTATAACACATAAATTCGTTAATTCACAAATGCCATTGATTTGTATCTTTTATTGATCAATAATCATTTACTCATTAATTTGCTGTGAGTTTTTCATTTAAAATAGTTGCTTTATAATTTAGTTTCTATATTTTAATTTTAAACATTGGATGAGGTAGCTTCTTAAATTATAAAAGTCTTATGGTGTTGATATTCTTAGAGGTAAGACCCTCTATGCAGGGAAGTGTATGCTAGATCTCTTTGACAATAATCTAATTAGTTATCAATACAGATAACATGAAGCACAATTGAATCTCAGTTTATAAGAACAGGGCTGGTCTCAAATACATCTGCTTCACTCTAATTGTTGTCCCTGTCAAAACAAAGATCTCAAACCCTTGGATTAAAATTACTCTAAAATAAAATTGGCTACAGTAGCTATGTTATGTGATAGAGATTATAATTTTTTATTAACAAGAAGACATTCTTAGATGAAGACATTCCCAAAAAGTTGGGTCTTTCCTGGAGGAATGGTAGAGGGCCAATAAAATTTAGAAAGTGAATGTCTAAGAGAAGTCCAAGAAGAAACTGGATTAGATGTATTGCCTATTCTTGATAAAATGGAATTAAAAGTTATGTATGAATCCATTTATCCAACGAAACTAGAAGATAATTAATATCCCATCAAGTAAACACTCTGTATGTTTTACGAAGTCAAAATCAATCAATCGTATCAAAATGTCACCGTCAAAATGCAAGAATATGAAGTTGATGATTATAAATGGGTTTCCAAGAAATAAATGCTTTAAATCATGAATGAGTAAACTAAAGATCATTCATTTCTTGAAATTGCTGGAATATATCCCAATTCATATGGATCTGGAATTGGAGAAGGACATGTCAAAGCATTTTTGCATTGTTATGCATGAAATTTATCTGTTTATTTATTAAATAATGAAATAATATTTATCTGCAATAACTGGTTCAAAATTGATTGTCATTTTAATAGGATTCCTCAGATGATCTTGATACTATTTCATAAGTATCCAAGGGGGCTTAGATTCATTCTCATCATGTTTTTACTTTTATTTACTAAGTTTGTATTTCTTCTTATCATGCAATCTTGATCGGTCTCTACTGTTTTGTTTACAAGTTTGAATAAAATTGAATAATAAGTTAAAAATGTAGAAATAACAAAGTCAATCACTCTAGGTTTAATGCAATTTTTTTCAATGTTATCATTTTTTATTAGTCTTTTTCATATTCTTCCATTCTTTTGAGTTTATTTTATCCCTCAATAAGTCTCTCATGCATAATCTAAATCTTTTGATTTTCCTTCTGCAATTTCATTCTAATTTATGATTTTAATGAGGTGATCTCTTCTAATGCCAACTATAATTCATTGATATCTATTTTTTATCTGAAGATTTCCCTTAAGATCTTTAATTCTCTACAATTATGAACCTAACAGAAGCCTTGAACATTTTTTTCTGAGTGTTCTATGATTTCTTGGATTGTCTCCGAATTACTGCTTGTCAAAGAGGCAAAGGAAATATCAGAAAAGTCATCCTCTTTTAATATTTGCATTTATTATGGAGTAGACATTTATTCCTGTCCACTTTGATATTTTACTTTAGTTTAACTACTGATTTCATTTTCACTAGAAGGTTTGCTTAATTTCTTAGTTGTATTTCTTGATCTCGACTAGTCAGCTGCCTTCGATATTTAATGCTTATGCATTCCAATCAATTACTGTAATCTCTCTTTGTACAACCCATACTCTCGTTAAGAATAATTCTTTCTCCAAAGTTCAATAACTTCTTGTGAAAATTCTATTAATCTCTTATTTAATTGATTGAAATCGATTTTAAAGTCTGCTAACTATATAGTTCTTTCATTAAGTTTACCTTTTCGGCTTCAATTTAAGCATTATGAAGTTAATCGACTACCTTATTAATAAGAGATTTTCTTAAATCGTTATCATAAAGCATCTTGAAATAATAAATAAATTATAGCAAAAATAATTTAAGTTAGTAATATAACATGGGATCAAGTTTAGTTATTCCATAATTCGATATCAGAAATCTTAACCCATTATTGCGTTATTAAATTTAAATTTCTTAAAGGAGAAAATAATATTTTATTTCCAAGCTATCTGTGTGATTTTGAGATGCGTAACTAATTAGTTGTATGAGAACCCAATGGATAGAACTAGTTTTATAATGTATTTTATGACTCAGAAAGTATAGGCGATAATTATTGATATTAAATTTTTCAAATATTCATTTAGTTTTAATTGATTAAATGAAATATGTAAACAATATATAAATATGATTTGTTCACTTACCGAAATTCGAATAAACTCTTTACATTCTTCTGTCGATTTACAATAAAGGAGGCAATTTATTGCTCTTGGCTACTTATTAATTGATTTTTAATGGGGATTCTGCATTTGATGTTCGAACACTATTGTTACGTAATCTGAGCAATCTGCAAATTCTTATATCATTGTATTTAAACGATTAATAGACTGGGCTTTTTTTAAATTTTTCATCTTCAGATCTTTTTGTTTTGGATTCTTGTCTATTGTCTTGCGCATCAATGTATTCAGCAAACGTGGATAATTTAAATTAACTGCCAGCATTTCTCCTTCTTTTTTTAGTAGTATCAATGAGAATCTTGGGAGTTCCTAATTAGAGATGGCGAGTCTATAGATTTAATTTGAATTGTTCTGATTGATGCTTTTTGTACCTCAATAGGAATATGACGAGGAATATGTGTTTTCTCCATAGTTTTTTAATGCCTTCCCTCTGATGCATTTTGATGGAATGAAAGGGGAGGGATAGAAGAATTTGCTAATCCCTTTGATTGAGATGGCCTTCCTGGGTGTTTTAGGAACTTCTCGATCGTACATAATATTTAATTCTATATTAATGATGGGATGAGTACTTTGAGAATTTGGATATCTTATCGTTGCATTGAGATAACTCGTTTAATTTGGATTAAAATGCTATATTAACTTTGGACAAGTGTTTTCTGATTGCAAAAGGAGATTTCTGGTTTTCGCATCTTAGATTGATGGTGGACTTATTAAATTGTTTCAGAAAATGGTAATCAAGATCATTTTGGTACTAATGTCGAAGATTTCTGAACATATTAATTATAAAAAATCATATGAAAGTAATTTATTATTAATTTAGTAATTTTTTAGCATATCTGATTAGTTCCCTCTTTTAATACTCCAAACTGAGAGCGATCCCATTCTTCTCATGAGTCAACCTGATTTACTCTAGGTTGTTGGCGAATTTTCGAGTTCTAATTTTTTCCCTGTGAGTGTAGGAGTTATCAAATTTCATTTCCAATCTTTATTTAATAATTTGTTCGAGTGGAAGCTTCTATTGAAATTGATCCAATCTGATGGTAGGAGCCTTTTTCTGAGCGGTTCTTGCTTTTTGAGAATGCAATTTAATTATGGTAGCCAATTGTGTTTATTTCATCTTCTGTATCGAAGGCATTTAATTGTATTCAGCAATGCTTTCATACTCTTCAGTTACTGATATTGGGATTGGAATTTCAAATGAAAAGTTAACACCCTTCAAAAACTATTGTAACATGTCTTCGAGAGTAAGATCGATTTCAATGATTCTTTGATTGGGTACACACTCAAAATCATTGGATATCAAATACTAATTTTTTACTGATCTTTTTGAAAAATATTACTAATTTTAACATTAGACAAATTTCAATGGAAAATTGACAGCCTTAGAGAAAATGTGTAGACCTAGTTTCTTTTCTTGTTGTGGGAACATGTTTAAGATCTACTCCATTCCTTTTTTGGAGACCTATCTTAAAGAGGACTGTTCCTTCTCGTAGTTTCCCTTCATGCTTTTCTCATGCAATGACTTGGCTGTCTGTAATTCATAATTAAGAAAACACAATTTGCCTAATTCTTCATAGCAAATGATTTCCTAATCCAAATCCTTTACTAGCCAAGAATATTCCAAGGACTTAGCATTATCATATTTACAATTACTTTTTTGATGAATATTTTTCCAATATCGTATTTTTTGATATATTTGCATAGAATTCCTATTTGGAGGAAAGTCCATTGGATCACATCTAGTTGGCGAGTGAATTCGCTTAGAAACTTACAATGCTGGAAAAATAGAAGTGCTTTTGTCCATTCTTGAAATGAAATAAAAGTTAATGCACATAAACGCATAAAAGTTATCAGTAAATCAATGTTATCTTGTTCAACTGCAATCACCATCAAATTAAACAGACCTTATGAAACATGGTTATTTTACTTTCAATCACACCTATTCGGTAGTTGGATTTTAGACAATCAGCCAATTGCTTTTCAAAATGATANTGGACAAGTGTTTTCTGATTGCAAAAGGAGATTTCTGGTTTTCGCATCTTAGATTGATGGTGGACTTATTAAATTGTTTCAGAAAATGGTAATCAAGATCATTTTGGTACTAATGTCGAAGATTTCTGAACATATTAATTATAAAAAATCATATGAAAGTAATTTATTATTAATTTAGTAATTTTTTAGCATATCTGATTAGTTCCCTCTTTTAATACTCCAAACTGAGAGCGATCCCATTCTTCTCATGAGTCAACCTGATTTACTCTAGGTTGTTGGCGAATTTTCGAGTTCTAATTTTTTCCCTGTGAGTGTAGGAGTTATCAAATTTCATTTCCAATCTTTATTTAATAATTTGTTCGAGTGGAAGCTTCTATTGAAATTGATCCAATCTGATGGTAGGAGCCTTTTTCTGAGCGGTTCTTGCTTTTTGAGAATGCAATTTAATTATGGTAGCCAATTGTGTTTATTTCATCTTCTGTATCGAAGGCATTTAATTGTATTCAGCAATGCTTTCATACTCTTCAGTTACTGATATTGGGATTGGAATTTCAAATGAAAAGTTAACACCCTTCAAAAACTATTGTAACATGTCTTCGAGAGTAAGATCGATTTCAATGATTCTTTGATTGGGTACACACTCAAAATCATTGGATATCAAATACTAATTTTTTACTGATCTTTTTGAAAAATATTACTAATTTTAACATTAGACAAATTTCAATGGAAAATTGACAGCCTTAGAGAAAATGTGTAGACCTAGTTTCTTTTCTTGTTGTGGGAACATGTTTAAGATCTACTCCATTCCTTTTTTGGAGACCTATCTTAAAGAGGACTGTTCCTTCTCGTAGTTTCCCTTCATGCTTTTCTCATGCAATGACTTGGCTGTCTGTAATTCATAATTAAGAAAACACAATTTGCCTAATTCTTCATAGCAAATGATTTCCTAATCCAAATCCTTTACTAGCCAAGAATATTCCAAGGACTTAGCATTATCATATTTACAATTACTTTTTTGATGAATATTTTTCCAATATCGTATTTTTTGATATATTTGCATAGAATTCCTATTTGGAGGAAAGTCCATTGGATCACATCTAGTTGGCGAGTGAATTCGCTTAGAAACTTACAATGCTGGAAAAATAGAAGTGCTTTTGTCCATTCTTGAAATGAAATAAAAGTTAATGCACATAAACGCATAAAAGTTATCAGTAAATCAATGTTATCTTGTTCAACTGCAATCACCATCAAATTAAACAGACCTTATGAAACATGGTTATTTTACTTTCAATCACACCTATTCGGTAGTTGGATTTTAGACAATCAGCCAATTGCTTTTCAAAATGATACAACATTCCTAACTGAGAAGTAATAGACTGGGGTGTTAGTATTGATTTCCTTGAATAAATGTAGCTGTTCTTTGGACTTAACGAATTTATGTGAAGTCTGGAGAGAGATCTTTGGGTTGACATTCTCGGCGATTAGATTTACTCGTTCTCCAAGAAAAAGAAGTTCGGTTTGAATGGACTTTGGGGTTATTCGAATGCTTGGAATCTGGCTGTCGATAACTAGCTATCGAACACTTCGGATAGCACTCCTGAAGTGTTTTTGATTTGAAATGAAAAGACTCTGTTTTTCTTATTTTGATTCATTTACAATATAAATAATAGTAAACTAATTATCAAATCAGTCTTATTAAACTGCATATATTATTTAAGAAACATATTTAATATATTGTATTGTACAATTATGTGAATCATTAAACTTTTGTGATCTCTGTTTTGAGGTTTGCGAAAGTTTCAACTGGAACATACTGAGCAAGAGTGTAATATTTTCCTTTTCCATCATCTTCTTCCTTCTTCTTTCTCTATAGTCTGCATTTTCATAAATCAATCAAAGTACCTCACTCTGATTCTTCTGGGCAAATTGCGGATACCTGTCTTCCAAACTGCTTCATTCAATTGTGGATCAACTCTAACATCCTCTGTCAACATATTCTTTTGAGCTGCTCTATTAATCTTCACTCACATACCAAATCTAACAATGTGACTGACAGCACGAGGAGCCTTTCTCTTGAATGTTTCCTTGTGAACAGCCTTATGAAGATTAATAGTATAATCTCTGCTCACTTCCCCCAATGGATTTGGCTTTCCCTTTTCCTTTTTGCCCATAAATTAAAATCTTTAATATATTTTTTAAATTCTTATAGTCCCATCTAGTAAATGCACAAGAACTCTTTCACGGAGAGTCTACAATCATCAAATATGTTACCAAATAACACTCAATTCATTACTACTCTGCTGTTTGAAATCCAAAATTTATTATTGTATCGGATGGAGCATTACTCATCTTTCTAAAGAGACAATAGAGTAATTTAATAAAGAAATTTGAGATAAACATCATCTAATAGAGTCACTACATGTCATAGATCTATTATCTTACTAAAAAGCATTATGAACTAATCAGACATTGGAAACATTGTAGACTATATAATATTCAATGTCTCTATTGATCTATCTTAAATTTAATTTATAGAGTAGAAGTAGAAGTAGAAATAGAAATTAAATCCTACGACAATTCGATATTGGCATATAAAACCAAAAGAAATTCAAATAACTAAAAATCTTTATGTGAAGTGAAGCTAATAATTGATTTACCAGGTAATTCATGTTCTATTTAGAATTCTATAGTTGAATTTACAATTGTATTTAGAATATTAATGAAGATACAAAAACGTTAGTCTATTGTAATGAAACTCCTTTTATATTTATTATATTAAATTAAACTAAAATTATAAACATTTTAGAAAAGTGCATTTAAAGTAGTTCTTTATATATGAATTTGTAAAATTATACATCGTAGCTATGAGCTATGGTGGATGGATGAGGAAATGATAAGAGATTGATAGAGATAGTGACTTGAATATTTGGTTTTTGAAGATCAGAAAAAAGAATATTTGTGTGATAAATTAGATGATTATAATTATTTTTCAATACAAATTTAATTATTAAAGTGTATTTAGTGTTGTAGATGTTACCAAAAAATGAAATATTTATGGGAAATGTTAAATTGACTAGATGTAAAAGTGAACAACAATTGCAAAACCAGAAAGTAATTACTAACAGTGATAATGATGTCTTTCCAAATCTCAATTAAGGGGATCATTTTATCATTTAAATGTCTAAATCGGATGAATTAGGAGAGACAATAAAATATCTCGCTCGCTTGGAAGAAACTCAAAAAAAGTAAGCTATAAAAGATAGGCTGATTGAGAACTTAAATAAGCAATTAGATTTAGCAAAGATTTCTCAATTATAGATCTCCGATGGACAAGGAGGTTAGAATACTGAGGATGCAGTCAATAACGATGATGTCTATATTCGGATAGAAGGTCCACCAGATGTTGGCGCATAAGAAAATAACAAGAAATAAATAACTCTTATAGACTTTGAGAAGAATTCCAATGGGGATAATAATAATGAGGAAGAAAGTAAAAATACACTGTATATCAAGAATTATCTGTAATAATCTTAGTTGCTCCTTCAGAGTTATCGTCGGAATAGAACATTGATTATGATAATAAATCTGAGGAGATATAAATTCAATCATTTGATCAAGAAAAGATTTGTCCCATTTGCAGTTCATCCTTTGAGAAAATTGTCAGGCTCTTAGAATGCGAACATAAGTTTTGCACGTATTAACTTATTCTATTTTGAAGGAGTTGTTACAAAGAATATTTAGAAAATAAAATCAAGGTTGCCAAAATTAATAACATAACCTGTCTCCAAGAAGGTTGTACCATTATATTCTCAGAAGATATCATTAAATAACTTGTTAGCGAACAGAAATTTCAATAATATTTAGTTTTCAAGAGAAAGTATGAAATTGAGAATGATCCTAATAAAAAATGGTGTCCAGCCTAAGGTTGTGATCGTTTCATTGAAAAAGATTCGAAAGCCAACATAGTGTAATGTCAATGTGGTTCATTGGTCTGTTTTAATTGTGGACAACTTGCTCATCAGGGAATGTTGTGTGAGGTAGTTATTAAATGTTTAGAACGATTAGGATGCAATTTAAGGTGATTTTAAATAGGCCTTAGTAAAATATCTAATTAAGTATTGTCCCAAGTGCAAATCACACATTCAAAAAAATGCTGGGTGTAATCACATGACTTGTAATTGTTCATTTCAATTCTGCTGGGTTTGCTTGTAACCGTATCACCAGTATCATTATAGGTACTGGTCAATCAGGGGATGTGCCAGTAAATTGTCTTATTGATAGTAGTTTGGTCGGATGGTCGTTTCAAAACCTAAATGGAGATCAGCAACCCTGATAAAATGAGGAAGATCTACTTTGCCCCTCGTTTGGTTCTTTATATTCTCAGGGGTCCATTGCTGATTGTTAAGTTGACTTTGTTGGCTGCCGGCAAGTCAATAGCCAAGCCTTTCTGTGCAATGAACAAGAAGTTAAGCAGATCATCTAATCCCAAGTTTTGGTATTTGATTGCTCCATATTAGTCTATTCAGATGCACATATTTTCTATTCGCGGAATTATTGATCTTGTTAATCGTAATACTAATCTTTCCCTTTTACTTTGTATTCTATCGACTTGGCAAAGAAATATCATGGCTTTCAATTAAGGGGTGTGCTTATTGATTATTTATCATCTTAATTAATTTACTATAATTTAATTCACATAAATTTAATTCATTCATGGGCAATTGTTGTGGAGGCCATAATTTGGCTACTGCGAATTTTTAGATAGCGACCTATGATTTGTCATATTCGGATCCATCGAAAATTGATTTGGGTCTCTTGAATCGCAAGGCTTTGCAGATTTAAAGTATGTATTCAAAAATAATCAATACAGAATCTTATCGCGGATATGTGGTGAGGAAGAAGATGAAGAAATAGCAGACCAAGGCATTGGCCTAGACATCCGACGAAACCTTCATTTATTAATACAGATCGAATCAAAAGGAAAATGTGAAGAACTAACAAAATGTTTTGAAATTTAATATGGATGGCTAGTAGCATATTCCAGCGTTCAATGTAAAAGAAGTTAATATCAGCTCGAGGTTCACTGACAAAATTAAAAGTGTAATAAATGCTCTTTAGATCAAAGGTTCTTGATAAGTTGGATCCATTCATTTTCGATTAGGATCATTTATTTATTGAGTGTCCGTTCTCGAAACCCTTGTTGATTGGCGATGTCATATACGAAGGTCAATGGAATAATTGGTATGTTCTTTAGATATTTATACTAGTCAAAAACACGGGAGAGGAAGACAATTTTGGATTGATGGCTCCTATTATGAGGGTTATTGGTTCAATAATTGTTAACATGGCAAAGGCAGATTGTTGTTGGCTCAAGGAGACATTTATGAGGGAGAGTGGAAGAATGATAAAGTTCATGGTTTCGTAATATTGTTAAGTATTAATAGTAGGGTACTTACATTCATCAGAATGGAGCTAAGTATCAGGGATATTGGGAGAATGACAAATAGCACGGGAAGGGCAAGGAGTACTGGCCAGATGGAGCTACTTTTGACGGAGATTACAAGAATGGATAGAAGAACGGAGTGGGGATTTTAAGAGAAGCAGATGGGTCGGTTTATGAAGGTGAGTTTTAGGAGAATAGGTTCGAGGGTCAGGGAGACTATAAGATTGTTGGTGGCAAGAGGTACATCGGGTAGTACAAGAACAATAAGATGCATGGGAAGGGGGTGAGTTGGCATGCTTATATATATAGACATTTTATTGGAGTGACGGCAAGAGGTATGAGGGTGACTATGTCAATGGTGTGAAATAGGGATATGGAGTGTTGTATTACCCAGATGGGAGAGTATTTATGAAATAAATATGAGATCTTCAAAGGATATTGGTAGAATGGAAAGCAACATGGGATCGGTATATACGTTGGGAAATCAATGGTTGAAAAGGAAGGAGAGTGGTAAGACGGAAAGCGTGTTAGGTGGATAAGGAAGGGAGGCGAAGTGGCGATAATTGAATCTTGATTAATTATTTTTTTTTTCTTTGGGATTTTATGTTAATTATTTTTAAAAGTTTGATTAATTTTAAATCAAGTTTAAATTTATTTATTTTATCTTGAAATTAGTCGATAAAATAGTTGTGGAGTAAGATTGATTTAGTTGCAAAATTTATATAATTTAAGATAATTTTTATATTAATTACGGCATAACAGATTATGGGAAGTTGTTGTGGTGGATAATAAGGGTGGTGTGGAGAACAAAAAATGCATGTAACCGTAGGAGAAGGTTAGTAGTAAGAACTAGATAAAAAAATGGATGAATAGTTGGATGAAAATTTAGTTAAGGAGAAGGCCACAAAAATACAAGGTAAATTCGGTTGGAATCATAATAGCTCATATAAGAGGACACAAGGCTAGGGAAGAGGTCAAGAAGATCAAGGAAAGTCAAAAGAGCTCAGAACAAATTTCGGATAATTGTATTAAATAAAGTAGTGAACCTAAAAAAATGGAAAGTCATTAATAATAGGAAGAAAAGGCATCTGTGACAGCAAAAGAAGCTTTATACACAAAGGGTCCAGAGCAAAGTGCTGGAGCAAATTAGCATGCTCCAAATGACAGAGTAAGAAAAATTGAAAGGGTACCTGATTTTTTGACAGATCGAACTAGACAAGTATAGTGTAATTATACAAAGGTTTTGGAGAAATTAGATGGTTTTGTTTACGATCAAGATTAAGAGGAATACAAAGACTTACCACATTTGGGCCCATATGAATTTGAGAACGGAAGTGTATATATAGGTTAATGGAAGAATGGGTATGTTTTTTTACATTTATTTTATCTAGATAGAGACATGGCAGAGGAAAACAAATATGGTAGGATGGATCCTTGTATGAAGGCTATTGGTACTAAAATGTGGCATGTGGAAAAGGAAGATTAATTCATTCTGATGGCGATATTTATGAGGGAGAGTGGAGAAACGACAAGGCTCATGGATAAGTAAGATTTAGGTGTCATTCTAGGGAAAATATGTTCATATGGATGGAGCTCAGTATATTGGATAATGGGAAGATGATAGATAGAATGGGGAAGGTTAAGAAATCTGGCCTGATGGTGCTAGTTACTAAGGGTAGTATAAAAATGGAAAGAAGGATGGCAGGGGTACATTCAAATGGGCTGATGGCTCAGTTTATGTGGGAGACTTTTACTAAAACAATATTTAAGGATAAGGAGAATATAGTTGGGAAGATGGAAGAAAATATGTTGGAGAATGGAAAAATAATAAAATGGATGGCAAAGGGGTACGGTTATTCATACAAATCAAAGGTTTTTACTTGGTTAGATGGCAGAAGATATGAAGGTTAATACAAAGATGATAAGAAGCATGGTTAAGGAGAATTCAAATGGCCAGATGGTAGAGTATGAATTTTTAACGATTTTTAGGTTTATAAAGGTGATTGGTCAAATGGAAAGTAACATGGCAGAGGAATCTACATAGGTTCATCTAAAGTGGAAAAAGAAGGAGAGTGGTAAGATGGTAAAAGAGTTAGGTGGATTAGAAGAGGAGGTCAACCAATCGAAGAAGGAAATTGAATTCACTTTTTATAACAGTTTCTTTACAGAATTTTTTGTTTTTTTCTTTATTGCTATTCACATATTATCATACATATATTTATCATATTTATTCAATAGATTTTAGAAATTATGAAACTTATTGACAATCAATATCAATTTCTTTTAATTTTCATACCATGTCGAATTCATCCACTTTTTTAGTTATTTTCTTATTCGATCTGATATCCTAAGTATCTTTCAATATATTACTTCTATATATTTATAAATTCTAATAAACGTCCATCTCATGTATTATTTTGATCTAATAAACACTTAAATTTAATTGATTTCTCTAATATGATATATATATATATCTATAAAATTAAATAATTTAAAAGATATTTATAGGTAAAATCACAGATAAATTTATATTGAAAACTTAGGTTAATGTGCGAATAGTATGATTTTGAATACTCCTGATTTATGGGATTTTACTATATAAGCAGTATTAATGGTAATATAAGTAATTTTTGGAAATCATTATATGATTATCTTATTTGATAATCTAATAATATTATAAAAATTGATGTTCTTTAATATTTTACAAATAACACTTCTTCTTCTGTTATATTTATAATTTTGGATTTATTTAGCTGTTTACATACAGAAAGTTATTGCAGAAATTTCTAAAGAGCTTTTTAATATTGATAAAAATGATCTTATAAAATACTTCACACGTAAATTATTTGTTCTAGAATATTTTTAATAAATATGTTGAAATACATCTTATTAGGTGTCATGTGCACATTCAGTGTAGCTTTATTTGAGAATTCTTATCTCATTAAGCATGCCAATAAATTACAAGATTTTAGAGACATTTTAGCATCTGAATTTGTTTCACTTGTGTATTTTTATTCGGAAAATTGTGAGAATTGCCAAAGAGCTGCTTAACTCATAGAAAAAGTCGCTGAAGATTAAGAAGGCATAATAAATGTATATGGAACGAACTGCGATGAAATCAATAAGGATCCAAAATCTGTGTATATATGCAATCTAAATCTAGGGATTAATTACCATATTGCAGTTCTGATGTGATGTAACATTTGCCATAAATCACGTTCTTTGAGCCTCCTAGTCAACCAATCAACCCATATACAAAAGAAAAAATGATCGCTACTGAACATAGATTTTAAGGAGAAGCCTCTCCTTAGAGTTTGGGATAATATGGATACAAATTCATTCCAAATCACGTCATCAGAATAAATACAGTGGAGGAGCTCAGGAAATTTGAGGCGTCTGATCCAAAATTGAATAAGGTCATTCTATTTACAAAAAGAAAAGAAACCTCTCCTTTACTCAAAGCCATGAATATACATTATTTGGAGAGAGTCAAATTTGGAGAAGTTGTAGCAACTCCAGAAACATAATCTCTATTAGACGAATTTGATGTCAAGGAACTACCACAAATAGTTGGATTAGAGAATAATGGAGATAATACTTATAGTAGAGATCTATTTGATGGAGATTTATTATTCAAACCAATTAAGAAATTTGTTAGGGGGTTGGCAGCTAAAGATAGAATTCCATATGAATAAATAAATGAACAACCAAAGAAGTAGGAGGAAAGAAAAAACAGAAGACAAAAACAAGACGATTAAGATAATAATGAAAAATAAAATGTCATTACACCTACTAAATTAGACCAAGGCGTTTTGAATAAACAGTTATTACGAAATGATAAACCAGCATTTGTGCATGTTTATAAGGAGACACCTCATAAGGCATGGGAGGAAACTATTAAAAAATATAAAACCTTATTTGATTATTATGAGTTCTAGGTTAACACTTAAGAGGACGAAGAATTAGTCAAAGAATTGCAAATTAAAAGCTATCCTAGCATTAGATTTTATCAAGTAGGAAATACCTAAAAAAAAAGAGCCTCCAAAATATCATTTACTAAAGAATATTCATTGGAGGAAATAAACAAAGACATATAAGAATTAGTTGATGATAAAACTATTAATATCAATGAACAAACATTGTAAATGCAATTGAGTCAATATATTGCTGACAATAATATTGTTGTACTTTATTTCTATTAGACTCAATAAGTTGGGTTAACCTATAGAGTCTTGAGTTAATTGCAAGAATATTATGGTAAGTATAAATTCTTATCCTTCAAAAATGCATCTCAAAAGGTTATAGATCAATTTTAGATACCACATCAACCAGCAATTACTATTATCTTTAGAGATGTCAAGGATAAGAAGGAACTAGAAGAAGAAGTAAAACAAGACTAAGTAAAACAAGCACTATTTACAGGGAAACACGGTTATGAAGAAATTAAATCATTCTTAGATTCAGTATAATATAATTTAATTTCTAGTTTGATGAATCGAAAAAGACATCTAACAAAAAGGTTCAAGAAATTTCAAATTAAGAGTAATTAGAAGAATATTGTGAAAAGAAGTAGACATTATGTTACATTGCATTATTGAATGGTGAACATAAATCAGTGAAGCACGATGATATTTTGACAAAGTGGGAACATTAATTGGAAGTATTGGACAAAATCAAGAATATTCATGGATCAAAGTCAGCTTCTTTTGTTTTCATTGATGCATCTTGTCATGATGAGTTATTATTGAAATTTGATATTTCAGATGATTCATTGCCCAATTTCGTTGCTTATTCTAGCAGCAAAAAGACGTAATTATTATTTATCATGTTAGTTATTCTAAATTAATTGGAAGATTCGATTATGATGCTATTAGTAAATTTATTGACAAATAATACAAGGGACAGTCTAGCAATATCAATATTAATTCTATTTAAATTATAGAAAAAAATTGTGAGGAGATATTCCAAAAAAGGAAAGAGGCTAGTCAATCATCAGGATTATCAGATTTTGATGAAGAAATTTTGAAAGAGATTTTGGAGGAAGAGAGATTAAAGAAGAAGGAGTTGGAAAAGGAATTGAAGAAAGGAAAGAAAAAGAATAAAAAGTCTAAAGATGATTTATGATTTTAATTCAATATTCTATGTTGTAATTGTTTATATTTAAATAAATAATGGTCATATATATATATTGCTAGGTAATCATCTTTTCAACTTGTCTTCATATTATTTGAACTTCTAATTCAACCAATCATAGAATTCTGAACTGTCATTCTTTTTCTTTTCCCACATTGATCCCTTGTATTTTTTTGAATTAGATACCAATTTATCAAACATCACACCCTAACATTCAAATATTGATTTACTGCAAATTTTCGAAGCATATAATTTGGCAAGAAATCTGGTATGTATTTTAACTTTAAATCAATACAAATTACCAAACTGACTATGTGATGATCAAATGATATTGGTTTAACCTTTGTGCAAAATACATTTAAATCAGCTCTCACATGTTTCGGTTCTTCTGGAAAAGAAACTCAAAAGAAATAAATTGAAGAAGTGTACCCATATCTTTTCAATAATTTTGCTCTCTTATCAATCGAATGACTCAAAATAAGAACACTTCCATCGTATTCAAGGTTGTTCACTCCCCACCCTTTTACACACAATTCTCTATCAGATATAACGGGGGGTGATGAATGCATATGTAGAATCTTCGTGGCTTTGTCTGGTTGCAAAATAGTCTTGGAATCTTTGCAGAAGGGAAACCATTAAGGATATAGTTCTGTCTCATATATAAGGCTGATGAAGATGTCAAGAGGAATTTTGATTTCGGTGTCAATTCTAGCAACAACTCTTGGTGAATTGGGTAATTATTAATATCTAATCTACATTCGGCTATCTTATTGTTAAATTGACCAGCCATCTGATTAAATTAGTGTAATAAATACCCTATAAATCAAACCATTTGGTGAGTTCCTTTATTTCTTCTATGTCATCATCAATTAATTCGAAAATGTCCTTGGTGTAATTGATGTACTCCTTGTCGTTGGCATACCTATGGAAAAGTTCTTACTTCATCGAATAGGCAGAAAAGTATTATTTGTCATCGATCAGATATTTCAGCTGTTGCAATTCTGAAAGTTGTTAATTATTTGGAGAGATTTCAATTTATATTAATTTGATTGCCGATGGAATAATGCAATAAAACTCTGGTTCCTCTTCTTCTTCTATAACTAAGTTTCCTAATTATATCAAGTGTCTAATTAAAACCCATTTTTTACTTTTTTATAGACATATTTTTTATTAACAAATATGAAATTATTCACAATTTACAAAATAAATACAACATAAAATGTTCTGGCATTCCTACAGAAATATTTATGCCTAATTATAACCCAATTACATTGAATTCCTATTTTCAACAATTCAAATTGTATTATTTCTGCATTTAGAAGTCAAGGGTCTCCTTCTATAGTTTTCTAATAGAAAAATAAATTAAAGATAATAAACGAGAAAATTCAATTATTAGGATATTTATTTTTTTAATGTAATTTGATCGAGTTAAATATTAAGTCTCGATAAATTTAAGATCAATTTTATTGAAGAGTAGAATTAATTCTATTTATAAACTCATTTTCTTTTTTTCTTTGGACCTAGAGCTTCTCTCAATTTTCTATCTTATCTTTGAAATATTTCAAGTCTCTCTTTCCATTATTGCGCTTAATCGAAATCTCTCAATTTCCACATCAGAACATCCATTCTGAAATTGGCATCTGATGGCAACGGATATTATGCCAATTCTAATTTGATTGGAAAATCAGTCATGATAGATATCAACTTTTGATTATCAAACTTAAATATTAACAATCTTTACTTTTAACTCTTGATTCCAAACTCCCTTAATTATGCTTTTGATTGATTTCACTTCTGTTTTCAAATCTAGACCCTTGTATTTTCTATAGCCTTCCCTTAAATATCTTCCAATAGCTGCATCAGTAACTTCACAGACTCCCCCAGCTACATAATCTGAGTAAGGAAGATATTCAATATTGAAATATTGGCAGTACTTCTTATCTGGTTTGAATGCACATTCCATAATCAATTTATTATTCAAGTCAAATAAGAACTATTTCTCTAGAAAGTCCATTGATTTATCACCAAATGTTGTCCCGTAAATACAACCAGGTGCCAATAAGATGATAATTTCTTAGGGAGGGTTTTCGAATATCACTTTAACTTCTCCAACATTTCTTCCAACAACAGAGTTTGAATGAAAGTTAGCAACTAATTCTAGACGAGCATCAATTCTATTCATGTTTACATTATTCTTACTTGTATTTTCTGCCATGATATTGAATGATGCAAATTGGAGGGTGATGACTGATTTATTCACAATATATAGGACAATTATCAAAGTAGCCTTAGAAGGTTTCTCCTAGAATTGGATTGAAGGGCTTGAGTTATATTAGAAAGTGATATTACTTTTTCCATGGATAAATATGAAAAGATAAATCCAAAAGAAAATGCTGCACACTATTTAATCCTGAAGAATTTATCTTTCGAAATAGCAGCTTCGTCCAAAAACACTGGTGCAAAGGCCAAAGAACTACAAGCTCTCTCAGTATTAGATCTGGACTCGAAAATAGTCACTGGCATTGATATACTAGTAAGAGATCTTCCCATCAAAAGTGAAGTTCCTTTAATATAAATCATTTCTTACCTATTCTAGCTAATAAAAATTTGACCACGCTCTTCTATGCATTCACTTTAACTTCATTTATACATTTTAGTCCACCATTCTTTTCATCTCTTATGAAATCCTTTCTAAATATATAGTGACCCCCTTCTTATTCTTTCATATACTTCCTGTTCTTATTTTAATTGAATATATAAATACATTAATGTCTGATTCTAATGGATTCAATATATGTTCAATGTCGATTGCAATTTGACAAAATTTTCCATTAAAATATGCCTACATCTTTTTTTCCACCCAATCTTCAAGATTTTCAATAGTGTCACTCTGACTTTAGGTTTAACTACTCTAACTCTGAGGCTATCTTTAAGTGATAGAATTTCTGACCTCTATCACACTTTAATCAGATGTATTAGCTTATTGATCTGATTGTCCAATAAATAACTTATCATTCATAGCATCGATATCATCTTCACAATCATAAAATTAAGTAATATTTCCATCAGATCCCTCATTTTCAGGTTGGATATCATCATTTTCACAATCATCTTCTATTTTTGGTTATTGAAATATGATATTTTATGATATTATTTGAGATGACTCTTAAGAACTGGATGTCATTTTTAGTTTGAGTTATTCCATAGCCCCTTATGAAAGGTTGTTTTGGTCACTTTTTGCTTGAACTTAATTAAACTCAATTGACTTATCTGATTTTTTCATATTAATTTACTATTATTAAGCTTATTTATCCTCTTCTTTTTAGTTTGCAATCTAGGGAATATTTTTGTCTTTGGAAGGCAATGGCAATTATGGGGGTGAAACAACCTGTATTTATTAAGTTGGACCCAACTATGGGGAGGATCCAAGAACTGGTTATTGGGTATTTTGATTTTACATTGTTGATTTGGGGATATCAACAGGTTATTCCATTTTGAAGGAATTCTATTTTGTGTCTTTTCTATGTAATGCTTTTAACTTTGAGGGGGCGGATTCATTTTAAGGACTATTGTTGGGAATGATGACTTGGCCTTAATCTTACATGGATTGTTTATCAAAGTCTAGTCTTTGGGGTTTGATTATGTTTTCGTATTGCAGGAAATATTGCTGTGAGAGTATTGAATCTTCTTCGATAAAGGCTAAACCATTGTAGCTCTATTCAGTGAAGAGGACTACGTTGGTTTGATTGTTTTCATAGAAGAGACCCCAAACAGCAAATTTCAATAGTCCTGAAACAGTACCTGAATGTATTTTTTAATCTAGTTTTTTTTCAATGACAATTTTGGTGTTTTCTTTTTTTTTAAATTCCACGGCATATCTTAAGTATGTGAATTCTCTTTTAAACTAAAACCAGTTTTTGATTAATCTTATTTCAGTTATCATTTGGGATTTATCAGATTTGAATTCTTTAATTTAAGTGTATTCTTTAAGATTATGGATATTCCAATCGTATTGAGTCTGAAATAGTTGCGTTTAACATTTGGTTAAGCCTAATATGAATTAGTAATAATACAATTTCCTGGGAAAGTGAGGAAGACTTTGAAATTGAGTTAATTATTTTTATTGCGATAAATCTTCACTACTTGATTTTGGATGAGTTCGTACTATTCCAATAGGTAGGATTTGGATCTGATATTTTGAATCCTAATTTAATAATTTAGAGTATAAAACATACGCATCTCGAATTTCTGGCATTTCAAAGAATTGTGGAATTTCATAATCGTATTCTCGAAGTGAGGCTGTGGTTTAAATTAAATATATTATACATGTTGGATTCGAAGATAAACTGGGTTCGAATAAACTTTGACTTCGCAGTTATTATCCGCACATTTTTTTCAGGAACAACATAAGTTCATTGGCGAATTTTTCATTATCGGATCCCATGAGCATGTTCTTTTCGCCGATTGTAGAAGCCAATTCAAATTGGAATCTATTATTTTTTCTTTCTACATTTGCTATCTATCAAGAATGAGAATCTTCTTTACTTGATAATTTGCAAGATGGTAATTTTTATTTTATTTTGAACTTTTGATTGAAAATATTCTAAGTTCTTGGTCAATGATGTATTTTTTGGGTTACCAAAGACCAAAAGTCTTTCCTTTGACTAGGACTTCTCCTTCCAAAAGATAGTTGATTTTTGCCTTGTCCATAAATTTAATAAAATATTTGGGATATTAAATTGGAATTTTAGTGTAAACTATTATTCTACCCCTTTTGCTCACTTTACATCTTATAAATTTATTTTAAAGTTATATTGTTTTTTTTTGTTACAATATGATAATACAACCCAGATACTCGTAGAAGATGGCTGACACTTTCTCTAACAGTAAGGACTTTTACTCATTTCATCAAAAATAATTCATTGCTTAAAAACCCCAAGCACAACGTTTGGAACATTTGTCAATCTCTCAAAGAACTAAAATTCAATCAAGCAAGGAAAGGACTAGTTCCGAAATTCTGACTGCTTTTATCAACAGAGGGATGCTTTCGACTCAATAAAAGGTGTCAAATTCAAGACCTTATGAGAATTCATCAAGCATTCTAATAAAATAGAGTTATGATGAAAAAATCACCAGAGAAGATTTACTGGCGCAACAGGCTCTATAAACCATAGAGGATTTGGAAAAGAGTATTAAATCATAATGAATTGTTTAGATAAGAAAATACTTCCACCATTGAGATTGTATGCTGATAAATTAAAACTCAAGGAGAGACAGAACCAATCCAAAGAAAAAGTGGAAACCTTCAAAAGTTCCCTCATTGAAACGTAAGCTTAATACAAGTATGACTAGTCCCACCTTGCAAAGGACAGTGGTGAGAAAGAATCGAGGATTCATACAAGGCGAATAGAAATCAACGTATGAAAATGAACAGAGTGTCCAGAAGATGGGAAGAACATCATCAACACCCTTGATGCAGAAATCAAAAGAGGAAAAGGAAGAACAAGCAACTAGTAGATCTGGAACTCCTTAAAAGGAAACCTCAAATGTGAGTCCAATCAAGAATCCCCAAAAGACTCTAACAAAATAATTGAGTATTTATACTCCTTAATAAAAAACAATTAAGGAAAAGAAATTACAGAGTGCCTTGCATTAATCATAACCATAATAACAATAACAATAACAATAATAATATCCTATCCAAATTGATAAAAAAATAATTCCAAGGAAAAAAAAGAAATAAAATTAAGTAAATATCATCCAGTAGCAAAACATATAAAAAGAGAAGTTGACTCTGCGTCACACTTCGTATCGTTGCTTTTTGAATAAGATTAATTTTTCAAATAATCAATGCATTTCCTGTCCCAACAAATTGGAAGTCCCTGCCTATTATTACTATGTGGGTCTTGGAAACAATGGAAGTTTAGTCAAAAATATATTTCGTCAAAGATGGTGGTGGTCTGAAGTAGAAACTTTAGATACTACAAAAGTAAATATGTCATGGACATAATTGAAATAGAATATTTGCATCGAATAATTGCATCCCTACAACATGGATTCAGGAGCCTAGAGTTCCGAGTCCTTTATTTTGAGTCATGAAGAAACAATTGGGGATACAAGTGACTCAGACATTGATGTAAGACCCAAATAATTGAGCATCACTGGAGGAATATAAAAATAGCAGAGCTCTTCTTAGCATCAATAAAAGAAGCCTCCCAATTATTACTCAATGAAAAGAATATTCAATGCTTAAGACTTATAAAAGTTAGTAAATTATATGGAAGAAACTAATTGTTTTGATAGCTAATTGATTTTCAGTGATTGCTCTGAAAAATTACTAAAGGAAATAAAGTAGTATAACACAATTCAAAGGCTGGACAGTAGAACCCAAAAAATGCACAATCATATGGAAGATAATTGGCACTTAGGTAATAAAAAGGCCTTGTTTTATAACATGAGACATTATTTTCAAATCATCAGGGAAGATTACAACAAATTGCTCCCTGTAACATTTCATGTTCAAAAGGGGCTAAATGATATTGAATATTCGAGATTCTTGGATTATTACAACAAAAGGAATGAGGAGGTTCGAGAACTTGAGAAAAATAGAGACAGGAAAGACAAAAAGAAACTGCCCCTCAATCTTTGGATAATCAAACCAGGGGAACTGACTAATAGAGGCAATGGGATCACTGTTTGTAATGATCTCAATGAAATCAATAAAATAATAAGTGAAGAAATTTAAGAAGGCAGATAAAGAACCTACATTGTGCAGTAGTATATCGACAATCCTTTTTTGTATAATAAACGAAAATTCGACATCAGATGCTATATGCTACTCACTTCTTAAAATGGAATCTTCAAGGGTTACTGGTATTAGGAAGGGTATATACGAACATCATCCAAAGAATTCACTACTAAATGCTTAGACAGATTTGTGCATCTGACCAATGATGCAGTCCAATCGAAAGATTAGGATTATGGTAAGCATGAGCCAGGCAATAAGATTTCTTATTTAGAATTCTAGAGATATGTTGAATGTAATTACCCGAATTCTAAATTCAACTTTTTCATCGACATCTATCCCAAAATGAGAGCTGCAGCCTTGGATATGATGAAGGCAACTTATGGTAAAATTGATCCTCACAGAAGGATTAATAGTTTTGAGGTATTGCATTGTTAGCTTATAGTAGTTGTACGGATTAGACTTTATGATTGACGAGAATTTCAAATTGTGGTTGATCGAAGCTAATACCAATCCCTGTCTTGAATAATCTTGTCCTCTTCTTAGTAGAATCATACCGACGATGGTAGAAAATCTATTTAGGATCGCAGTCGATCCAATTTTCCCTCCACCATTTTTTGAGGAATGGCCCTAAAATAAAAAACTCTTTATTCCAGACAATGTGATTGAAAATAACAAATTCGAACTTATTTTTGACGAACTAATAGAGAAGAAGAACATGCTTAGTTTGTTTCGCGACAATAAAATTGAGTAAGAATGTTTTGACATTGAAGAAGAAGAAGAGGAAGAAGAAAAGGATTGATAAATTGTATAACTAAATTTTATAATTATCATTTTTTAATTATTAAACTTTAAATTTAATTGGTTTTAGTTTAATAAGTTTTAATTATTACAAGATTTCATCATAAAAATTTGAGACTTTGTTTTATTATTTTAATTTGTTAACATCATTTTAATATATTTTCTATGGTAAAATAATTTTATGATGTAATTCTCAATAAATTAATTTTTTTTACATATGTAGAGAGTCATCGTTTACTACGCATTCAAAATATGGGATGGTCTCTTTGTTGGAAACAGCCGTGCTCCTTTAGTATTTATTATATTTTAAATTGATGAGGAACGAGACTTTCTTTAAATGAACAAAATAAATAATATCATTAATTGTGCTGCGGCTGAACTTACATTTAATGGCAACGGAAACGCACTCTGTTTCAATTGGAGAGACGATGACGAACAAGTAAATTCTACATTCAAATTTAGAGTATTGTTACAACTGAAAATATCGAAAAAATAAGTGAATTTATTGAAACAGCCACAAACAACGGAGAGGGAGTCTTGCTTTTCTCGCTTAGAGGGTAAAGCAGAGCCCTAACAGCACTGGCAGCTTACTTAATTTACAAGTAACTTCCTTACTGAATTTCTTTAGATATCAATGGAGTCTAATCAAAACACTCTAATTCTTAAACTCAAGAAGGAAGGACTTTGAAATCAGACCAGCTTTCTTAAGATAATTAATGAGCTTTAGCATTGAATATTTCAAAAACAATTAAGAAAGCAAGAATTGGGATCATTTTACAGAAAATTAAGAAATTTTGGTTATTTAAAATACCTATTTGAATTCCCAATCATAACCACCATTAATTACAAAAACACTTGGAACTTTGACAAGAGGATAAAAATAAAATGTATCCTGGTCTATTAACTTGATATAATAGATACAAACAATCTAGATTAAAGAAATACAACAAAAAAAGGAGTTAAAATCTATTTTAAAAGGGTCTACTTCTAATTTTCAGAAAGAGAAAGTAAGGTGTGTTTCTGTTATTGATAATTCAAACTAATGTTTTGACGAGAGCATTCTATAAAATATGTATATCAAAAAAAAGTTACAAACACCCAAAATTAATAGTTTAAGTTTGGAAAACAAAGCAAAAAAAAATGAATTGCAAATTACTGGCATGTCATAACAAAGGCCTGTCTCTAGAAGGCCATATAATTTCACTCCAGAAAAACAAAGAATAATGCAGAACACTAAACAGATTCTGGACACGTATTTGAATGCGTAATTAAATAATTTATCGTTATTGAGAGGTCGAACCTTCTACACTCCTAAGAGAGAAAGAATAAGGGCAATATCTTAATAGAATACAACTCCCAATAAAACTCCAACTCGAACCAAATAATCCTTTTTTTTATTCGAAAATCAAAATACAAGATGGATTAATCCAAAATAATAACCTTAATTTAAAATTAAATGATTCTTGTGAATCATTCTTGTTTATTTGTTTATGTTGAATTACAAAATTTATTAATATTTATTTCTTATCAGTCAAAACTTGGTTTATTGGTTCTACTGCTTTTGATTTCAGTGATCATCTATCTACTTGTTGCAGCTTGCCCTTTCTTTTAACTTAATTTTGTCGAGACTAATATAAAATAGTATTAATTCATATACTCCCGTTTTTTTTATTTCTCATATCCTTCATTATTTAAAATATGTCAATACTAGTTTATAATGTATTTTTTCTATTTTACAAATATCAATACTTATCTGACATCTTAAGCTATTCTTAACTCATTTTATGAGATTCCTCTGATTTCAAGATTTCTGATTGTTTTCTTGAATTTGGATGGGGTTGCATAATAAACCCAAATAATCTACAATAGCTTAATTTAGATAGTACTATTTTGATTTCTTATTGCCTCCCTTTGGAGACATCTGTCTCACATCTTTTTGCTTCTCTCCAAGAGAAAATAGGAGACTAGCATAAGACTTTGAGTTTTCTTATTAAGTCCCAATTTTTGCATTTAAAGTTTATTTGAATTTTTAAGTTACTTTGGCATCTGGAGATTATGTCGAATAGGACTCCTTTCTTAAGGCCTTGTTGATCATATTGGAACAATTAGTCAAATCCTATTTAAACGATATCAATTCTCCAACCGAAGTGCTATTTTTTGTACTAATTCATTTAATTTTATAGTTTACTGCATCTTATTATTGTAATTGACATCTTCCTTGTAAACTTTGTTCTTTTAAAGATTTGTCAACTGAAGTTGCTATTATTCTCCCACTGAACTATAATGAGCCAATGGAGATATAATTCTATTCTTTTTATTGATGAAGACATCTTGTCTTCTCTCTCCTTATTGGACATAATTGAGGGATAAATTGAGAGGGTATTTTTATGAATTCAAGAGACTGGTTCTGCTATCCTTACTTAGGGATTGCCCTCTGTTTTAAGATTAGGGTTAGATCAGGGGGGAATGACTTGATTGCAGTTTATGGGTGTCCAATAGTAAATTTGTATTGATTTGTAAGTACTTTTAGGTTTCCAAGATTTCAATCTATTAATTGAATAGATGTCATAGATACATACGTTATTTTGCAATTTCAAAATTTCATATTGAAGTTTTGCATTTTCTTATGCTTTCATATTCAATTTTTGCATCAAATACACTAGTTTCTCGTTCATGGACAATTTGTGAGGTAATAAATCATTAGAAAAATCAGTGATATTGTTTAAATCAGCGCTTTTTTTTTATTCTAAAATTTCAATTTTGGATTGCAATAACATATTCTCTTGGACCAAATTTAAATTCTTCTATTTCTATTGAGCCAATTCCTACTCCAATTTTTGATTTTGGGTTTGCAGTTACAAAATTTAACTCTAGAAAGAGGCTTCAATGGCATTTTTTTAATCAGTTAATTCCTTAATTTGCTTAGTCAAATCATCCTATATGCATTTTGGAATATTTTAGGTATTATGCTGCTTAACTAGGGTTTCTTCAGAGGCGCTCTAATTTCCATGATGAGTTATCAAAGGTTAATCGACACAGAGTTACTTCTTTACTAAAAGAATATAATTTTGAATTTGTTACAACTGCTGAAACAACCACCCTTTTAAGGGAAGCTGAATTTAGTTAAGTTCTTATTTTGAGGAGCAGGGGGCTCTTGCATGATATCTTTGGGACTTTGTTGAGAATCGATTCTCTAAAGATTGGATTCGGATTGGCCAGAATTAATGCTCTGAGGATGAAACTCAACAAATTCGATATATTGTATGGGGAGAGACTCTTAGATTTCTTCTTATTTTTGATCACTGTATTTCGCATTGGTTTGAAATTCTTAAGACTCTTACAAATTAAGATTGTGAGAACTAAAGGATTTGGATTCTTTAGTAAAATTGAGTTCTTAATTTTCAACATCTGGAATATTGCTACAAAATTCTTCGAAAGTGTCCAATTCTGGGATCTGCATTATAGACGAATAGTTTACTTATTATTAGACAATTTTGTCTTCCTCAGAAGATTGGATAATCAGATTGGCTGGTTTCCTTTGTTTGAATAATGGTTGCATATTGAATTTTAAATTGTTTTTTTCTTAATAATAAAAATATCGATAAATTAAATAGTATGTCTCATAAACAAAGTTTACAAAAGAATTCAGAATCATTCAATTCTCCCTCCTGCAAACCCACGCACTCCAGATGGTACCATTAATGACAAGAATCGCACTAGTTTTAGTGTATTCATATACCTATACATATTTCCTATCGGGATTAACCGGTTATTGACACGAACAGAATTTTTAAATTGTTTCCAAACCTTAAAATTATTTCTTTTCCATATCCCAACTTAATCTGTTAAAATAAACAGTGGATTCAATTTCATCAAGATCCACGTATTCTTTACATGAGAAAATCTAACATGAGTGTATCACAGTCTAGGCCAAAATGTAATCTTCGTGTTTCGTTTTAAACAACTCCTGTTCTGAAACCCATTCATTACTTTTTGGATGTGATTTTATCACTTCGCTTTTCCTCATATACCATTACACACGACATAAACAAATCAGTTTGAGTGTCGTGGGTTCTTTTATTGATATAATTTATTTTATGGTCCCTATATAATCCTCATCATGAGCATCTCCACTATTAATCAGCACACTCTCCCCCAACTTGATAACCTTCTTTTGAACCTTTATACAATCGTATTCTTCAAATAATCCTTTACTTTATTTGGCTATCTTGATAAGGTTTTCCCATTTTTAGGTCTTGTACAATTCTCGAATGCTAATCGAAGAATCTTTCGAGATTTGTTTCTTTGTGATTGTAGAACTCTCTGGTGATTCCTTTTTCAATCTGTCTTTGGTTTTTCTTGCCTTTTTGATCCAGTGAGAATACTTCATATATATTTAGATCAGATATTTATTTGATATATACTTTTAATTAAAATCCCATCGGATATAAAACTGCATTCAAATTAATTATTATATCTTGATGCTTGAATGAGGTATGTATAACTAATTCATTTAATCTTAAATAAATTCTGAATGATATTATTTAACATCACTCTAAGATGTGTGTCTCCATTAAATATCTGCCTTAGTACTTATGAACTGTGTCATGCCTCTCTTTAGACCTAAATCTCTCCAGCTTCTATCTACACCCTTTATTTATAAGCAAAATTTGTATTATCCCTTAAATTCGCTAATTTTACTGAATACATTATTTAACTTTTCTTATCAAAAAGACATTTTTTTCTTATATTCCAAATATTTTAATTTATATAAATTTTATAATATTTTTAGTTTAAATCAACTAGCTTCAATGAATTTGAAGAGCACACTCTGTTATTAAAAAATCCTGAAATTTGTATTTTTACTCCTACACAGTTATTATAAATTTGGGTTACTTTTGACTCAAACCGACCAATATGTTCTAAAATCATATTATGCTATTCGTATATCCAATCAAATGTCTGAGATAATCAATGTTGCTGAGTCTTTTTCAAAAAGTAGTCTTTCCGCTTTAAATTTCTTTCAAAAATCTATATGAAGTTATTTGAATTTGATTATTTGAATAAGCTAAAGATTGTATCTTTTAAACGGCTTAATTTGTTTCTAAAAGTCCAGATCATGGGTACTAAATATGAATGAAGAGATTGTTTTCAGAAGATATACAGAGGTTTGGTAGTATTTAAGATTGATATAAAAATTATTATTAGGCCATTTTAATTATATTATAATTATTACATAATTGAGTGGATTTGAACAATCTGTGATATGATTATGTACCAGCTCCACTTCTAAAGTGATTCAAATCTCAGTTATTTTTATAGGAAGGCAATTCTTAATTAAGAATTCAAAAATAATTTTTATATAATTCATTTTTCAAATCAGCATAACTAATTAACATTAGATTTAAAATTTTATATTTTTATTCATTTTTAATAAAAACTTAAGATTATAAATTTATGCTTTTTAGCATATTTGTTAGATTTAATTGAACCTTTACTTAGTCAAAATTGCATACTCAAAATTTTACCTCTAAAATTTATAATACTTTTTGATTCAGAATTGAAATAAAAACTTGATATCTTAAAGTTTATGTTAAATAGAGGATTGAAATTAATAGAATATACAAGACAATTAATAAAGTCAAATTCAACTGATTTAATAATTCATTATATTAAAATAATCTGGTTTAAATATTCGGCAAGGAATCAAATATAATATTTATAAAGTTCCTTTAGAAAACAACTTATTCAAATTAAATCTTATTTCCATGATTATGATTCAAATTTTATTATTAGTATTTTAAAAAGTCTTCTGAATTTGTATTGATATACTTCGATTACACAGAGATAGAGAAATATGAAATTGCATAAAATAATAAATTAAGAAGGTGACCATTCTTAAGAAGAATAGAATCTTGAATATCGTAATTTTAATCGCATAATATTAAAAACAAAGTCGGTTCTAAGTATATTTTAATTGATGAGGAAATTAAACGATCTAAACGATCTTATCGATGAAATGTGGTGAAATAGTTATCTAATTTATTGGACAAGAAGTTCTAAGAATAATGTCGTTATAAATAGCGTGTTAAGATAATTTGGTCTTAATTATTAATAACTAATATGCAAATAACTACGAATTATGATAGTGAGCCATTCTCACTGATAAATACTAAGAGACAAATATTCAGTGGGGATTAGGATGTTAAGATGAAGCAATATTTTCAAAGAAGCCGGTCGATAGAAGAGATTGATTAGATGATTGATGATTACGGCAATAGTGCTAAGTACTGTTTACATAAAAGTAATAGGCCTTCGTCTTCTAATTTGCGTAAGACGAAAAGCAACTATAAGCCTCCAACTATTAGTATTCAAAATATCATAACAAATAAAAGGGAAACTTTTATTTTTGAGAATCTGAATTTGGAATAGAAGGAGCCAGGGTATGAGTTGATAAAAATTGAATAGTTTTAGTCCCGTTTGGAAGCAAGGAAGCTTGAAGATCATCAGGTTGGTTGCTAGATTTATATATTAACTGAAAACCAAAGCTGAAACATTGAAGTTAAAATTGATGAATCATCACATATTTAAATACATTGATGATAAGGCAAGTGATTTTAACGAATTCAAATCTGGAAAGGCAATAGACGATCATTCCTTTAAGAATATAATGTGTAGGAATCTGAAGAAGATGGAAGGAGCTTTTACAGTCCTTAGGGCAATTTTGGAATACTTATTTAATAAAATAGGAGTTATATATCCTGAGAGTACATTCAAGATCATATGGGATTCCATAGTCGTATGTTTTATAGTGATCAACATCTTCTTCATCCCAATGTCGTTGAGTTTTGAGTTGGATAAATCAAGCACTTTGGTTTGGCTATTCTTTGAAACCATTCCAAGTTACATTTTCATAGTTGAAATAATTCTCAATTTTAATACTGCATATTATGGTCATGGAGTAATTCATTCAACTAGAAAAGAGATATTTCATCATTACGTTTCTGAAAATTTCTGGTGGGATTTGATGATATCCATCCCCTATGTACTGTCATAACTGGACATCCCCTATATTCAATTTGTATTGCTATTAAGAATAACAAGAGTTAAGTCAATGGTTTAAAATGTTGAGGATATGTTGAATGCTAAGGAATCAGTTTAGGCAGCAGTGGAATTATCTAAACTCATTTATTTTATTATCTTCGTTGCACATATGTGTAGTTGTGCTTGGCATTTATTGGGTAAAATAGAAGTTGATGTTTATGGAGATAATAATTCTTGGTTGATCCATTATGGTTATTATGATGAGCCTTGGCACACTCGATATATAGTAAGTATCTATTGGAGTGTGATAACAACATTAACAGTTGGTTATGGTGATATTGTTCCTCAGACTTCAATTGAATAATTATTTGTAGTTATTATTGCTATGATTATTTGTGGTGTGTTTGGTTATTCCATATCAACAATTGGAGAGATCCTTAAGAATTTGGAAGAAAAGAAAGGCCAATTCAAGTAACTCATGAAGGAGGTCAATTCTTACATCAAGGAGAAGGAACTCAATTTACAATTATCCTTAAAAGTCAGAAAATACTTTGAATTCTACTATCAAACCTAACAATCACAGAAACGCTCCTATCAAACTCTACTCAATAATCTGAATGAACAGTTGAAATAGGAGATTATGATAGATCTTTACAAGAAGATTCTCATTTAATCCAAATTTATAAATGATACCTTCAATGAAACTTTGATCAATTAACTCTGTCAGAAGGTCCAATAAGAAAACTTTGGACCTGGAGATGACATCATTGATCTTAAGAACAAAAGCGAAAAAAAACTCATCTTTATATTAAATGGACAGGTAGATAGTTATATTCACATCCAAGGAACTCAGAAAGAGACACAACATCTTGCTTCTCAAGGCAAATTATCTCATACTTATAAGAAAGGAGATATTATAGGGGAATTTGAATTCATCACTAATAATGATTATTCTCTTTAATATAGGGCTGTCAAGTATACACAAGTTGCGTTCATCAGCAGATAAGATTTACTAGAGATCATCACTCAGGATAAGGAACACCTTTACAAATTCCAAAAGCACATTGATTCTCTAACATATTCTCAGAAACTAGGAAGAACTTGCGAAATTTGCAAGTGGACTCACTTATATTAAAAGTAATTATGGAATTGTTTTATTTTCTATAAATTTTAGTTGTCCATTTACATTCTATTAGCCAAATATTTGGAAAGTAGTTCGATAAGCTTCTGCCTCTGTGAACATCAAACGGTTCCCATACGAACGTAAGTCTCGTTAAAGATACAAAGCAATTACAAACTCTTAGGTTACCATCGCTACAATCCTGGATTTCATGTTGATCCATAATTTTATACAAGAAGAGTAAGGTTATTACATTAACTTTAGTCTCCTCTGTAGCAAAACCTTATAAAGATTGGGTTTCAATAACAACCACAGAATTAGTTAGAAGGAGATTCACGAGATTAGTTCAGGCTCCTCTAATACTTCAAGTAGCAGTGAATCAAAATCTGATGATCTCAATAACAATACATCTGTGAAAAATAAGAGAACCTCCCAAGAGTCACAGAATGACAAACCCGATAAGTTTGAACGTCTTAGGACCACTGTAAACATGAAGGATAGTACTCACAATAACCTACTCAAACCAATTTTATAGAAAATGAACTCCATCGGTTAATAACAGCATGAAGATTAGGGCAATTAAAATTCAACTCCTAATATTAAATTGTTTCCTTACTTTTACAAGAAAAAGTCTTCCATTTCCAACATCAAAGCGATGTCTAAGGTGGAAATACCTGTTGGAGCCAATGAGATTGAAACCAATAAGGATACCTCAAGATTATATTAAATTAAAAAGGGGCCTGAAAATTGCGATGAAATGGATCTTATGATGCAAGAAGCTAATGAATTTTATCCGGAATTTAATGTATTCAAAGTTATTGAGATCTATAATAAGCAGAGAATAAGAAATTTGAGTTTTAGAAAAAAACGATAGTTTCATGAAAAATTAAAATCAATTAGGTTATAAAAACAATTTAATCTAAAAATACTATCGCCTCGTTCATCCTAACAAATTATTTGATATAATCATATTTATTGAAACCATATCTTTTTAATTTTCAGTTTTATTTTCACATTTATATATACTATTATACCATTTAATTGCTATTTTATTTAACTATAATTGATTTGATTTTCTATTAACTAATAAATTATATAATATGATGCAATCATTTTATTATTGAAATTAAATGGATAACAACTTAGATTTTCAAAACAATCTAAATCTAAAATGTTAGACTCATTAATATGTTCAAGCAAAATGTTTTTGTTTGCGCTATTAATGTGAGTAGAATAGAGTGGCTTGTGATAATTGTTTCAATGTTTATCATTCTAGTCATAGCGATTAAGTTAAACCAATTCATGATTTGACTTCGTATTTATAATAAAAGTCCCAATAAGCAGAGAAATTCCTATAAAATTATTTCAACCAATTTAACCAACTTTAATAAACTTTTAATAGAACTATAAAAGCATTGCAATATACTTTTGGGAATTAGTCAAAAGATTTTTTATAAATGGATCAAATCCAACTGATTTCTTTGCTTAATCAATTACTAACTTTCGATTCCTTGGGTTAGTTCTTAAATGATTACGTAGTGCAAAAATTAGAGAAAATGAATGAAATATAAAGTCAAATTTTATAGACGCTACCTTTACATCTAATAGTAAATAAGTTACCAGAGACATTAGTTGAAAATTTGGCAAATTATAAAAAATATGGTGATAAATCCTAATATTATATTAGGCTTGCAATTAATGAATTCAAATCAGTTTGGTTAGGCCATAACATTATTCGATAAAGTTCTAGAACGAATTCCATATGACGTAGAAGTTTTGCTTAAAAAGGGTAAAAAATTTTATTCTATTGATAGGAGAGTGCTTATTTAAATAGAATTTATATTATGAGGCATAGAAACAATACGAAGAAATACTTTACTTCAAGCCTCAAAACATAGATGCTTGGTGCGGGATTGGTAAATCATTTTTTATTAATATAATAGGAAATTGTTTACTTAAATGCAACAAATATGACGAGGCTATTATTCGATTCTAAATGTGTCTAAAGATGAACAAAAATTACTATATGGCTCTTTTGGGCAATGGTAAATCTGATCTATATTAGAAGCTGACGCTTTAAGAAAAAAGATCAACTTAACAGAAGCTCTTGAAGAGTATGATAAAGCAATTAGAGTTAACTAGTAGGGTTATTCTGCTTTTTGTGGAAAAGGTATTTTTTATAAATAAAATTCTAAAAGCTGAATGCTTAAAGTCATTGAATGATTTGAACAGATCAGAGGAAATGTATAGGAAGGCTTTACAAATTGTGGATAATCACTTCGATTCATTATTTGGTTTAGGTTATATATTAACTCACTTCATTAGCGGATTGCTTAAAAAGATAAAAACAATATTACGAAGCTATTCCTTATTATAGCAAGTCTTTGGAAATTAGTCCTTAACATCCAGAATCATTGGAAGGAAAAGGTTATTCTTCTTTAATCAATTAGCTTCGTGCTTAAAATATTGTGGCCATAATTCAGAAGCAGTTTAATTTTATTAATTAGCTTTGCAATATGACCCTAGTTCAGCTGATGCATTGAAAGGATTAGGTTACTTAGACAATTAATTTATAGGGGCTAGTTTATATCATTTAGGTCAGTATGACGAGTCAATTGCTGCTTTTGAAAAGGCCTTAGAATTCAATTCTTGTTCTTCTGTTTGTTATAAAGGGAAAGGTTCTTAAATTTCTTGATAATAGCCGACTGCTTTAGGAGATAGGGAAAATGGAAGGAGGCAGTGGAATACTATTTGTTAGCTATAAAATATGACAGCACTTAGCTTGAAGCACAACATTGGATAAGTAAGATTAATGTATAGCTTATTCATTAGGTGTGCTTGCTAGATTGATAAAATAAATCAAACCACCTTAAGAAAACCTCTTCATAAATTCTCAAAATTTGTAGTTAATTTTTTCAACAGAATATATTGAATAATTAAGCTTTCTGCTTAGTACTATTAAATTATATTGAAGAAGCTGAAATATATCATGCTATAATTCCGCCAAAGGATGCAGGAACTTATCCCAGTAATATAATAGTAGGTATAAACATAAGCAGAAAATAATTTAGGTTTTATGTTATTAATAACAGGTTTTTATTAAGATGCTAAGGGTTATTATAATAAGGCTTTAGAAATAGAGGAATTTGGAACAGATGCTCTGTGGGGAAGAGGTTATAATTCATAAGAATTTTTAGGAGAATGTTTAAGACTTTAGCTGAAATTTACAGAAGCTTTATAATATTATGAAAAAGCTCTTGAAATATGTTCTTTTTATGATTTGAAGATATTATAACCTGGCTTGGAGATTGCTTCTATTGAATATATATAAGCATTATCAATATTTGGAAAAAGTATGAATTTAGTTATAATTTAAGCCTATTGTTTAATTGCTCAAAACAAATTTTAAGAAGCGATTGAATTTCTATTTAACTCATAAGGATTTATTCTTAAAATTAAACATATTGAATTAGGGTAAATGTTGACGATTTTTTGCCTATAATTTATTTCAATTATTGTTCTTAAGAATTTGACTTGAGAATAATAAATTCAATAATAAAAATAATTTATCATAGGAATCATAAATACATCTATATTTATTTATTATTTATCATTTTATTTTATATATATGTGTTAAATATAAATAATGATTAGAAACTAGTATAAATAAGAATAATTATTATTTTAAATATTCCCCTTATTAAGAATTGTCACTATGAATATACTGAGAAGTATAAAATAGACATTTCAATCCCGTGAATTTATTGGGTGATCAATAAATATGATAATAAATTTAGAATACAATTAAAAATTAACGATATTGTAAATGGTATTTATTTAAGAAGAAGAATTAAATATAATTAATTTTATTTTGATACTCATTCTTATAATAATCATTCTTGTACTCTTCTTTAGACACCTAAGATAACAAATAATTTAAACCTTTAGGAGGTGGGATAAAATCAGTGTAGATTGTATTATACAAATTGGGATAGAGAGCCCAAACAGCTAGAAGAATCATTTATTTTGCTTACCCCAACATCCAACTGCGGGTAGTATTCCTAAAAATCTCTTGCTTTTGGCAGTCCAAGCCTCGTAACCAAGCTTATAAAACGTAGGCAAATACATCAATAATTAAATTAAATATAAATATAAATTAAACTGCATTAGCAATAATTAGAAATGAATAAAATTTTTGGTAGTATAATTGATAAAAGTATGAGAAGAAAATAATATAAATATCATTCTACACATAGAAAGCAGTTTATTAATAAGTGATTTTTTTATTTATTTTGATAACCTTAAGTTTCTAAGTCTATTTTATTGATTTTTTTATTCAATTATGTTTCTCTTTTAACTAATTGAGCTTGAGGATAATTAAAGTATAATGCCTTGAACTTATGATTTCTTACAATCAAGTCTCCAACAGTAAAGTGTAATAAAGGTATTTTCTCTTAAAATTTTGATTTAATTTAATCTAGAATTCGATTACGAGTAGTATCAACCCATTTATACACTTAATCCTCTTATTCTTATAGTAAACTGGGATCAAATTGAATAATATTTTTATTGAATTCTTCTTGTATTACAGATAGTTTAGATAAAATGTATAATTTATCTTACAGCAATTCTTCCTTTTGATTAAAATAATTGTACGCTTAGGTAAGATCTACAGATAAAATTGTTATTGGTTTCCTACTTATGACAATATTTTAATCATTTTAGAAAGAAGTGCAAATATCAAAAATAACTTTGGAATCGAATTATTTGGGGTTTTGTATTTGCTAAAAGATGAATAATATTGTTTCCACTTGTGTTCCATGTATAGGAAGTCGATATTGGAATTATTCAGGAGGTATTTTAGGGAATGTGTTTGAGATGTCAATTGAATCAAAGATGAGGACTTTAAGTATTTTAAATTTACTAAAATCTCTTAGCAATCTATTTAGTTTAATACCTCCACATTCTATGGATTGAGATTACTATTTCGATAGATATATTGCATCATAAGTGTATCCATTATCTGATAAGTATTTTGACCATACTTATGCGAAGGTCTGACTAGTAAATAGGAGAACTATTAGATAAGCTTTCGAAAGTCTAAAATAAGTAGATATTATACATTCTTAGAGTATTTTTGAGATCACTTCTTAGAGTGCATGGACAATAAGGACTATCACATTGTTCAATTAGACTGCCTATTGAAAATGAATGACATATTTTTAGATCAGTTTTATGATCCCAAAAGTTCCTTTTTGATTGCAATAATAAATCTAATCAATCGAATTTGTAATATACTTTCAAAATTCAAAATAATAACTTTATCCAAGTATTCCTCTCTATTATTGATATTAAGAAAGAGACATTTGATCATAATGCCTTTTTGTAATTCTTCATATTATTTATTCAAATAACGAAGGTGAATTGCATGTTCTAAACTCCTTTGTCTCTTGATAATCGGTTTTGCTTTCAATTGGCGACTTTGCAATTTCATCCTGACAACTTATTAGCTGGATGATAATTATGGCAATATTTGTTATTCTTTTTGCATAATCCTAAGATTAGTTGTGCATCGCTTATTGACTCCTTTTTTCTCTAATTGTTGAATTTATGAGTCTTCAATGTTAGAGTTATCATACGTAATTCTTCGTTAACTAGGTATTTGTTAAACTGAACTTGAAACAAATACTTGATCTTCTGGTTCAGAATGTTTGCTATCATATCTCGATTTGTTTCTAGTTTCTAAAATGCTAAAGTTGGCATTCTTAAAGACAAAATATCCTCGATAAATGTTTTATTTGAAATGAGTGTGTTTGGAAAAATAAAGGGAATTCGAGATTGCATTATTTTACATATTAATTTTATAATAAAATGCAATTTTCAATTAGGTTTTCTGAATTATGATGAAAAGAGGTCTTATCTCGGTTATTATTTAGAAACCTAAGTGAGCATTTATTGAATGAATGAATTTCTTGTGCTTCCTGAATTTTTTAAGGTGCTCATCCCACTCCCACTTCCAACTCTTTTTAATTTCTATGTTTTTGGTGAATTTTAACATGATGCAGCTATACTGTTCTTAAACACAAATTCACCTTAACCTGCTCTGTCTGTTAAACACACAAACTCTTATTGAGTATCCAATAAATGTGTATTTAATTGTTTTCCATCAGATTGATTCTTTTTGTGTTTAGTTTATTTTACTGAAATATTAAATAACATTATTACATTTTTAATTCTATAGATTGTCATTAATATTGATATTAATGTTGATGATTTTATCTTAATTGGATGTGTATCGGATGTGAATATTTGGTTGTGCTGCCTTCCTGGTTGTTTAAGACCCAGGGGCTTTGATAGTTTTCTGGCTGGGCTATTACTATGATATCTATGAATGAGTTGAGATCTAACCGGAAGTCTACCTCGCCTAATTGGTTTTGAATTCAAATTAAGCTCCTCTTGATGCTGTGGGACTATTCCTATTAGAAAAGAAGTTTTTGGTTCCAGACATCGGTCTATGTGTTTAGGAACCATTCTTCCATTTTAATTCTTATTCAGTGGGATCTTCCTCAATGAAGATTTTCGAAATCTATTTAAGATTCAATTTGCCTAAAGATTATAATCATAATACCAATAGATATTTGGTTAGTTGCTTAGGTTTTTTAAGTGTTGCTCTGATTGGATGTTGGAGATAGAACAGGATTCTAAAATTGGCGATTCAGATGTAAGGGGACTTGTTAAACGTTCTTTCTGAGATCCTTTAAAAATAATTGTGTTGATATCTTAGGTTGTTGTTACACTATTGTTTTGGATTTAGGGTTTATTGATTGTTTTATCTAATCATTCTAATCCACTTTCGCCCTGCTTTACAAATTTTCATTACTTTATTTATGCTTCATAAGCGAATCAACTTAATTCTTTATAAAATTTACATTGATGTCTCTTGATATCTTATTCATTTATTATATGAGTTCTGTGTTCTGTTTAGAATGTTGTGAGCCCATCCTTTGTTAAATTTCATCATGTTATTTTTGAATAAGGGTCTAAATTAATTATTCATGAGGTTGACTTAGTTTTTTCGTTTGTTTTTGAATCTCTGATGCCTTATCTCTTTGAGTCTTATACGTTTACTGATTAAGATAGGCCAAAAACTTATCCAACCTCATTTCATCGCCCTTCCCAGAGGAAATCAAGAGCGATGATTGTTCCAAACCAACATTTCCCAATTGCTTGCAAATTTCTTATAGAGTACAGGACACATCACTCTTCTTTTTAGGGATTTAAGACGACTTGTTAAGCCAACTCAAGTCCTTCAAAATTTGGATGTTCCTAATCCTTTTTACAGTGTTTGGTGACTCTTATTGTCTTTGACTGTCTTAAGAATTTGCAGGCGAGGGTCTTTCTCCTACTATGCCTTTGGGGGGCCTATTGGGATTCTTCTTGTTCTCCTCCTCAATGAGGTGAGCTATCCTGTAATATTCATATTTGCGCTTCTTATCATAGTATTTATTCAACACGGTTGCTATTGGTTCCATAAAGATTCGTGCTATATCAGTATGAAACTCTGTTAAATGGTTCAATTTACTTTATAGTATTCAGTCAACAACTGGATTTTCTGGGGATACTCATCTCCATAATAGTACCTCTTCAAATATTCGTCCTTAAATGAAATCACACACTTACGTCATCATCATACCCAACCCAATCCTTATACCGCACCACTGCCTTTGATGAAGCATCTCCAAGTATTTCGTTGACATCTCTCGTATAATAATAATTCTGAGATTGACAATATTTCTGCAACAGGTTTTTATTGATCCAAACTAAAGAATTCACTATTAACTCCGACTGCCTTGTGCTCTTCAATGCTTCCTTCCTCTCTTTCGAATTCGGTCTGTTTTTCATTCTGGTTGTTTTTATATAAATATTTATAAAAAAGAATAAATGAATAAATTTATCTCATCAAACTACCAATATACTAAAAATCGTATCTGGATTGTCTATTGCAAGAACACTAATAATTATTGCTCCAAAATCTGCTTAATAAGCATGATGAATTGGCAAATGAAATTTATTCAATAATATATAATTTAAATTAAAATAATGCAAAAACCAGAATAAGTCATGCAAGATTTCGCTAATTTATTGGATAAATGTATTGTTGCTAATAAATGTCAAAGATAGGAATGATCCTGAAGCGTGGTCTCAAATCTACAAGGTCATTAATTACAAGCCAACTCAAAATATACCAAAGGGTTAATCGTTAGACCCTGAAAAAATAAGGGAATTCTTGAGACTCGGTAAACCTGGCGCTCAGGACTTCGACCCATATGATGACATGATATATTTCGATGACAATAAGGTTAAAGAAATAGTTTTGAGACAAAATTTCCTTATTGCAAAAGGTTTATACGTTTTTTCAATTAAAAGGTTACTTTGACCCCAAGGCTTACTTTCCCTCAATCAATTTAAGTAGTTTAGATGACACCTCTTTCGATGAGAAAATTAAAGGTAATGATTATTGCAAATATAATTAAGAAATGCTCAAAATACCTGATTAAATGGAGAAGAAAAATTGAAATTTATATCAAAATTAAGTCTATTTTAAACATGCATGAAAAGTACTCCATGTGTAATATATTTTAATAGTTATATATTATTAAACATTGTTAATGCTCTCAGATCAGACCTACTCGATTTGACACTCTCTTTATCTAAAAATTAGTCTATAATATTTAGTTCAAACTATAAAAATAACAACTCTTTTCTTATTCAAAATTAGTATTATTAATTATGCACTAAAATTCTGGCTTGACTTATCATAATGTTGATTCATATATTGAAACTGAAGGCTTTTTTTGCTTCGAACAATTTACAAGACTAGATTTGAAGAAAAAAAATTGGGAAGAAAGTTTAAATAGTTTGACAGATGACTTGATTGCACTTAAGAGTGAATATGTGGATTTGGAAAATCTAGAAATATTCATTGCTCTTTTAGAGTTCTTGGAAAAGAATATCCAAGAATCAGAGGTAGGATCACCTTATTTTCAATTGAGATAAGGTATGAACTAAACTTCAATTAATAATTATATAAATGACATGCTTGAAAATATTGAAAAGAGTCTTACATGTGATTCAGATGACTATAGAGCAATTGACTTCCCAGGATTATTGAAATTGGAGGATATCCTAAGCTTTTTAAAAGAATCTAAGTTCATTAAATCATATATGTAAAAAGTAGATTACCTACTTCAAATTTAACAAGAAAGGAAATAGTAATAATTTAAAAAGAAAAAATGATTAATCTTTATTTATATAAAATACAATCATGTAGCTATTAACTAGTTAAACATTTAACTCTTTTTTTCTCAAATTATTTATTTATAAATGAAAAACTAACTTATTAGTTTAGGTTTAAGAATATGAACTAAAATATTTTATTATTAATTTTTAAATAAATCTTCTCATTTTTGTCTTGCTGTAAAATATTTGTTTTTAAATCTAATTCATATGTCCCCAAGAACTATTAAAAGATATCATCAGAATTCAGCTATGTTTATGGAACTCATTTCTATTTATAAATTCACTTTGAATTATCCTTAAATGTATGACCAATTTATCATTTGAGTTACTTTACATAACATGAAAATAAAGTCTGACGAAATCTTTTCACAAATATAATCAAATAAGCAATATTAATCCTTTGTTAAATTGACAAATTTCTCTATTTTAATGTAAATTGTCTCCCCTTATTAGATTGTCCATTCATCCATTAATTATTCGATTCTTTTATATCATCTGAAGCTATTGAAAAAGTTATCATAATTTTGGATATTATTTCCATTAATTTATATAATATTTAATATTTTCATCTTATTTGATACAATTCCTTAAGTTTTGGATCTTAAAGTTCTTTGTTTATTTCTTCTCTCATTTTGAACTTTTATGGTTTTCCTGTTATTGTATATGGGAAATCATTGACAAACTTGACATATTTGGGTACTTTATAATGAGCAATTTTTTTATGACAAAACTAATAAACATCCAATCCAGTGAGTTCTTCAGCATCCTTTTTCATTTTAATCAATGCAACAACCTCCTCTCCATATTTTTCATCAAAGCAACCCACTACTTGAACCTATTCAACTCCTTTCATATGAGATAAGTAATCTTCAATCTCTTTAGGATAAATATTCTCGCCGCCTCTTATAATCATATCTTTGATTCTCCCAACAATTGCCACATAACCATTCTTGTCCATCGTAGCCACATCACCACTATGAAGAAATCCATTGACATCAATAGTATTTTTAGTAGCCTTCTGATCTCCCCAATATCCCTTCATAATTCCATATCCTCTTGAACAATACTCTCCTGGTGTATCATAAGGTACAACCATCCCATCTGAATCAATAATTTTCACCTCCATATTCAATGGTTATCCAACCTTACTAGTTTTTATTTCAAAGGAATCTGTGGTTTTATTCTAAGATGTAATTGGACTAGTTTCAGTCTATCCATAACAATTTGAGATATCCCTAACTCCTAAAACATTGATAATTTGTTTCATCAAAGCTTCAGATGCCAAAGATCCTGCTATTAGACCAGTTCTTAAAGATGATACATCATATTTTTATTTATGTCTCTCAAATTCATTAAGATACTCAATAAACTATATTTATAGACTTGACACATGATACCATTGTTGGAACTCCATAGAGAGAAGTACACTTATAATTTGTTACTGCTTCCAATGTAGCTCCTGCACTGAAGCCATCACTTGGGTAGACCATAGTGGATCCATAATTGATACATGCCAAATTCCCCATCACCATTCCAAAGCAATGATATAATGGCACTGCTATGGCTACCTTATCCTTTTCTGTATAATGTACTCTTTCCCCCACATATTTACCGTTATTCAAAATATTTAAGTGACTTAAACAAGCTCCTTTTGGAGCTCCTGTTGTCCCAGAAGTAAATTAAATATTGGTGATATCATCTGGATCCTATTGAGACATTCTTGAATCAACTTCATTCAAATGGGAAGTTCCAAAAATAGAAAAGAGTTCTTTAAAATTAAAAAACCCCTTTTTATGAACATCGTCAATTAAAATGAGACCTAATTCTAATTTATATAATACTTCTCAATGCTGGAATTCTCTTTGAATTGAGATGGCCTGGTTAATCCAATTCTGGTGCTAATTCTTTGATCATAGAAACATAATTTGAGTGTTTGAATGTCGATCTCAACACCAAGGCTTTACATCCAACCTTATTCAACGTGTATTCTAATTCACTAGTTTAATAGGCTGGATTAATATTCACTAATATCAAATCAGCCATAGCTGCGGCGAATTATGTTAAAGCCCATTCCACGTTATTGGGTGAAAAGATTCCTATTCGATCGCCTTTCTCGAGTCCTAAGGCGATAAAGGCAGCTGCCAACTCTTTTGATCTCTTGAAGAATTCACTATATGTCAATTGGATGTCTTGCAATTAGGAAACCACCTGAAATCCTAATATAGCTTAGTTACTGCTAAATTGTCAGGATATTTCTCACTTATATCATGTAGCTGTTACCCTACAGTTTTATAAGTTAACGGAATATTTGAGGCACCATGAAAGTAACTCCTAGCGTATCTTGTTCCTCTGAATAGCATAATGATAATTAATAAATGATATGTATTGTCTAGCAATGATGCAATATTGGATTAATATTTTACTCAATATAATTATTTCCAGATTACTTTGCACAAGTTCTCATTATATCAATTAAATTTAATATCATTTTGCAATTTCTTATCCCTAACAACTTGGCACTTCTAGAGAAATAATGAAAAACTTAAAGAAATTTCTAAAAAAACGGAATAATGAAATTATAAATGAAGATTCAAAAATCTTATTATGTATCATAAAAAGCATTTATTTTGTTATGAATTCAAATAAGAAATATATAAATATATATATATTAATCTGTTAATGTTAGTATATATATTTCATATGGTTTTGAAGAGATCATTTAGAATGCCTGCATTTTATACAAATAAAGAGATAAATAGAACTAAAATCTCTCTTTAATGACCAAATGACATTTTAATACTATTTCAGTTCTTACTAACTACATCATATTTTCATTATTTTCTCAACTCCGAATTCACTCAAAAACAAATATTACCCAAAATAAGAGGCTAAACAGAAGCTAAGGTCTATGTGTAAGGATTATTCAAATTTAAGCTATAATAATTTACACAACATTGTGGTTTCATCATTAATCAAATTTAAGTTGAGAATTACAAAACAGTAAAACTATGACTGTGTAAGAACCTAAAAATACAATTAAATAAGTTCGCAAGTCTTGAGTAACTTAAATACTTTAGCATCTATTCATAAAACATCAATAGAGGCATAAGTAAATGGTGATAATTTAGAAAATAGTATTAATTAATTATTATGAATATAAATTAAAGTTTTATTCGTTTTATCCCTTATTTTTATGGATCTGGAAGAATAGTAAGGTCTTATTCCAAATATAACACCTGCAAAACCACACAAATAAGTTCGTAAGGTTAGATACACCAAGTCAGCCTTCTTCAATTATTTGATTGCAATTTTAGCATTAATAATTCTTGGACTTATGTCATACATCGTAATAGATATAACTGGTTATGAAATCATGCATCTTTCCTTCAAATCAACCACTTAGCAATAAAATATAACCGATTAAATACCAATCTAAAATGAAGACTAATCACAAATTGATACCATGGATTACACGTCTTAATTGGATAATTTATTATGGGATGATGCTAATAACAATAAAGAGAATCAAGAAGCTCAAGCTGAAGAGTTCTTAGATGAGAATTTCTCAACTTAAGATGAAATCAATTAAATAGAGGAACCATAGATTGAAAATCAAAATAGTGAAGTTTAAACATTTTAAAGTGCCACCTTGGAAATTGGTGATTAATCAGATATTCAAGATTAAGTGTAAATACTGAATGACGACTAACAACTTGAATAATATTCCCTATTGTAATCAGGATCAAGCATAATAACACCAAAGATAGATGATTCAAAATATAATTACGTTGAACTTCCAAATAAAATGAAAATTTTGTTGATCCAAAACGATGAAGACAACGCAGAAATATATTTGAATGATTTTAAAGGATATTGGTAAACTAATTACTTTGTAAAATGTGACCAATGTCAGATCACTGTCAAAGAATAACAAACCTAATACTTCATTTAAACAAAGTCAGATTAAATTTTGAACTCCTTTGAGGAATTAAGTAAAGCCTTTGCATCGGAAACTCCACAATTAAAATAGATAAACTATTAAAAATCCACTTGGGAAGAGTTATTAACTTAAATATCTAATGAAAAACATCCAATTTCCTCTAAATATTCAAAGGCATCCACATTTTAATTATCCCCAAATCAAATGGTATTGATAATCAAAGGAAAATTTAACTCAGATGAATTGATGAATGGAATAATTCAAAGTGATATTGTACTTTTAAGAGATATAGACATTTAGGAGAATGAAAATATTCAAATTATTAATTAACCTGGAAGTATCATTAAATGGAATAATTAGAAGGATCTAAACTCAGTTAAAATAATTTATGAATTAGAAGATAGCAAAGAATTGAATTTCATTGATTATTTTATATAGACTTCTCTACAAAATTATATCATCAACAAGAGATTAGGTCTGGATGTCAAATCAAGCGTGATATTGGATTAAAATAATAGGCAACTATATCAAATTTAAATAGCATTACCATTTTAAGATCAAATGGACTATGATCAACGAGAATTAGCATATAGACTAAGTAAGATTGTGATTAATTTCGCCAATTCTTTGGAAGCACAACTAATAAATAACGACAATGAATTATCTGATTATTGCAAGGAAATGATAGATCAATTGTAATAAATTAATAACCTGCAATTTGATTACGATAATCAAGAGTAAGATTACATGGAAATAGCTAAAAACCTTAAGTCAGATTTAATAGAAGAAGTACTTCACTACAAATATTTGGTATAAATAGTCCCTGAGTCTTTGAAGAAAACTTTAGATAATCTATAGTCTACAAAAAATCTGATCATTGTTGTGAGTGATTCCTAATATCATACTGAATATAGTTTTATTTAAATTTAAAAAGGTTCAGCTACTTAGGATCTACTTTTTTTAACTTAAGATGAATTAGATATTAACTAAAATGGTATTTCCTATTCTTTGAAAGAAATTACTGATTAAACTAAACAATTCATAGAAAAGACAGAGGAAGAAATCAACTTTGTTTTCCCTCAAGTCAACAAATTTATACCATAAAATTTAGATTTAGTTGAATAAACTGAACCATTCGAAGTTAATAATCATGTTGAGGTAGTTGTAGATGTCTCTAAGAAATTGCCTAAAATCAATGCTGACATAACTATATTCACTTATGGACAATTTGTATATGCACAATATTTATACGAAAGAATCATTATGGAATATTAAGATGCAATTAATGTTGGATATGGGGTTGATGTGAATTAAAATTAATATTTCTAAATTCAATTTTAAGGTTGGTCAGATCATTATACAAACATATTCAAAGGAATCATGGAAATTGTTAAGGAGAAGCCTAATGAAGAACTAAAAGGTTAATTGCAATATAAATTTGATATGTTACCAGAACACTTAAAACTGATTAATTTCAAAATTGAATCAATTCTTATTGCTAATTATAAAAAACCTTAATTTGGAGTTATTGGACAAAATTATAAACTGAAACTTACAGGAAATATTGAAAAGAATCAAGCTGAGGAATTAGATTAGATGCTCCATAAAGCACTAAATTTTAAATAAAAATTGAAATAGGACCCAATTCAGATTTACAGTCTCAAAAATCAAGAAATCGATTACCAATTAAAAGCAAAGGATAAATGGCATTTATTGATAAACTATTATTAGTTTTCCTAATTAAATTAAAGTCAATAAAAACTACTTAATAGAATTTAAGAGTTTGTTTAATAAAAATCTCAAGAATCACATATTATTTTTGAGCAAAGGACTATTGGTTGCACATAAGGATTTTTCTTGATTGTACAATCTTCTAAAGACTTAGAGGGTTAAAAAGAAAAAATAGATAACTTAATTGAATAATCACTTAATGAACTAGATAAAGAAGATGGTTCTAGTAAATAAAGCAAAAAGTCAAAATATTCTTAATTTTGGAAGAAAGAATCAGGTAAAATCACATTCTTTATTGATGATCAAAATAGAAGTACAACTATGCCAAATTTAGAATCCATTCAATGTAAATGAAAGAAAGAATCTTCTATTTTTATTTTGTTCAAAATATTCAAATAAAATAATTAATATCTTCTAAATGTATTGATTTATTCTTTTACTTTTTGGTTGTTCATCATTTGAAAAGTGCATTAAACATTAGTAATATAAAATTTAAGTTGTGGCATTTTGCAACATTTTGATATTCAACTAAATTTTTTGTTAAATTAATTTCTTCGTTAAACTACTTGGAGAATAAATCTTTTTAATTTTATTTTATCTCTCTCCTTCTTAATTTATAAACATCATCGTATGTACATTTTTGAAAACTAAATTCATTACTAAATTAATAGGACATGATTCAAATAAAGATTGATATTAAAAGAAATATCCTTCCTTATATTTTCTAATCCCTTACAATTAATATCGCAATAATAATTTTCTTACAATTTTACTATTTAGTTAATTTATTCGATAATTGTATGTGCATTTTCCTAAAAGAGAACATTAAGCCGAAAAATTACATTAAATTTGCCAAAATTGCAAAATTCAATTCCTATAAATTTGTTCCCATTAAAGGAATTGTTGTCTAAATTATTAGTCAATTTCCCCTTTATTGTGAGTTTGCATTTGATTTTATTGATTAATCGATAAAATTGTCTCTTTGTACAAATCAAAAATAATGAAGAAATGTTGTAACAATGGCATATATATGAAAAAGCAGAGGAAAATTTTAATAAATAATATAAAATCTAATTAGTCTCTGTATTTTCTTTTTTTATGTTCATATCTACTCAGAGCACATCCTAAAACTTCTCCTCGAAAATAATTCTGAATCCATTGTTAAAGAAATTCTTCTTTAAGATTTTGGAGGAGTTATAGCTTAGTCTAAGGAATACAATGAGTTTCTTTAATTAGAATGCTTTTCAACTTAGATCAATTAATTAATCCCTAATTAATCTAAATATGACACAATCGATTGTTCAACATCATTTGTAATTGGGAGCCAACCTTGAGTAAATTGATCGCTTTTAGTTGAGTTTTCATTTGATTTCTAGAATTAAGGTGATTGCATAAATATTTTTTTATATTTTTAATTATTTCAGATGATTTCGAAATCCATTTATTAATAAATAACTAAAAAACTTTATCTCCTCGAATGACTCAATAATATATTAGATATTTCGTATCGTATTTAAAATCAAAAATTTTTCTTCATAATAATTATTATTAAATTTTATTGATATATTAATCAATATTAGGCTTTGTTGGTAATTATAGATACTATTCATACAATACTAAAGCTTATTGATAAGAATTTTAGTAGCCAAATTTTTAAATGGCTTAATATATTTTAGAAATCTATAATCTATCCTAGTCTGTGAGTTTTGCTCTCGAAACCTTAACAGCCTTATTAATATAATCGTATAACTCAAGTAGAGCATACTCGTTAACCTTGATCTATTCAATCTTCTACTCAATTTTGTAAATAACAGTTTTAACTGTAGAGATATCATTAGCATTAATGATCTCATTTAAGTTGTCAATTGTTTTCTATAAGATTTGCTTAGTTTCAGGCAATTTTAGTACACTACATTAAACTAAATAAATACGTTAATTGATAACTAAGTGCATCTTTCAAAGTATTCAATTTAATATTCAATTTTTCTATATCATTTTCTTTTATCTAATAGAATGAATCATCAGATTAGAAATTTTGGATGACAGATAACTCTAAATTTTTTGACTTTTTGAACTAGTACAAGAAATCCTCAACTAATGCGCACATTTGTTATAATTCTGGTTCATGCTTTGATTTTCCTATTTAAGAATACATTGAATATTCAAGGGCAATTTATGAAACTTCTTCTTGTATTTTCTTCTCGTTTTAGCTCACACTTTCTCGATTATTTTGTATGAGATTTAAGACTTTGTCCTTAAGATTGGTGATACCAATAAAAACAGATGGATCATCACTAATAATGGAAAAATCACTGAGAACCTCAATAATATTAATGAATTTTTGGTACATTAGATAAATTCTATTCATTAATTACTAATTTTTCATCTTTCTCGTTTTCTGTTTTTCTTTACATTTTATATGATTAACCAAATGTGATTCTCTCTTTATCATCAGTTTTCTTCTCTGATTACCTAAATGAATATTTATCAACAATTTCTTAAATTGAAGGTCTTGGATTGCTATCACTTGTTATGTTAACTTCTTAAAAATTTGGATTATTGAATAGCATATTTATTAATTTATTGAAATTAAATAATTCAAATCAGTTAGATTAAGAGATAAAAATGATAATTATATTCTAAAGATAAAGAAAAAGAGAAAAACTATGAAAGCCTAGAAAAATAGAAATAAAGAATAGTATATCATACTGAATAAGAATCGTGTAAACGATTATAATGTTTATATTATTATTCTGTATTAAAATGAATAGATATGGTTTTGTCATCTTTTGAATATGATAAATAAATATTAAATTGAAGCATAATTTTAAATGAATATAAGATTATGTATCTTTTAATTTATGTAGTTCACCAACAAAGTTACTCTGTTAGGGATTCATTAGGAATAATGCATGTGTTTATATAAACAACCTTGATTTTAATTTTATTCTATATGATCTATATCGATCTTGACAATAAATATATTTATATGGATAATTATATGAAATCCATTCATTATAATAAATATTTTAAATATTCTGATCTAACTTGGAATGATCATTAACTAAAATTCTTAATTGGATTTGTTAAAGGAAGTGATGAAAGAAAATATCAATTTACTAACATAATGCAAAAAAAGTGAAATCTTGGAATTCAATCATTATTATGTAGGTTTACAGTATCTATTTTGTTTGGTACATAAACTAAAAATCTTTATCATTGATAAGACCTATTCATATGATAACATGAGTTTATTGCAGAGCCAATATATAGATGTCCATTATCGAAGTTAGTAGATTCAAACATTGTTGGATGATTACTATTATTCGGAGAAGAAGGTTCTTTAAACTTACGAAGAAATGAAATAAAAGATAATTGAAAAATATTCTGAGTAGAATATTCCACTATTAAACATTTCCAATGAAATTAAAGGTCTTCAAGGATAATATCAATTTAATTTGTCTAATATAAACATCAAAGATTAAAATAAACTGGATTATAGTTGTATAGAAGAGGACCTGTAAAATAATGCTCTTTTTAAGAAGGCTATGCACGAATGGTATTCAAATTATGAAAATAAACTTGACTCTTTTATAGCAATTTAAACACAACAACTGATTGTTAAGACTTAGTTACATGAATTAATAATTATATAATATTGGCTTTTGAATACTTCAATTTATGAATCAAAGGAAAAGGGTGAAAAAAATGAAACTGAATTAGTAACGCAAAAACACAAGAGTCTATATTACTTTTTAATATTGAATTAACAAAAATACAAAATTGAAGTAACTCAACAATAATTAGAACTCTTTATTTGTTTGTTGAATAGCAATTAGTTTGAAGAATTTATAGAATAAAAAATGAAAATTTTAGATTACTTTGAACCCCTTAATTTAGAAGATCAATACCTAGATGATTCAACTATGAAAGTTTAATATTATTAGTTTAAAGATTGCACTTTCAGATTAGTTTAAAAATTGAACAATGAGTTTAATCAATTGATATACTCAATCGAAATTTTGGGAATAGAAAATAAGTTTTATTCAGTAATTGACACTGACAATATTCAATTGCTAGAATTGAGACTCAAAGGGTTTCCTAAATAGGATATGTCTATAATATTTAACGAACCTGATCTTATCTATAAATACTTCATGAGAAAGATCTATCACAATTTAAACCCTGAGAGTGATCCTTAAATTCTTAGTAATAAAATTAAAGTAGGATCCATAATTCTATCAGACAGATCAATTTATTAGCATGCAGCACTATACTTGGGTTGCGATTTAGTTTTCCATTACACAAATGAACAATTTGATAATGTGAATTAAACTCGTCTTGGCCATTTTTTCAAACCAGAACGCTTTGTAGTATTTATGAAAGGCGCATCAGTCTTAACAGAGTTATAATTAGTCTTTTTATTAAGAGACAAGTAAGAATTACTAGAAAAAGCTTTATAGAAGTCAAATGAAAAAATAGAATTCGATTTAACAAAATACAATTGTGAACATATGGTATTTGAAATATTAACAAATTTCAAATATTCATCTCAAATTGACCTAAATATTTTTAAAAATGTTGGAGCAAATGTAGCTAAATATTTTGGATTTTTAGGATCTTCTTAATCATTCCAATCAAATTGAAATTGATAAATAGACATAAAATATAATATTATTATAAATTGCTGTTTCAATTATTAAAATCAAACCAAATCTAATTAGATAAAAATAGCTCTCTATCCACTGCTATGTATTATTATATTGAAATGCAAAATTCGTAAATTTTAGATATTATTATATATATTGATTACTTAAATATAACTTATTAATGGATGCTATTAAAAACTTTGCCAACAACCTTACAAATAGAGATCAGAACAATAACACCAATGGTAAAATTGTGCCGTTGGAAGAGAAAGATAAAGAACCACTATCCATAAAAAATCCTTTGGGTAGGTAGTTATAATTTGTTAATGAAGTATGGCTAATGAATTGCAGATGGCAGCTAGCAAAGGGATGCAAAAGCTCATACAATCAGTGGACAATGCAAAGGCCGATGTCAAATAGGGTTTCACTTAATTGGATGATAAGTAATTGAAATTTGTAGAAGAATAGATTGAAGCTGATGTTGAGGTAGTACACTAATTAAATCAACATATGGGCAAGATCAAAGGTGTTATCGTCAGTAATCATAGTGATCGAGAAATTTCGACCCATGGTTAAAGAAGGGCTCAAAGATCCTGATATGTGTTAGTGTGTGAAGAATTTAGTATTTTGGAGAAATAATTAATTAGGTCGATGATACTGTAGATGCAACTTGGCCAGAGATAGTGGATGAAGTTAAATATCAATTGATGTTGTAAATAGCTGATCCTTACACAGAAATAGAGGAGAAAAAGCAAACTCTTGCTTGTCTATACCCATTAGTTTGGATAAGGAACTGGTATCTCTATTCAAATTATCCTTATGACAGAAGCGTTTGGAGGCAATATAAAACCATGTATATATATGAGGCTTGAACAATATAGATCTTATTGGTTTTGGTATTTCGTGTCATTGATACCATTTTATGGTGTCTCATAGTATTTCTATGTCTTGGATTTCATAATGATGGATAAAGGAGATGAATATCAGTTGGTGAAATTTATTTTGAGTTTTAAAACGTAAAACAATTACAATAACATAGAATGTTCTTCATAACCTAAGGAGTAATGAAAGCTTTGATAGGGTACTTTATGCTATATGCCTGCACGACTATGAACTACATTGATAGTGCTTACTCATCGGATTGCACAAGGAAGGGTCCAGGATCCAGCATTGAAGTCTTCTCTGAGGTTATTGGACAAGGTGTTCAAGTAGTTCTTATTTGGTTTGCCTTCTTCCTTTTGTCATGTTCAAAATAGAAGGGGAAGCCAGTTTTTCAATATGATGATACTCCTTAATTGAAGGAAGGAGGATGCTTTGAAAGGGGAGGTCGTCTGAAGTACTTTATGTTTTGGGATATCTTTGCTTTGGGAGGCAGCATAGGACTGTTTTGGTTGGTGTATTTGACATAGGATACTCGTCCTAATTTTGATAATTCAGGAGATTTCGTATATTACAAATATGATATCAATAGATTTACTTTACTGAAATTTGTTATGGATTGTTGAGTTTCCCATTTCTAATTTTTAATGTTCCTTTTGTGAATGGGAGATTGACAAAGGCCAAGGCAACTGCTTATGATAGAAAAGGTAATTGTATCCCAGCAATTGATGGACTGAGAAAGTAAATAAAGAACAATCAAGATGAGGAAACGAGTTTCTTGCTTAATACTCTGTCAATAGATGTTGGAGAAGTATTTGATGGTTGATATATATATAATTTTATATAATTTTGTTATAAGAAATTTTAATTCATGAAGAAATCAAACCCTAAAGATAAATTGGAGAATAAAAATCAAGGAAATGTCATGCCTGCCACTTTAATCATTTTTGATAAAATTGATGCTCTTAAAGACAATAATACAGTATAGAGTTTACATAAATTAGCAGATTAAGATCGAGATGATATTAAATTACTTGAAAGAACTAACCTTAGGATAGACAATTAAAAAAGGGGAATCATTGACATACGTATTGTGCGGAAAGAAGTGGACGATCAATATAGTGGAAGTGTCACCAGTAGCAGAATTAGTTTGTGTTGATCAAAATACTTAATTTAAATTACAGGATAAATTACAATTGCAAAATTCATAATAATTGCCATAAGTAGAACAATCTTAACAATTCATGTATTATGATAATCTTTTTAATGAAATCCAAGCCATTATCGAATAGAATATAGGTGAGTAATCAAATGAAATTAACCTTATGAATTTACCATTAATTAAAGGAGTTTTGATAAGTGGTTAAACTGGCACAGGAAAGACTACAATCCTCTAAATGCTCAGCAATAAATATGCGGAATATAAGCCTGTTTTGATATCCATAAATCATTTAGATGCAAACAATAAGGAATTATAGCAATTATTAGAGATCTCATAACAAAGAAATAATCTGATTTTGATTGATGACTTATCCAGTTTGACTGATGAAAATATGCAAAATGTAAAACCATCCTTATTTAAAATATTTGACAATGTCCAAAATAAAAGATCTCTTATCATTGCTACCATTACAAGTATTAAAGACATTCCTGATAATCTGAGAAGATCAGGAAGATTTGAAAAAGAAATTATTATTGAGTAGCCTAATCATGAAAAAAGAGTGGATATTATGATAAATGAATTCACGAGATAAAATATTGAAATTGAAAAAGAAGTGTTAAAAGAAATATCCTATTAAATGAGTGGTTTTACAGTTAATGATATTAGATGTTTAGTTAGGGAATTCTATTTGTTAAAAAATATACAAGGAGATAATAAAACTAAATTAAGATAATCATTACAAAAGTTGAATCCAAGTGGAATCAGAGATTTGTTGGCTGATGTTCCAAAAGTAGATTGGAATGACATTGGTGGATATGAGGATATCAAATAAGAAATTAAAAAAGTTGTTGAATGGCCTTTGAAATACCCAGAATAATTTAAAAAGTTAGGAATTACACCTTCTAAAGGAATTCTACTTTATGGTCCTCCTGGTTGTTCAAAAACTCTATTGGCCAGAGCTTTGTGCACTCAATGCAACCTAGCATTTATAGCAGTAAAAGGGCCTGAGATTTTCAGTAAGTATGTAGGAGATAGTGAAAAAACAGTCAGAGAAATATTCAAAAAAGCCAGAATCTGTGCTCCGTCAGTATTATTTTTTGATGAAATTGATGCCATTGCACCATAAAGACAAGGGAGTACTGATGTTTCAGACAGAGTCCTAATACAATTACTTACTGAAATCGATGGATTTGAGTCTCTAAAGAATGTAATTATTATTGCTGCAACAAACAGACCAGCTTCAATTGACAAAGCATTGCTTAGACCTGGAAGATTTGATCATTTAGTTTTTGTTGATGTTCCAGATAGAGAAGGAAGAAAAGCAATCTTTGAAGTAAACCTTAAAAAAATGAAAGTTAATGATGATGTGACATAAGGACTATAGACTCTAATAGATAAAACGATGGGATATACTGGTGCAGAGATTTGTTAGATATGTAGGGAAGCAGGTAAGAATAAAACAATAATCTATAGGTTTAAATGCATTAAATAGAAGTATTGATAATGAATTCATTGAACTCAAAGACTTCGAGATGGCATTATAAAAAGTAAAACCCAACGTGACTCATGAAGATCGTTTATAATTCTTATAATTTGCCAAACTTGTTTAATGATATTGCTATTTTCATTTGAATGTTGTATATAACAGTATATTAAATTTATTGTATTAAAAGAAGTCAAGTATTTTTATATTAATAATCAAAATTCTATTTATAATTATAAGAAATCTCTCATTTTAGTAGATTTAATAAATAATTTATCATAAGATATTATATCACTTTTCTATGAATTAATAGAGATACGCTATTAATCATTTTTCAGGTGATTTAATAAGTAATAAATATTACAGTAATTTAAATTTTACTCATAAATTCATTTTTCTATAAGACTGATTTGGGGATATGATAGCACTCTCGAAAGCTTGGTCAAACTATTGATCTCCCTACCATCTGTAGGTCGGAATATTATCAGATTCTAAATCTTCCGAACAATTGGTAATTTGATGCTTTTTAATTTCTTATTAAGGATTGTCATTGGAGGCGATTTACTGATCTATTTCCTCATCCAGAAATTCGTTGCAATCTTGATCTAAGCTAAATGATTAGAGGAAGAATATACTAATTGTTTTTATTAGCATTCTGATCTTCCGATGAATCTTTTTCATCGAGATCTCCTTCTGTGAAATGCTACTACTTGACACAGACTTTCTTAATAAGCTTTTTAGAGTAGGCTTCCCAAGCCTTATAAAGAATGAGAACAGTTAAATAATCATGTAAAATGTTGAAGTTTGCCCTAAGGTGTAAAATAGGAGAGATATTGCTTCTTTATAAGAACCGATTTCTTCTGTAATACATCAATCTCAGCTGCATTTCCTTATTGAATTGCTTGATTTTCTTAATCGAAGAGTGAGGCCCATTCTTAAAGACCTCCTCATGATAGCAAACTCGAAAGAGTTCATACATCAGTTAATTGTATTGAATGTATCCGTAATGATCACTAGAATATACCTAATAAGAAATACCATTAGATTTTGAATGAGGATGCCAATTTGCCAACATCCCAGAGATTTTCATCACTTCCCCCTCCCAATGGCTTGCCTATATCTAAAAGGAAGCGACAAAGAAATTTGTAATGCATGGCTTATCCCTGAGTTTCCGATGAGTATTTGCACCAAATGGTCTTGATCTTGTCAACGTTTTCTACGTAAGTTTGGATCATAGAGTTTTGTAACATAAAGAACTGTTCGAATTGCTCCACCAAGCCGAGGACAAATAAATTCAATAGAACATAATTGGACAGTAACATAAACAAGAAGAAGTAGATCTGATTATAGATGCTCCCACAATACTTGTCATCTTCTGCGCAAAACGGATTATAAAACATAGTGTCTGTCATAATGGTCCTCCAATCATCACCTGATGCGCATTTGAATAGAGCCAACATAGCTTATGCAACATTCTGGAAATTGATTTGATCATCCATCACCTACCCTTTATCAAGATGCCCATACATTTGGCAACCAAAAAGAGCGAAAATGAACATGGTAATGATGAGTATAGAAAATATTTTACCTAAGAAGGGCATAGCAAAGACCATCACTCTCATTAATCTCTACAGATTGATCAAGCCCTGGAATATTAAGATAATTCTTAAACATCGAAGAGCAAAGAACAAGCGTAGAAACTGATACCCATCATCAGCTGGAGTGGATTTGAAGTAGACTAATGCCCAATCTGCTTGGTAATCAGCAATAATATCAATAATTGCGATAGTGATCAAGAAGAAGTAGAATCTTCTCCAGTGGTTATCAAAATAACGATTAACTCCTAGAGCTAAGAAGAGGAATATGTTCCACATTATGTACAAGTACATCAACGTATTATGTGTATTATTAAGAACTTTGAAAAAGTCTTCATCCATTTCTGAATAAAATAATAATAGGACAATTAAATCTATCAATAGAAAACAAAACATAGTCTTTTGGCAGGTTGAATTATTGGTTAAATCAGATGCAAATCTTCTTATTGTTGAAGTAGGAGGTGAGGAATAAATGGGGAAATCCTTGATAATGATTTGTGAAATCTCCATAAATTCAACCTAAGCTTTGGTGATGTCTGATCTTTCAATTTTACTCTGGTTGTCTTTCAAATTTGAAAACAACACACCTGTGAATAAACTCAGGAAAAACATAGATCCTATGAAACAAAACACCAAGAAAAAGAAGTATGTGGGTATATAACTATTAAATGCAACTGGTCCAAAGTCAGAACTCTAACTATTTTCTGCAATTTATAAGATCTCACCCCATCCATCAAAAGTTGACACCACAAAGAGTGTTGGAATAGCAATTGTAATATTGTCAAAATTATGCTTGTAATTAATCCAAGTTCTATTCTATTCTAAACAATCATTCTTGTTCACATTGAATTGCACTTTATCCTCACAATAGCCAAATTACTGTTCATACAATATAATTCCATACACTCCGAATATTATCCACACTGAAAGCATTGTTATCAACACATTCCAAATATCAGCTAATGATCTCCCTAATGCCAATCTCAATTTATCTAACCATGACAATCTATACATTAGTTTCATCACTCTAAAGTAACCAAAATACAACAAGAATTTTACAATAGGTTTCTTTTCATTATTAGATAGAAAGTGAAAGCAGAATGATATAATGTAAATCACATCAATTATTTACCATGTGTATGTAATATATGATCCTTTATTCATCCACATCCCTTTGGCTATGCTACCAATTACCACTTCAAAGAGGAAAACGATGTTAGCTACAAATTGCAAAACCTCTGGGTAGTATTCTGAGTTCTCTTCATAATCATTGTAAGTTTTCAAGGCAAATACAATTATGGAAAAATATAACACTATGTCCATAAAGTAATTAAAAAATTACGATGTAACTATTTGACAGCAGAATATTCTCACATAATTCTCTTTAGAGAATATATATAATGATTACTAACATTAAATACCTTCATACAATTAGGGATATTAATTTAAAATATCCTTGTGCACTTATTCTAATATTATATATTAATCAATAAATACTTATGGACTTCATCAGATTCGTAATTGGAGTCTACTTTGTTTTCTTTGGTTGATTATCAATCAAATTTGCTTAAGAGATCAAGGGTTACAAATTTAACTGAAATTCTTAAATTTCCTATTCTTCAGTAATTTGTGAATTTTGATCTTCTGGCTATTCATTATTCTTCTCTTCATTGTCCTTTTCAACTAATTCTTCCTATTCATTCATTTCTTTATTTATGGCTCCAAATCCATCCAATAATATAGCCAATACTAATCCATATGTAATGTAATTCAATACTATAACCATGGAATACGAGTAGATTACAGCAAACACATAATTGATATTTCCTCCCATCACATATACGCCATACCAGTCATCATTTGTCATAATATTGAATATAGTCATAAATGCTTTTAAAATATTATCGTAGGAATGCAATTAACCCAGAGCATCCGTCTAATCAAACACTCCTGCGTACATCTCCATTCCAATCATTGCATAAATAAATATAACTAGAAACATCAGAAATGTTAAGTATATGTATTATTTGAATGTTTTTTAAGCTATATGACCAATAGCTACTGCCATCTTATTATATTTTAACACTCTGTAAAATAGTAAACATTTTGTTCCTCTAATCAAACGCAAGTTTTATTCACTTAAACTCGTCATTAATGAACTCATTGTAAATTCTATGAAATTCAAGATTACAATGCTAGATTAAAGTACATAATCTGGACTATTAGTAATGTCTTTCCAGGAAAATGCAATAAATCTCAGAATCAACTCTATACATAAAAATATAGTTGAAACATCCTCCTCATTTGATATTGTAACTGAATCTGCTATTCCTTGCAAAGAGAGAAATGTAAAATTGATCAATATTACGAAATCAAAAAACAATTGACAAACTTGAGATGTAATGAGTAGATATGAATACTTCTTTATTGTATCAATCTTTCCATACAAACCCAACATCCAAATCTAGATGTCAATGACATTTAATCTCTTTAGTACATCTCTAAAATTAAATAATCTCTTTTCATTCAACTTCAATACATCGTTCCCAGACCAAGTTTTCTTGCTAATTAGAGTTTACTAACAATCCTTTTTTCTCAACAATCTATATTAAAATTCATTAGATGATTGATCAATTCTATTTTTTTGTATCTTTGCATTTATCTTCGATTAAACTCCTTCATAATTTAGATAATATCCCTAAATATAAACAAAGTATTGATCTTGCTTTTTTATAAAAAATGGAACTTGTTAATCATTTTAGGTAGCCTTTTGCTTTGAAGAATACTTCATAGTCATCTTTTGATTGATATGACGTTGCTCTATTGAATTGTTAGTTTCATTCTCATCATTCTCTGTAACATTGAGTATGATTCGTTTAACTTTATTAACAGGAAACTAGGAGGTGTTCTTATGGTCTTTGAAAATTTGTTGAATTTTATTTTGCTTAATATCTGGATACATTATTGGAAGTTTAATATATCTCATGTTAATGATTTCTTTTTCAATTTCCTTCTTCTCACAATCAGGTAAACTATAAATTACATAGTCAAATACTTCAGTGTAGGTAAAACATCTCCTTCGCTTGAAAATGTTTACTATATTTATTTATTAAGACAAGATTGCATTTGGGAGAATGAAAAGGACTTTAGCCTTTCTAAAATTTACAACTCAATTTCATCTTCAGTATACTTTTTTATACGAATTCTTTTCTATTTCTCTTGTAGAATTTTAAACTTTGGTAACAATAGATTCTTGATTGTCAAATTCTATAAATAAATCTCCATTCTTTTTATCCAATTGATCTAAAATAATGGTAATATATATTCATTACATCCTCAATCTACTCTTCATTTTTCTTTTATTTTGCAGACAAAATTCTTGTTTATTTGCTCTCCCCTTTATCATTGGTCATTTCTTCCAACGGGAAATTACGATATGTATTTCTCAAAGCCTACCTGTACTTCTTTATCACTTGAAAGAACTCCCTATAACGTAAGAATGCAACATCAAAGACATTTACAATATCTCTTTCTGGTATTTCTCTGTTTTCCTTGATCTTTTACTCAATTTTCCTCCTTTCCTCCTCTTAAGCATTCTCCTCAGTGGCCTCAGCATAATGAATCTTAATAACTGCTATCACCAAATTAAACCCAAAAAAACCACACACAAAAATAATTAATAAATAATAAAGCCAAGTCCAAGGGTGATATATTCTCATAGTAAAAAACATAACCCAACTCCAATCATCCATCGTAATAGTCCTTAAGACTTAGCCATAAGAATAAATCACAGTATTAAATGAAGTGGGTAGTTTAGGAGTGAATGAAGAATATTAACATGACATTCCTTCTTCAAAACAAGAGTTCTGATTACATTAGATCCATCCATCTGTTTCATCTCCATTATCATATTGACACCTATAGTTAAATAAGCCTTAGAACAAAAAGACTCCGCAAATTGCAAAGAACACTGAGAAAAGACCGACGATCATTAAAGCTTCCAGTAAAAATCTGAAGGATTATTTTAAAGCCTTTAACATTACTCCTAATCCAGCAAAAATGTCTCCCAAATAGAGTAATAAGGTGATTACTCTAAGTGGTGACACGTCAACTTTAAATGTATCTGGATATGTTAAATTTAACACATATATTATGACCAAAATGCAATCCATAATATCTTAAAAGTTTCTAAAGAAGGCTCCTTTTGGTATTATAATTCCTGATGCAATTACCCTGAGACACAATTCTATTAAAAAACAAATCATGATTCCCTTCTCCATATCTTTGGTTGCTAATGGGTCTTACTTTGTCTACGAGTAAATGTATAATGTAACATTAAATAGAATTAAAAAGGACATACAAATTTTAAAAAAGACACTTTACACTATTTTCTTACATAAAATGGGGATAAATAATGAGTAAAATACGAGTCTTTTTCTTAATTTTAAAAATTATTAATCGTCATGATAAGCCTCGTTATTAATGAAATTATTACATCAAGCTCATAATGCAGCCTTTCGAATCCGTGTAAATCGATTAGTTTCACATAGTAAGGATCTTCGAAGGGGTTTCTTTCATATAGTTTCTTATATTTCCTTTCGATTTTTTCGTCTTCCTATTAATTGTCAATGTAATCGTCATCCTCGCTATCGGAAAGATTTTATTAATTTTTTTTAGTTTGATTAATTAACAACCTTGATTGAAACATATTTCTTTGACTTGCACGTGATTTTCTTAAGGATTTATGGGATGATAAAACTTCACTATTTTATGAAATAAGCTATTTATCTCCGATACATTGTTTTTGTAAACTAATGTCCTATTTTAGTCCCCATTAGTGTTCAAAATCTAGAAATTAAATTTTTAAAACTGATCTTTCAATCCCATCCGACATATCTAAGGGATTGATCAAATCTTATTCAAAGGACATATTGGGTATGATAAGTTTATCTTATACTTAAAAAAAAGATGAGCGTCCTTATTGAAAATTTCCCTAATTATCCTTCAAAATTATAGATTAATGAAATGATCTTTTGTCATTTTCTGAATCACTTGAGAAGGAAGAAGAGCTTCGAGATAAACCCTTATTCATGGAGACATTCACTTTTTATTTGCTTTTAATAGATGAAACTGAATGTTTGCTTCCCTTCATTCGAATTTTGCTATCATCTGATAATTAGTTTTGAATGTTCGCTTTTCTATTTGCTATTTCTTTTGATATTGAGAAATGCTTCTTAGTCGTTCGAACTTTTTTTTCAGAAACTATCCTATCTTTAATTTTTTGCATTTCCTTTTATATATATTAATGATAATATTCAATAATTTAAAGGCTGGATATAAAATTGAAATATAAATGCATCAAAATATAATCAAATCTGTTGTTTATTGATTCATTTTTTTGAGAAAATGTAACATTTGATGTATTATTATTTGTTAATTTTGTTGAAAAGTTCGTACATATCAATATATCAAGTCATCCTAATCATAACCCACTTCCTAAATGATTTCTTGGTTTCTAAGTTATTTTTAGGTTCACCAAAATGTTTGTTTGGTATTAAGTTATGAATATAAATTTTAATTATTAAAAAATTTCCAAGAATTTTTATTTTATTCGATAATTTTCCACTTACTTGTTGTTTATCATGTAGAATGAAAATAAATTTTATATCTTGTTTCTAAAACTGAACATTTCTATCAAGCATTATAAATCCGAAATTTGATGTCTCCAAAAGTCACGAGGACTAAAGGAATATTGAAACAATGATGAATAATTGATTATAATTAATTAAATTTATTTCTTTTCATGTTGAATAAACCAAGATCAAGATTGCCCCCTCAACTATTGATTACTCCTAAATATGACGAAAACCTTGTAATTTGTAAAACCCAAGAGAATACTGTGCAAGAACATAGAAGAAATTCAAGTTATCAATAAAGAACTAGTTAGTAGAAGTATAATTTTCAGTTGTGCCATTAAATCGGGAAGGGATAATTCAGCAAAGTAATGCTTGTTAAGTAATAAATAACAATATGTGCAACTAGAAATGCAAGCGCTTTTTACGCTTTAAAGATGATTGACAAAAGGCTGATCCAAAAGTACAATATTGCTTAATAAGTCTAAAGAGAAATAGACATTTAATCATCAATATAGCACCCAAATATTGTTAAAATGTTCGGTAATTTCCAAGACAATGATTATGTCTATCTAATAACTGAGTATTGTGAAAAAGGAAATTTGTTCTAAAAATAATTCTCCGAGGAAGATATAAAAAAAATAACTAAACAAATTTTACTTGGAATCCAATACCTCCATTCAATGGGCATCATGCATAGAGATGTGAAACCAGAGAATATCTACTTGACATCCGATAACAAAATTAAGATAGGAGACTTTGGCTTTTCTAATTATAAAGGCAGAAGAAAGACTTTCTGTGGCACTCCTGAGTATATGCCACCAGAGATTGTGCTTTCACAGGCGAATAAAACTTAATATCATGGTTATGACGAAAGAGTAGACATATGGGCCATAGGGATCTTATTATTTGAGTTGTGCAATGATACAGTTCCTTTTCGAGATATTGATCGAAATAGGCAGTAAGATAGGATTTGCAGAGAACCTATCTAATTCAAGGAGGGCTAAGATTTAAATCTCATAGACTTTATTTAAAAATGTTTGAAAAAAGATCCTAATTAAAGGGCTGCAATACAAGAATTACTGCAACACCCTTACTTATAAATTTGATAATTAATTAATTTCATTCAATTTAAATAATTAAAGTTTTTTGAATCGCTTAGATGTGATAATTTTGAAAATCAAAGAGTTCAAGTAACTATTCCTATATAATTTAAGAGTTTCATCAAAAAGTACAATCTTATGAAAATGAATAAAAGAAGACTTCTTATCTTTTTACAATACAATAGAGTAATAAAATAATATTAATAACTTATTAAATTTTATTAAAATTAAGAAACTATTTAAGTTAGTTCCTATGAAGATTTGATTAAATTGCAACTTAGATATTAAACTGGAATTCCGAATTTTAGTTGATAAAATGTAACTAGAGCAGGATTTAATTGAGAGAATATAGAAATTAATTATTTTAGATGGATGGAGGTTAATTAATCAAATTAACATATTTAAGAGGAAGGCTAATAATTGTTCTTAAAATTAAGGAATAGTTCCTGAAAGAAATCAACTAATAATTTTAATAAATTTAGACCATATCTTTATTAGATATTCAATTCTTCAAGTTGATTTAGTAATATAAACAATTATTATTCAGTTGGAAATATATATCAAGAAGAAACCTACTTTTCCTTATCCAATCCCTTAAACTTATTCTAGATGTTAAAATCAATTAGAACGTGTCTAGTGAATCGATCAATATAATCGAATAATTATCGGTATTATCATAATAAACATAATTTTTAATAAATATGGACACACAATAATGAATGGTGTAATTTATAAAATATTATGGAAACTTGCTGTGTAGAAAATTAAATTATATGCTTTAAAATATATGATGTTATTATTTATTAAATCTAAAATAAAATTTATATTGAGTAATGAGAAAGGTATTTTAAAAAATAAATTTCAAAAAACTAACATGTATATGTAAGAAGGGTTAACGGGGAGGTTTAACCATCTGAAAAAGTGAAATTACTTAGGTTCAGCATACTACTGTTCCTTTGTTGTAACTGAACTTATCTCTTTAACTCTCAACTTTAATACATATAAAATTTATTTAAAAGTTGTTGATTTGTTCAACGAAGTGGAAAAATAATTTTGTTTATTCAAATGATTAAACAGTTGTAAATAATTCATCATATATAGGTAATTGGAAAGAATTAAAAATATAATATTAAAAATAGATGGATAATGTTAACTCTTGCTTAATGATGTTGAATGGGCAAAGCACAGAGGAGAGTGAATGTCCAAAGGATGAATTGAATGATTCAATAGATTTGTACATGGATTCGAAGATTAATGCAATCGAAATTCGGATTGTGAAATACTTGCACGGGATGGGTATTCAGACTAAAACAGATCCAGGTTAGAAGGAATAGCAATATTGGAGTTCAAAAAGACTTGAGAGTAACAAGAAATTAGAACTTTTTTGGAGTGATAGCAATTTGCCAATGAATTCTCCATTAATTCGTTTATTGAAGAGTCGACAATCTCAAACATTCTAACATTTTGGATAGAGTGCAAAATCTATTCAAGATTTCGGAACTTACTGACATTTAAGTTAGTGAAAATAAATGACAACTTAATGCTTAAATATAATATCTTTTAATAGTATTAATTGATTAATGTATATGAAAATATATTGTTTTAATAATATTATTGGGAATATTTTACAGTCATTCATATTCACTGATAGCTTCTAAGATGCATGCAATTGACCAAGCCTAAGCTCTACACGAAAACACATTGTATTCTCCATTTCCATTGGTCATTTCTGGCAAAGAGTACCTAATTATAATTTCATTAGAATTACCATTCATTTTGATGCAAAGTCATTTTGTGGTTTGATAAATAAGAATAGAATAGAGTTCTATTGATGTGCTCTTTGCCATGAATAGCTACTAAGGCTTTTAAAAAATATCCATAAACCCAAACCCATTCTGGTCCATTGTGATATGAGAATCCATGAGATACATTGAAGATTTGAGATGAATCGCTGTTATCATAGAAATGAATATACTCCGAGGCAGCAGGATCAAGAGTCTTGACGCCAATGGAATTCTCTCTTAATAGACATGCTTCAACAGCAGCGAGATGGAACTTCGCCTTTTCTTTGTGAAATAATTCAGGAGCTAACCCTATGGCTATGCTGGCATTGCACCTTAATTAGTATTCATTTCTAGGTTTAGAAGACTTGACAAGATCCTTATAGATTTGTCGATGTCTAACATGTTTTTCAACGATGTGATAATCTTGGTAATTGGGATCATGTTATTTTGGGATGTAGTAATAACTTTCGAAATTGGCGACTAAGAAATGAGCCCATTCTTTGAAGAGTAGTTTCTTGCCATTAGGACAAATAACACCATCATAAGGATAATGAGGATGAGCATGACTAACGAAATCTAAGCAAACCTTGAGAAGAGCAGTCAATTCAATAGGTGCTCCATCTCTACTAGTAGCAGGGATTCCTCTATTAACATCTGATGAACCCATTTTATCCATCCATGTCAAACAATTCAACCAATTTCCACCAACGATAAAACCAGTCTATTCATCGAGACTCAATTGAATGTTGAATCCTTCTGATTACATACAATTATCTATTTAACCTCCTGCTCTCCATTCTCTAAATTTGATTCCAGAGGCATGACTCTAAAAGATCTTTTGAATAATCTCTGCTACAGTTTTCTTGATGACAATGCCTTATGATTTTAATTAGTAATGTTTATCTATCTCATCATCTAGAAATACCATTTAGACTTCCTCATTGAGGATGTCAGTCTTTCCAGCATATTGCACATAGTCTTTGACTGCCTTAATGTACCACCAACAAGCATCTCTGCAATTATACCTTGGATTATTGCAAGAATCTAATAAGTTGGGAATGAGTCCATGTCTTAAACAAGAACCGAAAGTTAACAAAGCATCTCTTGCTTCAGCCAGTAATCCATTTTCTAGGTAGATTCCCTTAAAGGATATGAAAGTGTCTCTGCCCCATGATCTGGCCCAACCAGTAGTAAAATGGGGTAATCCAGCTGACATCTATTTAGATGAAGGCAACTCAGCAATAAACTGATACGAAGCTAGTTTTAATTCTCTTTTGAATTATGATGTTTGGAGATTGGCAATGGAGAGCATACAATAGTTGTATATGTAATCAACAAATTTACAGAAATAAGAAGGGATGTGATGACGAGGGATACTTTTGATTTGTTGAGTGATGACATTTATTAATTTAGATACTTCCAAGTATCCAAGTTATCGTTGCACTCTATCATTTAAATAGTCTAATAGCCAATATCCATTTCTCAAATTTTCACAGATGGGGTGTGCCAAATTGTTGTTTGTTTATGCTTCTCTTGTGGCAGAACGAGGACCAGCAAAGCCAGCATAAATAAGTTGTCTGTAATTGGGAATAAAATACAATCCAGTATTATTCTTGTCTCTCTCTTCAGGTTCAGACATAAAGAGTAAGTAATTTAATTAATAGGAAGTCAAAGCATTGAAATGTGCTTATTAGGATGCATCATTTAAGTGAGTGTCTAGGGATTACAAATTCTTCTGTTATTCAGAGTCTATTTGGCATTCAATGATAGCTGTAAATGAGGAAGGCAGTTTGATGAACATTAATTCATTGCCTTGGATTTCAGCAAACTCACGTATATTTTGATGTTATATAATTTTGACTGTCGATCCCTCTATGAATTGATTGTTTTATTCGGGATGCTGTATAAAGTCTTCATGATAGAATATAGCATCTACTTTGACAAGTTTGCCTGGTAATTTTATCGTACTAAATGGATTTGGAACTCCAAATGAAGGAACAGTAATCAAAACCTTGGATCTACATTTGTCTTGGGATTCTCTGGTGATCGTTTGAATAGTGTTGCCTTGATTTTGACAGAAGATGAAAGGAAACTAATGATTTAGTTCCTTTTTAATCTGGTGCAATTTGAGTCTAATCAATTCCATGGTGGTATGCGATTTGGTTGGATTGGGTTCTACGATTAGTTTCCTATTGGTTTAATCAATCCAATTGGAGTTGACTTTATATTTGTATTCATATTATCCTTCATTCAACATAAGAGTTTGAGTGTAAATGTTCTTATGGGCAATCAAAACTAAGCCCACTTTCCAGTCATCCCATGATCCAAACACTTCAACCTATTAATCTGGTAATCCATCATATCGAAATGCTATCTCAGACTGTCTTTCGACACTTACTTGTTCTGTTGGAGCAACAACATTATAGATTCTTCTCTCGCCAACTACTGATAACTTATTTTGCAAGAAACAATCATATCCCCTTACAGATCCACCCATACAACTACTAAATGCAATCAAGGCAGCTATTGGCAATTGATGTTTGTAATCGTGAGTTTAGAGCAACGACTAATTGTCATGAGACTACTCATAAATCAAAGCAGGACTATACTAAGGTTGGAGAATAGTAAAGGTTTCATTGATTGATTCAAATTATTCTTACAATTTGGGTAAGGATCCTATTGATACTCGTCCATCCCCACTATAGTAATGCAATTCTCTATTCAGATGACTAGCATCGTGACATCTGTTAGTTTCCCTAACCAAACAGTTGATTCCCATGGTCTTTGTAAAGATTGAATCCTTCTCCGATGATCCAGTAAACAACTCAGCGAACACTAAGATATTGGGATTAGCCTTCCTTGCCTTCCTCATCATGTACTCTCTAATTTAAGATCAATTAATTCAATTACCCTACAATCATGGGTGTCGAATGGGCATTATCCAATCTCAACCCTGCGAATATCTTGGCCATCTGTTGAACATATTTCTTCATGAATTTCCACAATGCTGGACTGTCCTATCTCTTGTGTCCATACCTAAGTTTCACCAAGTCTCCCCAAATCACTATTGTCCTTCTCAAATAATGGTGTTCCTGATTCTCAGCAAAATTGTTCAAAGGATCAAACCCTTAAATCCATCCATTATTAGCCACATATCTCCCATTACTTAACTTCGTGAAGTATCTAGGGACCAACGAGTCTCCTTTGTCATTCACTTCCACAAAGGGCTTCTTCTGTGTCAACTTCCACCATGTGATCTACCCTCTTGTGGAATTCACAGCCTCTTTGATGTAGGACTCGGCCTCGTTCCAATATTGATGATTATAATATTGCAACAATTCTTGAATATATTCCAAAGACACCTTCTTGTAATTCTCATCCTTGCTATCACTATTATTTTATGCATTACTTTAGAAATTCAACAATCACATCGTAATTTAAGGACACTCCGTACTCTTTATACCCTTTCAGAATTGTCTCCTATCCTACCAACTACAACATAATTTCACTTGCACTCTTGATGAAGATGTTTTGGTTCTCTTCCAACTGTTCACTCTTGCTTTAAACTATCTTATTGCATCTACTCTGTATCTCACTGATCACTGCATTTATATTGAACTAAAAGTATCCATGAATATTCAATTTCCTTATGTACTCATGTTCCAAAATGTCCATTATTTGATTCAGATCATCCTCATTGTAGATTGTATTCCTCGGGTACTGAGTCAACAATCCTGATCCTAACTTATTACTAAATTCAGCTATGGCACAATCTAATCTTATGGCTGCCTCTAAATGAGGGGAATTCTTAACATTATATGTCGCATTCTCAAATTCTGGTTGCACTAACCAATTCGAATCAAATGCTGTATGATTTAACAAGATATCTATAAAAAAGTACGAATTTGGAAATTTATCAAATAGTTATTTTAAATCATCATAGGTGTGAATCCCAAAAATATCAGTATTCAATTTTTGTTAATCGGCTATTGCATATAAACTGGGTGATTGACCCAATTGTTAAATAGGCGGAAAATGAAATGCCTCATAACCCAAATCGACTTGAGAACGAATTTACTTTTCATAATCTTCAAATTTACCCAAACAGTATGGTAGCAATGTTTATATAGTTACTTCTTAGAGCTTCTCCACATCGTTTGTTTAAACAATTAGATGATTCTCCACTCCCAATATCACAGGATCGTCTTATGCGAAAAACCAACACAATCTCAAATAAGCTGCCCCAGTCAATGCAAACTCAACATCCACCTTCCAATCCCCAGAAGAATCGAGAGTAAAGGCCTTGACTTCATGATGCAGTTGTATTTATTTAAGAGTTAAATTTTCCATCTCATGTACATGCTTGTACCCTTTTTACATGATCAAGTATGGATGATACCCTTATTTGCGATTGCGAACAAAGATTCTTACCATCTAATTTTGACGTGCATAGATGGCCTTATCATGACTACCTTCAATCTCTCCCTATTAATTTAGTTCTAAAAAGTATCTCTCCTATTGCATTATTAATATTATTTGCTTTATCGAATCTAGACGAATTTAAAATATATAATTTTCAACGATTTATACAACCAAGAGAAATCAGGACTCTTCTGAAGAAAGTTTGTTCCGGTTGTTCGTTTACTGCTTAAGGTTGATGGAACACAAAATGGTGAGCTCTCTGTTTCGACTCTTCCCATTCCCTGTTGTTGGTTTTCCTCTCAGAAACCACAGTTTAACAAGATTTCAAAGGAGAATGACTATATTCTTCCATCATCAACATAGAGATGCTTCTGGAATTCAATTGGTCATTGTAAGATTTGGATTGTTACTTAGATAACATCCATTTATGATTGAGAATGCCTTAAATCGAAGGTCTGTTAAATGGATTCGGCTGTAGAATCATGGCAATCAACGACTTGCAATCTTCACTCACGAATTCCTCGTATTTCAACTACTACCCTGATAGAATGGCAACACACTTTTCCTGATCATTCTTCCCTGTAAATGGAGGCTTACCCTACACCATCTCATACAGCAGAACACCCAAACACCAGATGTCCAATTTGTAGTTCGTACTTTGAGACTTGATCATCTCCGGTGCCATGTATTCTATGGTCCCACAAAATGCCTTTTTCAGATTGTCCATCTCAGTGGACCATCCGAAATCGCATATCTTTATGTTCCCCTTCGCATCCAACAGAAGATTTTCAGGCTATTCACAACATATCAATTTAACACTACCTTTATATCACGATGGATTATCTTCATCTTGTGCAAGTACTCGATTCCCAAACAAGTCTAATAGAGATAATGATAGGCCTCATCCTCAGAAAGTCGACGCTGCTTCTTTATCCTTTTAAATAGAGAACCTCCTTCCGCATATTCCAGAATGAGGTATACATTAGTCTTAAATTAAAGATCGACCTTACCTTGTCTTCGAAATAACTATCCAGATTAATAATATGAGGGTGATTCAATTTACGTTAAATTTTTATCTCCCTCTTCAAATTATCAATTGTGCAATACTTGAAGAGCTCCCCCTTCTTCATCTACGACATTAAACATTCAACAATACAGCTTTCATTGCAAACAATCTCCCACTCTAAATCTCCCTTACTAGAGTGACCCAACCAAAAGAGCCCTATCCCAACGTCTATTGCATAGGCTAGAAGTCACTAATTTATCACTCTCTACATACCTATGGCTTTTCTTTTAAATAGTAGTAGAAGATGTCTTGCTGCTTGATCCAGGCATATTAGTGCTAATAATATTTCACAAATATACCTATTCGATCCATATTTAGAAATCGACGTGTTCAATTTTAAACTCCGACAATCACTTGTATTCTCCGAAACTGCTTTATTAGAGTTCATTAATATAAAAAATTATTTTAAAACACAACAGATCATCAAAAATCCCCTCACTGACTCAAAATCTCAAACTGTTCTCCCTCAATTCATCTATTTACTACTTCTAATTAGGATAAATCTCACTTCAACAATCGTCCTGATTATCGAATTCATAACGTTTTTTCTCAACTCTTTGTTTATTTCGTATTTTTACTTAATTTCATTTGATTTTTTTACTCCAACTTATAGAGTTATGTATAACAAAGACTCATACCGTTAGATAAGAATTTTCATACTATTTTGATATAAACAACATTATCAATTCAAGCTTACTGACTTAAGAAAAAAACTAAATTTCTTTTTTTTAAAAAAACTCATTATAATTTAATGAAAAAATGAATTTTGAATGTCAATTCAAGTAGAGGTAAAAATACAATCGATTAATAATTATTTTGGATTATTTGAGAGCCCATCATTATTCTGAGTCCATAGATTGCTTTGAATATAGTTGTTGTGATTAAAAATAATAAATATATTATAAAATCACTTTATTATTGAGGCAGTCGAATTCGAGGTAATAAATAATTATTATATTTAAATATAGCAAAATTATCAAATAACTTAGTTATTGTCTGATTTTGATGAAAATAATCGACTAATTATCTTAGTTTGAGGAGTTCTTTACAGAAAATTCTTTGGTTTCTATGAACCTCCAGTTGATTGAAATGCAAATTATTATTTAGTGCTTGCTTGAGGGGATTGTATTTGTGGTAATTGATTGAATTGATCTGGCTTATCCATGCTCATGAGTTTGTATGCTTGTTTTATTTAATTTTGAGATTCTTGAGAGTCTCTTAAGTGTTCTTATGCGGTTCTTGATTTTCTGGACACATCATCATTAGGTAGGTTGAAATTAATAAATTCATTGACAGGAGTGATAGTTTATTTCGAGGAATTTGTTCTTAAAGCTGTCTCCTATTGGGATTACTGTCCGATAGAACCGTACCCAATAAGTTGATTATTGTAAATTTTTTTTGTTTAATTAATTCGGGGTAAAAATGCAGTTGAATTGGATTTTTGCATTTATTCACTATTATATTGAGATTGTCTGCTATCCAATAAGGATTTTTGATAGGATGGATATTCGGGTTTAACAAAGTCTTCAGTTTGTTTGGTAGGGATGTGTTTTCGAACAGGCTACAGATCAGCCATGCTGATGTTAAATTCATTGTCTGAAATTTTGAGAGGTTGGCCAAACTTGATATTTGCATTTCTTTGGAAGCCTGGTGCAACAGAATTATTCTAGACTATATTAATTTATTCATTGTTTGTTTTGGGTTGAGGTGGTGAAAATGGTTTAACAGAAGGAACTTTAATTAATTTAGGAGGAGAGCTAATTAGAGATCATTCCATACCCAAATTTATGCATGACAGGAGTAATGTGATTATTTTATACAAACTATTTAGTAGATTTAGTCAGAGTGACTTTTTTCAAGGTTTGAGATGGTCTCTTTTCGCTGTTTATCTGAGGTTACAAATTCTTTTTGCCTTCTGAACTAAGCTTGAATGCTTATTCTTTTGGTGATTTGAAGGGCACTCTTTATATTTGTTTTTATTAAAATTTAATGGATTATCCCAATGAGCTTAATTGGGGATTAAAAAATTAGGCAGTTTACTTCATCTCCTATTACAAACGACTATCATCAAATGATGCTTAATCTTGGTGATTCATCATTTGTTTTAAATAATTATTTATTTATTTATCAATAACAATTATTCACGCAAGTCGTAATAAGATATATCATATTTTTACTATAACTTTATCCCTATCAAATAATCTCCTTGCACAATCTTAGCATACCTCACCAGACTCATGTTACTCCAACATATAGTCGTCAATTAGAAGGTTGATCGGAAACAGAAAGACAAATATTTTGATGAAATAATTTAATTTGTTTCATTCATAATTGGTCACGGTCAAAGAGATTGTTGTTCCTTCTTTGAAATCATCAGGTAATACAACCACATAGTATGACTTGCTTATAGCTTACAAGGTGCATCCATCACAATTTCTATTAATTGAAATATATCATTACTTGAAGTGGACATAAACTTCATCGAAATAATACTCTCTAGACAAGAACAACTCTGTTTGTTTTCCATTGCATTCCTTGCTGGCTTCCCAATCTAAGTCCAAGAAATGAGAGTTCTCATCAACTTTATTGAAAGTAGAACTGTTGGGACTACCGCATATCTTAGTCACATATGGCCTACTAAGAGTCTTGACCTTGTTTGTGTATAGTTATCCAAACTCATCATAGAAGGACTCAATCTATCCAGGATGAGCCTGAGTTGTGATGTCAGCATAATACTTAAATTCCCAATAAGCCCAAGAAGTGAATTTAGATTCCATTAAGTCCAATAAGTAATCTAGTTCCTTGTTTCCTTTTGGAGTATCAAGAATGGCTCCGAATTCAGTCAAGAATTTACCAACTCCTAAATGTTTGGCAACACTCTCTTTGGTTGCAAAGAAGAATGAATCCATGTAATTGCATACTTTCTCATTCTTTGGAATGCTGTAATCATCAACATTAAAGCAATAAATGTGATAACTGTACACTTCTCTATCTCTGAATTCTTCACCTCCTGGAGTATCTTTAAATCCAGCACCGAAAAGATCAGTGGTCCCTGGTTCAAAGAAGATTATCTTCTTATCATCATACTTCCTGATTTCTTTATGCACTTTTCTATAGAGAGGCAAAAGATTGTGATTATTACCATAATTGGGGAACAAGAATTCTCTAATGCTATGGTATATTGATCCTTGAATTGGTTCATTGATAATTTCATATCCAATTACATTCTTATGATCTTTAAAGTAATTAGCAACAACACCCCAGTATTCAGCAAAGGAATCTGCTATTCCATCCTTGTTGTCAAAAAGATTTTAGAATGTTTTAGAAGCTTCGGCTGTTACATAATAAAGAGCGAACTTCTTCTTTAAACAATCCTCAATAACAGGAACTCCTTCCTCATCGGTGTGTATCTTGGAGAAAATGTAAGGATATGGGAACTTAAATGCCTTTAATTTAGTTCTGGCAATTGTCCAATCAGGGAATCCATTTCCACAAAAGAATCTATTCAATACATCTTAATGGGAGTCCAACAGCACTGTTACTCCTTTGGCTTCACATCTCTTCACTATTTTGTCGATTTCCTCTAAATAAGTGTAATTGTATTATCCCCTAACTGGTTCAACTCCCTCCCAAGCCACGTGCAATCTAATAAATGTCATTCCCCAAGAGATTAAATTATCCAAATCAAAATCAGAAAGTGAATCATTGGGATCAAATCCTTCTGATACTGGGGGATAATATGGGGGCAATTTGTAAACAACATTTACACTAAGCATGATTATAAGGTTTACCCATGAAATACTCGTCTTAAACCATCAGAATCCACGATGAATTGATCATTTGTGTTCACTTTGAATGATGATGACACAAAAGCGAGACAGAACAATAATATGCAATATTTCATTTTATTATTTAATTAAAGAAGCGTTCATTACAGCATATAGCAATAAATAAGAAAGTCTTAATTTACAACCCAATTGTTTATTAAATTATTAAATCACTTAGATCCTGTCTCAATTAACATGTTCTATAATCATAATAAAAATTCCTCAAGTACTAGACATTAAGCCAAAAGCATGTGCATCAGTTCAAACTAATTTTTTTAACCATTAAGGAACTCACAAGCCCTGCTTTACTATTGATTTCCACTCTTGGGAGATTAAGCCTTACTTACCAACTTATTAGATAATTGACTCTATTATAAAAAATCCTGGCCTGAATCATATATCATATTCTCTGAATAACTCGATATCGCATTGAACTTAGCATTCACAGAGTTTTCTAAAAGCATAATCTCCTTCTGCATTTGTTACATCTCTTTCCCAAAGTCCTCTTATGATATAGTAACTATTCTCTCAACAATTTATTTGTATTACTTACCAAAAAATAAGGCATCCTCTAATAATTAGTTCTAAATAGATTTATAAATATTTTTACAATGATAGAAGATTTTTCATTTAATTCTATTTTTAATTATTTTATCTCATTATCTTTAATTTATTGTAGTTGATTACATTATTATTAATAAGAAGAGTAAGTTTCATTTTAATATTAATCAAACTGTGACTTTATTTAATCATGAACCACCTAGTTGATATAAAATAACTACTTGATATTTCTCAAGATTTTATTTAAGTGTTATATTTTCCACTTCAAAATCATGGTAAAGATTAAAATATTGATCTTTTTCCTCTTTACAAATCTGGTTACTTGACTTTAAAAGATCATATTGCTTTTTTAATTGCTCTAACTATAAAATAAATATTAATTATAGCATACTTCATCAGTTTTAGATTGCAATTAAGAAATGATAGATTCAATTTTAACATTTAACTCCGAAATTGAAAGAATTTATTATTTATTATTATTTTATAATTTCAAAATTTAGTCATTTAAGGAGGTAATAATCTTAGATTTCTATTCCAATTCATCAATCTGGTATTTGATTATCTTTTATTATCCATTATTTAAATGATGATTAGAATTAGTGCTAATTTCAGTAGCAAGTTTATTTTAATGGTAAGAAGCTTTGCTATTCTCTAAATTACAGCTACCGAACTCTCTATGATGTGATGGTTTCTTGATCGTTTGAACAGAACTATTGGGTTGAGGCTTAAAGGAATTTTAAATTTTGATCAATTAATTATTAAGGATGTCCATTTAAGAAGTAATGTGCTATTTAGATTTGATTTTTTCTATGATTTCATAAACCATTATGACAATGTCCTTGACCATACTTTGGAATTGTTGCCTCTGCTCTGGACCTGGTTCTTGTTAATTATTGGGGGTTTCTTGGTTCAATTCTAAGATCAATAGATAGATCATATATTTGAGTAGAATAAGATCGGTGCATCTATAAAAATCAAAGCAAATTGTTGAATTATCTAGACAAAAGAGTTTCATTTTTGTTAAAATTGCTGCAAAAATATTGTGATCATGGTCCTTGGCATATTTAAGCTGCTTGAGCTTTTTATCAATGTGGGTTAAGGATGATATTTATATTGGCGGATTGGCATATTAATAATGTTGAATTTCAAGGGGGTTCTCAATTTTGGAGAATGAGGTGTGCTTATCCATTTCTTTGACAATGCGGTCAGTCAGCTATCCGACATCATATTGTTTGATTGGAAGATAGGGGATTGGTGATGGAGTATGGAGGAATTAGTTGATTTCTGAATGTTTTGGTGAATGCGAGTGTTGGATGATTTTCTTTTGAGTTAAATGCAAATTTTGAAGTTTTTGAAGCAACTAATTGCTAGAAGGTGAGTTCATTATAATTAACAGATATTTATACTTGGCTTAATGTAAAATCTTAAATTATTAATAAATTAAAATGAGAGTTCTCTTCTGCATAGCATTGCTTTTAGTTGTAAAAGGGGCAGTGATAGTCACATGCCCATCAAATGGATATGGTTGTGTCACATACGGAGCCAATGTAGCTAAATAAGCGACAAGGACAAATTCATTGTGCAGAAATGGTATTCTATATTATGATCATTATAGGGTATTATTGGAACAACCAAGCATGCATGCCATGCAAAAACGCTGACGCAGTAGTGGGTGGTTATTATACTTGCAGTGCTTATTATGAGGCAACTTCTTTGACATGTACTACTGGTTATACATTAATTAATGGGTATTGCAGCAAAATTTATTTTAAGTGTTTGTGTTCTCATACCAATCGGTTGTACTACTTATGGTTTAAACTAAAACTAAGATGCTTATGTATGCACAGCATGCAGCTCCGATTACACACTTAAAGGAGGTGTTTGTATCAATAATAGATATTGTTCATCATGGGATGACAATGCAGTTTGCACAACCTGTTAGACTGGATACTTTTTAAATTGGGACTTGAAATTCACATCAACAACCTCAGGCTCCAACAATTAAAATGATTGGATCACAACTTGGTAAACATACTACAAATTCCCTGGAGAATCATTTTGCAGTGTCTGCTCTTAGACAATGTCCAATTGTAAATCATGTAATTCAGCGTAATTATATATATCGATATATTTTAGTTATACTTGTTCATAATGTAATGATGGTTATTATTGGTAATAATCAACAAGCAGTACCCCATTGACATCCTCTAATGCATAGTTTGCAGGTGCCTGTGTCAGTTGTCTCACAAGTGGATATTGTGCTGCTTGTCAAGGCTCAAATTGTACTCAATGCAAAACTGGTTATTATCCTACTAAAGATACAACCAACACTATCATTTTATCTTGTAATGTATGTCCAACTGGATGTTCATCATGTACTTCATCAACATAATGCACTGATTGCTCTACCTCATACTACAAATATACAGATAACTTATGTTATCCTCTCAATAAGTGTGCTTCTATCAACACCTAATTAACAACTTCTGGAGCAAATCCAAAGTGTTCTTCTTGTATAGCTGGATATGCCTTAGACCCAAGTGGATCAGGTATTTGTTATTAATGTGGAAACTGTGATAGTTGCACAGTTCCATCTGGATAATAAACAGCTGGTTTATAAACATCATGTACTACTTGTTGGGACACGTATAATATTATCAATATACTTTAGATACTATGGCGTAAAGGATTCAAATGGTATAGTTACTTGTAAATCATGCACACAAGCATCAGATTCATTTTTGAGATGTCAAGGACCAGTTGAAAATTCATCCCTTACTGGTGTTGTACCAACTCAATGCTAAGATGGATATTATTTGTATACTCTACCTGCCTAAGGTACTACTTAAGCTTAAACTATTTGTGTTCCATCAACTCAAAATTTACAATGTGTAACCATTGTAGCAACTAGTGCCACTCAATATACATGTGCAACATGTACTTCATAAAGTAAATTATATAACAACGCAAATTGTTTGGTTTGCAATCCAACCCTAACTTCCTCATTACCTCAAGGATGTACAGCTTGTTCTGGATCACCAAGCAATTCAATAACTTGCAGTGCTTGTGCAGTCAACTATTTTTACTCCACTGGTACTACCACAACATGTTCTGCTTGTGATTAGAATTGTATTTAATGTGCATCAGGTCCAACTTGTACTAAGTGTGCAATAACTTACTATGTATCTGGTGGTGAATGCACACAATGTGGAGTTGCAAATTGTGCTACTTGTACTTCTCAAAGTCCTAATACATGCCAAGTGTGTTTAGATGGATATTTCTTATCCAGCATCAACACAGGCACAGGATCCACTTCATATTGTTTGAAGTGCCCAACTGAATGTGCAACTTGTGCTGCTCCAGGTTAAGTTTGTATTTCTTGTGTCTCTGGTTATGTACTCTCAAATGGAGGCTGCGTTTCTTTAAGTTAGGCAAATTGTGCTGAAGGATATACTACTTCAACATTGAGTAATGAATAGAACCCAACCACCCAAAATGGATGTGCTATATGTAAATATGGATTTTACAACTTTGAAAAAAGATGTCTCCAATCTGTCCAACCATATGCAGGAGTACTATATATTAATTACTATTTCTTAGTCTGTTTATGTCGCAAAAAATATCGGCATTGGTTCAAACCCAGGAACATCTTCTTACCAGACCATCATGTATTCAATATTCTTGGTCATCATGTTGCTTGGATATTGATTTATTAATATAATTATGGAAGATCAATTAGAACTAACTTCTTAATGGGGTTTCTATGAGATGTGCACCAAAAAGAACAACAAGTTGCCATGTCTTATACCATAGACCATCATCTTCGATAAGCTTATGCCTAAGGTTTGGCTCTTCAATCCCAAAAACACTCAAGTGGTCATGAAAAAGAATTCTGACAAACTCTCTAACCTCGAAATTGCCAAGGCATTACTTGGTATCAAATTCCCTAAGGACATTAAGATAGACACCCTGACTCAATTGGTTGAGCAAGCAAGACAATGTGCTCAATTCAAAGAAGTACTATTTTCTTTTATAATATCGAAGGAAACTCCAATAGCATTTTTGCAAATGAAAAGGAATGAGGGTGTACCTATGAATCGTTAAGAGTTATTGCAATTCTTTGTTGAAGGCAAAGATCTCTCATCTTTGGCATACATGCAATAGTACATTGAAAATCAAAGTAGCTAGATTAATAGTTTGCAGATGAAGTCTACTACGTTGAGTACCATTATGATGTTGATTTCATTCCAATCACTTTCAAGTTTTTCAAGAAAACTCTCACAATCAAAAGAGTGAACAAAAGTACAACTGCTAAATCCAGCAATCCTTTCCAAACACTCTTGATGCCAGTCCAAAGTAGTGGTTAAATTCCAGTCAGACAATAGGAGGTTCAGAAAGTGCAGACCATGTTCAAATATTGTAATTCTACTCTAAACCAACGCTTCCAAGAAGTATCAATATAATTTACTAATCCCGAAAGGAGACAAAAAAGATAGCATTCTATCTCGAAAAGGTATTCAAAGTCAAAATACGCAAATTCACTCCCAAGTTCATTGTTGATCAAAGAGAACAGATCTATTTCGCTGGCATCAAATAGATCTCTATTTAAATCCAAAGCGGAGGTACCTTTTAGTCTCATATGAAGCACCGTATCAAAGGGGTTTAAGAGATGAAATAGCTAGCAATGGTTAATTTGATAATTTCATGATGGCGTGCAAATAGTTCAGATTGGATAAGAATGCAAACAATGAATTCAAAAAGTATCCGAATCAAATTGTGGAGGAGGACAAGAAATTGAGCAAAACTCTCTACAAACACTTAATACTTGAGAGGTGTCAAGGGGATTTTTGCAATTATAAATTAATAGAAAAAAACAAGTATAGCATATAATTTATTTAAAGAGGACCTTTGCAATTAAGGAAAGGTCTATTGGAAACCTATAAGAATGTGTTTAAGGAATCCAAATAGACAGTCAGTAATATGAGCACCAACTTACCTTATGAAATCTCATTGTAATTAATAGTGCGTACTCGAGATGATCATAAAGAAGTCATAGAACTTTTTAAAAAATACAAAATTCATTTAGAAAATTACAATCCAGAAGAACATCCTGAAATTAAAGACGAATAACAGCATCCATTTAGCAAAGAGAATTCAGACGTTCAAGCCTTAATCAATCTATACAAATCTGTCAAAATCTGTAAGAATTGCTTCATAATCTATTCGATGATTCAAAGACACTTTGAATCTTAACTCAAAAAGGACATTAAAAACGGAGTTTAATTTATCAATGAAAAAAAGACTCCCTCCTTATAAGTAGATGAAGAAGCAGAAAGACGTAGAAAGAGAGAAGAAAACATTCTCAAAAGGCAGGAGAAACTATAAATGAAATCAACTACATCAACTAAATCTTTTCGAATATTCAGAGCTCCAACACAAAAGAGAAATTTTCTAATTACTTCTATACCTGAGAGCAGAACCTCTAAAACGGCATCGCCTTAAAAGTTTAGAGATGTGTGCAAGTAAATAGAAATTAATAGATTGACATTGGGTTATTTGAATTATTAAAAATTGGAGCAATTTTAAAAGCCTAGTCAGATGGAACAATCTCAAGATTTTAGAAATGAGTCTTATAATTTAATTTACTTACTTGCAGAACAGAAAGCCCCAAATGTTAGAAGAATAGACACAAGCCAGTAGGAGAATAAGGAGTTACAAGGGAGAGCAGAGGAGATAAAGAGGATGTTAATCAGGACTTCTAAAAAGGAGTAGGAATGCAGAGCCATACAGAAGGAATACTATAATGAAAAGATATAGGAAGGTGTTTAATAAATCTTACTTTCAACTTCATCTCATTATTATTATCATGTTAATTTTGATATAGTAAGGAAATTGTATCAATTCTAATTAAGTACTCCGATGTAAGCATTATCATATGAATTGAAATATGATCAATTAAGAGCATTATAAATTGAAGAAGTCTGTGAGATGATGAAATACCCACCTCCTTGTTTTGAAATTACACAATTGGAGTATTTGGTAGTTGATTCTCAGACTGCTGTTCCGTATGCTTTATTTGAGAGTAACATAACCAAGAAGAAGGAGAAGAGTTCTCAATCGGGAATAGATTTGATAATCATACTCCACGACATGTTCGAATCCTTTTTTGAGTATTATTATCAATTATATCTTAGATATTATCCAATCATAGTGGATTTGATCAATGAAGCCTAAAATAAGAAGGTACTTCTCTTAAACACTCCTGGATAAGCCTACACCTTATTCAATAAGAAGCAAGCATACACAAATATCTACATAGCAGGCATCTTAGATTAAATACTATATGAACTATCTACCAAGGGCAAAATTGACTTACAAACTGATACATTAAAGATCTTGGGAGTGGGATCTGGAGGATTTCATGCCTAAGCATTCAGTAAGACATTGTTCAAATCAAATTAGTTGTACAATCTCAAAATACAATTCAATTCAGCCAGATTGCTTTTGTTAATTCATACACATCCATTTACCCTTAATTACGAAGCTTCTTTGCTCAATCAATCAAAATATTCGAATCTCAACCAGCCGATATGCCAGAACTTGCCTTTGAATACACTAATACGATTATGAATACTCGACCAATTTCTGAGGATCTGCTTTCCTGTGTTTTGCACCAGAATCCAATCAATCAATTGGGCAGGTAAATCATTTTGGAGGGTATAGTTTACAATCTAATTTTAGGTTTGTTGTAAAGTCCTTCGTTTATGGAGAGATTCCAAAAACTGATTCTTAGTGTGTAGGTATACCATTCCTTAAAGAATTGTTTGGTCAACATATCTGAGGCTGATTTATTGTAAACATTCCTGTAGGATGAGACTCTGGATGTAAATAATGTGGCCTTGTCAAAGAAGATACAAATGAATAAACGTACAGTCTAATACATTGAGGGTGGACACTCTATCTTATATGAAAATAAGGATTAATTGGTGTAAATTATAAACAGATTGGCTTGACTAATATAAATAATTTATTCAAATGTATAAATTTCTTATACTATTGTAAGTATTCGTGTGGTTAAGCGAGGCCAAAAGAATTCAAAAGAGTTTTCGTATCAGACAGCTTTCTGATTGGGAATACTTGACCAAATTCGGAGCTGATGTTGGAGATGTCACTTATCATCTCTAATTCAGAATTGTTGGATTGGAATCAGAGGAAATGAGAGAACGCAAATTTCCAATTCTTTTTGAATTGTATTTGGATGAACAATGGCCTGAAGTATTGGAAAGACAAGATTGTGAAGTAAGTAAAATTAATTCTAAATAATTTAGAGAGCATCCTTAGCTAAGAGAAAAGAGACCATTTAAGTACCGGGAAATGGAGAGTACTCATAAATATACACAGGAACTATCAAGGCAAAATTAAGAGCTCATATGTGGTATTATGCCATATCTGATTGCCATCGAAGATTAAGGGATGAATTCAAGGAAGATCAGTATAAAAAGGTTAAATTTGAGGTGGATGTTCACATAAAGAATGTTGGTAGGACTGAATTCTCAGTTGAACAATTCGGAATTTAATATTTCATGTTTGCTGTAGTTTTGGTTGACATTATAATGCTTGTTTATAATGGTTATTACATTGTAACAAGGCATGAAAAATATGAGGAATTCAGTTTAGCTTTGTTTCTTTTGGTCATTACTCTTTTCCTTGAAGCCATTTCTTATAGTGAGAATTTGTTGCACTTATGGGTATACAGTTATAATGGACAAGGAGTATTTTTGCTTCATGTGGTTTCAGTTATTGTATAGGTAATTCTTAATAATAAATGCAGGTTGCATCTCAATTCTCTTTAACAATGATATTAGTGATGTTATCCTGGGGTTGGCAAATAAACTTCACTAAATTCGACAGTTTCGAAATATTTCTGCCTTTATCACTATTAATAGCATTCTTTTAATTGACTATCGTAGGAGTTGGTTTTATTGATTACGATGCTTATTATAAGGATCACTCTTATGAAGGATGGGTTGGCTGGTTAGCATCTTTTATATATATTGGAGAATTCATCTACTTTATTAATGGATTGTCTAATACATATAAAAAGAGTACTGGAGCTGTCCAATAATTTATAATGATGCTTGGAATGTATGGAGGATGTTATTTCGTCAGTTTCCCAGTTCTCCAGACAGTCAATTTAGTATTACTATTAGAATAACCATGTAGTTTGTAGCCAGGTATCTTAGACATAAAGTAATGGAAATAGGAACAATATCTTTGAGAACTGCTGCTATTCTACTTCTGACTCATTTATTTACATCTAAAAATTCCCTATTTGCTAAAATATCATATGATAGCAGAAGTTTCTTGGATAGAAATAAAGACGATTGAATTTTTGTGTTAATTATTATTCATATAGAAAATCAAAAATACTTTTTATATAGCCATCCTGCTATTCCACAAGTAGCTAGTAAAACGCCTGCAATCTTTAAATTTTTGTAAGAGCCAGCTTTTACAGGTTCTTCTGTTGTTTCAATTAACACTTTTGATTTACTTAATTATTGAGATTTTCTGTCTATGATAATGGTTGAATCTTCAAGTATCGATTCTTATTAAATTAATTAAGGAATTTCATCACTGTCATTCAACTCAGTATCCTTCTCTTTGATGTCTTCATCTAATTGCTCTCTCTAATAGATGGTTTGGAATTCGTCTTTCAATGTCATCACGCCCATTCTATTGAAACTTGATTCTGATGAAATAGATGCAAAGGAAGGTTTATTGTGAATATGCTTTTTCTTCTCACTCAAGGCTTCCCATTTCTTCTCTGAGTCCTTACTACTCATGTTTGGAGCCGCTGATCTAAGATACCATGGTTATTTATGGGAGTTCTATTCAGGATGCTTGACATCTTCATCTGAAGAAAACTGTTTAATATTGTCATCATCATTCTACTCAGAAAAAGCCCTTAGATCCTCTTACTGTTATGAGATCTATCTCTTTCTAATCAATTTTGCTCCCAAATTGTGATGTGTCTTAAATCTAAATGCTCCTGATGTCAATACAGGGTCAATTTTTTATGTGTCTTATTACCGAGGTGAGTTAGAATCTTTCATATTAATTGATGCCAGTTCCCTTTTGATAGAGATTAATTAGGAAACGCTATCTGCCACTTCAGAATCTATATTTTGCTCTTATATTTAAAAATTCTTATACAAATCTTCAAGGTGCTCAAAATGAATTTAATTATGTTATACATGTATCCTCCAATTATGAATAATTACTAACGTAGTTCTCAAGCTTTGATTTCCTGTTCTAACTTGCTCCGATCTGATTTAATTGACCTAAGTCTTTGATTATTTTAATTTATTTCATCATTCGATAATTTAGATTCAAACCTTGTTATTGTAACTCATTCAAAGTGGATAAATTGTTATCATACTACTCTCGAAGCTAAACATGTATTAACACAGTGTTTACTTTTGAATAACGACTTTTTAATTAATCGTTTTGCTATTTTAGAGAATGAGCCAACTTAGTAAACTCTATGTTTTCTTGTTACAAAAGTTGACATTTCTCCTTGCACATCAATATTCCATCTTAAAGATCTTCATATTAATTTTGACTCTATACTGTTTTATTACCACTCTCCAAAAACTTCTCTAATCTTTACTACTCCGATTCTCTTTAATCTAGCCTCAAAAGCAATTACTCCCTTTACTCCTTGATCTAATCCAATGTAAAACCCTGAGTTTGCAATAACTACTCTTATTATATTCTCTCTTGGCTGATTATCAATATTCTTGAGGTAATCAAATTATGCTGAAATTCCCTTTATTACATTCTTTTAGTGTAAATCCTGATAAACTCTTAAAAGAGCTCCTCTAATTGTTTGTTTGAATTGCTGATCTAATCATCCTTGCAGTTATATTATGTAAGTATTTAAACCAAATTTTGTTACCAACTCAAAGTTATGTGATTCATCTATTTAATTACTTTTATTATTCACATAAACAAATAAATCACTATAATTAATACTCATCCATCAATTCTTCTAACTAAAACATTAGTAATGTTATGTACAACTTATTCTACTACCCTACAAAACTAGAACCAATCAATTACTGCATCAAGTTAATATGGTAACTAACCATTTTAATGATCTTCCAGTCTTTCCGCTTGCAATTGATATAATATATATCAAAATTTCGGTTTTTTTGTCAGAATTAACTTATCAATAGCATAAATATTAATTGTATGGTCTCTATGCTAAAATTTGAATGGATACAGAGTTGCATTTTAGTATCATCTCTAATACAGATTTGTATCTTCATTTTATCCATAATTAATAAATATATGGAATCAGTAAGTTTAATATTATTTTTATAAAGTAGATCTTAATAGTTAGCAACTATTAAAGAAAGGAAATAAAATTGAAAAAATATTAAGAACATCCCAACCTCTTATGAATTATAATGAATTAAAATTGAGATCTGATAATCCAGTCATATAATAGTGGATAAATGTTATTATATTATTATAAACCTATTGATAGCTAAGCAATCAATCTTAAATATATTATAATAGATCATATCTTGCGAATCTCAAATAGTTATACTTTACTGTTTTATTTGTATTGTAAGAGAGGATCAACATTTTAAGGATCTTTAACATGGAATGGTAATTCAGAGTAATATGTAATGGCCATTTTATATTCTCTACATAGTTCTTGAACCTTTTCTTTCTCTTACAATTCCAATAATTAAGAAAGATCACTGTAAATCAAAATCAATCTTCCTTTTGTGGAATCCAATGATTCAATTTACAAGTACCTGTTTGCAAATTCAAAGACAGACTTTAACATTATGCCATCTGGATCCGTGACTGTATTTTCAATTGAATCATCTATACGTAATTTGGATGCTTAAATCCAAGGTGGATTAGCAATGATCAAATTAAATTTAGCAGGATATCTAGGAAATGATGATGAGAACTTACTTAAAAACAGTTAATTGATATTATAATGTCTCAATGTCTGTGATATCTCCTAGTTCTGCTGTATAATTCCTATATTCCAAACATTAAGAATTGATCTTCGCTGATTTAACTGCGTTTTCATTGTTGTCCAATGAATAAATATTGATTTCCTTATCCTTAAAGCTTCTCAATAGGACATCATTTGCAATGAATCCGAGTACGCCAGTTCCACAGTCCAAATCAATTACATTGTAAAGAGAAGAATGAGTGCTATGGAATAATGGATATCAATATTACACGTCATGCATTTTAACTAATTTCTGCATATATGAATGGAATAAGACCTGATACTATCTTTATGAGGGAGGGAAGACACCATATAAAGCATAGATTTTTTTATAGTTCAGAAATTCTATTGCCACTCCTTCTTTTTCGTAATTGTACGCTGTCACAATCCCCTAATAAGCACTAAAAGGCAATAGGTAGTTGTATTTGCGATATCCTATTTAGATGACGTTTTCTGGTTACTCTTCCAAATGATATTTCAAATCTCCGCATTCAGGCAATGTGCCTTGGATTCTGACTTCTCCGTTGTAGCTCACGACCAAACACAACCTTGAAAGCATCAGCTTTTATTGATTCTGAATATGTCTATAGAGATTAAATATGTCCTTTGGGCCTTTGCATTTTGAGAATGGATTACGAGGTCTCTTTGGTGTACCAAAAAATTACAAATCTATCTACTTTTTGGTTGCCTAATAAATCTCAATCGCATTCCGTAAATGCATCTTTTCACAATCGAATATAATCAATGAATTCATTTCCTTCTTAAAAAGACTCTTAATGAAGCTCGATCCAACTCCATCCTCCAAGAAATATGCATTTGTAATGCTCTCTAATTGTTTCTAATTCAGGTATGGATTCCTTGTCATTTTTAGTAAACCATATGTTGTGTCAAATAGCCCATCTTGATAATGTAAATTAACTGGTTCTATTTTAATTGAGGAACAAAAACCGAGCCTAAGTAATCTATTTATCATAAATAAATTATTTAATATGCCACTACACACAGCAAATGAATCTAAAATTATGATATTAAACTATATTGAAAAGAAATCTACTCTTTTAACTGAAACAATTAAACTTCTTTCATTTAGAATGCAAAATTAAATTATCATAAATAATTTTGTACAAAAAAATATTTGTTACGCATTATTGAGTTCATTCTATTATATTTTTATTTAAAAGCTCACTAATTCACTCTTTTAAAGGAGAATGCCATCTAAATCTCCACTCGATCATCGATAAGATCTCCTAAGAATCTTAAAATGAATTCCAATATAATTTTTACATACTTTAAACACTGATATTTCTGATAAAAATTTGGATTATTTTTTTTATTATATCAATATTACTTAAGATAATTTTCTTTGAATGAGTATACCAGCACAACCGATCACAATTACAAGTGAAAAAGTTTTGAAAACCTAAGGGGATAGTTCTGAGAATGTGTTACCAGATTCTGATTAAGAGGATAATATGTAGTGCCCTTTTTAAAAAGAAACTCCATCCTCTTCCTCAAAGCCTCTCAAACATATAAGTTTCAGTGGAACCGATCAAATATGTTATTTTCCCAAAAGTGGTAAAAAAGATATCTCACCGTCACCAACCAGAAAAAGCTCCTCTTCAATTTAATCAATACTGAAAAATAAAGACAAAGTAATTTGTTTGACTGACGATAAATGACTTATTATATTTATGTTTAATCTGATTTTCATTAATTAATCAATCAATCAATAGATATTGAATACAAAGTAATGATGCATATAATTATATTCCCATATATGTAAACTAAATATAGTATTTAATTGATTTTAAAGTTAATATTATTATATAATTGAAAACAAAGTAAAACGACATACAGTTTAAGATCGAGAAATTATGCAATAAAGACTTAGTTGAATATATATTCTCATTCTTACATAGATTTTTTGACAAGTTTCCTATTGTTGGGAATGGATGACTAATCTGTTCTAATCAAGCTGTCATCATCTTCTGACTAGTTTCATAAATGATGAATATACCATCTAAGAATTCTTTAACTATACAAATAACGATGATGTCTGTAGATCTTAACGAAAAGCATTCTAATAATTGTGATAATTTGTGATTACTTATTTCATAGCCAAAAGACATGTGGCCAATTAAACAGGAGTTAAGCATTCTTTCAGTTACTCCCACATTTAATCCACCTTGTTGGCTTCACTCTATATTATTTTTAGTTGAACTTTGATGTTCTAGATAGAACTAGAATGTATAGAAAAGTAATTTTACTCTGATATTGTATTTCTGACACTTTGCAATTTAGATTTCATTTTCTTAACTTTAACAATCTATTCTGGTTTAATCTCAGTCTTCTTAAATACATCCTTCATCCAGTCAGTATAATCACTAATATAAGATCTTTAGTACTCAGGTTGTTGTGCAAAGAAGTCCTTATCCTTTTCTAATGCATAAATAAGATATTTCGTTTATATTGGTAAGCATACTTCAACCATGGAATCAAAGTATTGTCTTGCTGCATCATTTCTTTCTTGACTATTTGAGTTCGTTCTATATCTCAAGGCATCTAGTACCATTGCTATTTCAAAGTTATCTTTATTTTTAAGTAAGCAAGTCTCCAATTTATCGAATAATTATTGTTGTTGATCCAAAAAAGTTTAAAACTAGATGGATCTTAATTCAATACTTTCTCTTAAAATTTGTTACATATTTCAGTATATTTTGTTTGAGTTCTATTGGATTCTTTGACTTTGTCCAACTCATCCTAAAGCTCCTTCACTTTGGTTTCCAATAATTCATAATAAATTTTCTTTCTTGCTCTTGAATTTCTTGCAGATTCCCTATTTTTGGCCAACTTTTATTAAACGGGATCCATATTACCATCAGGAGTCAATTGACTAGATTATAATTCATTGGAAGAGCCATCGAAATGATCTCTTGAAATAATGGGTGACTTTCTTTATAGTTTTTGTTGACTCTTCCTATAAGAATAGAATTTGTATTTACGATAATCTTGGCGATGATTTAGTGGTTAAATCTAGTTTCTATTAGGTCTATTCAACTAACTAAGTAATCTTGTTTGTATATATGCTTTTGGCTTGATTCACATTAAACAAATTCTTATTCTCTTAAATAATGTTTGAGTTTATTAGTTGTTTGACTTCAGGTTTAAATTTTGAACTTATCTATTCACCAGATTCTAATCACAATTGCAATGTCTATATACCTATTTTCATTTCGAATTCATGAGAGGATTATTAGCTACTTTTCATTCCACTATCTAGAGAGGGTGCCTTATGTTCTTTTGAGTCCTCCTAAATTATTGGCTGAATGTTCAATCTCTCAATACCAATCTCTTCGAATTGCATCTCAAAATCACCACTGCTCCTAAAAAATACTCCTTTTTATGTTTAAGGTTCTTAATATTCGTAGATTTGAATTGGAGCAACCACATCCTCTAACCCAACAGAAGAGCGATATTATTCAGGTTACACTATAAATCCCGAATTCTATGCGAAACTCCCACCTCCATTGGGACCAAAACTTTGATTGTCTTATTGCAATCTGCCGAAACTCGCACCCAAACTAATAGGTATAATTATCAACTACATTACTTATCATTGAAACTACCTAATCCACTTTAGTTTTGCTGAGAAATTTCACCTCTATTTTATATAAAGAAATCACTCATTTTTCAATTATGATTGTATATTAATTTAATGAATTCCCACAGAAATCAATAATTTGTAATTTTTCTATCATTATTCAAACTGTTATGGACAGTTTAGAACTAATATAGAACCATAGAACTCACAAATTTTTTGTTTAAGATTCTAGAATTTACAAGATTATGAGTTCTTCTTAATTATGCTTATAAATGAAATATATATCATCATTAATCATTAAAAAAAAGTAGTTGTTACTTCGACCTCTTTGTTGTTTGATGTTTTAATACTTTCTGTTTTTTAAGTTTTACTTAATGAATTATTAAAGTCAATAAGATTTTGCAATCTCTCAATTTATTTCTTTTTTTCCTAAAAATGTATTTTTCAATATAACTTCTCTGATTTATGCTTTCTATTCTTTATTGAATTTCTTGTGTTTCTCATTTCGTAATTTGATATATTCCTCTTTTCGTTTTTATTTAGCTCCAAACATACCAGTCAAGTACTCCTTCCTTTCTTTTTCATCAAAAACAGCTGCTGTCTTGGTTCTGCTGATCTATTTGAATTAGTTTTTCTTTGTTGAAAAATTTCTACTCTTGTTTTTCTTCCCCATATTAAAAAATAAATTATATAATAATACTCATTAATATTTATTAAAATTCAATAAGTCTTTATAAAATAAAAATTAACTTATTATTTTATTAGAAGTGATATATTGTGGCATTAAAGAATTATAAATTCTCAAATCCCCAATCCATTTAGGCATTTTACAAATCTTCAATTTACATAACATAATTACATCTTAAATTCGAGGATTTTATTTTGCAAATGATAATTAAAAAGTTTCATTAATAATAACCTGCATTAGTTCATCCAAGAATCTTAATTTGATCCCTACTGTACTATATCTTTTGGGATCTATAAACTAGGAATTCTCAACTGATTTAGATTAGAATAAAGATTCGCTTCTTAAAACTTAGGAATCACAATCACTTACTTTTAGATAAATTCTGTAAATTATTTCAATTTATTAACTCATTTATAATCATTTAAGTTTTTATTTAAAGTCAATGCTCATGTCTTTAATATTTTAATCATTTTGGCTTTCGTTTTTGCTAAAACTACTTACGTTATTTTACTTTTATAGAATTATATATTATTTGAACCCTATTAATTAATTAATGTATAAACATTTTATTATTACAATTTTTAATTTATTTAATTAAAATTAATATAAAATTTATATACTCGATTTTTCAATTATATGATGACTATTCTCAAATACTCAATTTAAGATAATCTTTTAATAATTTTTAAATTTTAGTCTTTTCTGAAGTGATAAACCATTTTATCTATTTGTTTTTGCTTTTCATAATAATATGAGTTAATAGAGTATAATTACATAGAAGATTTACGAAAGTAAATAATTAAATTGATTTCTATTATGGAAACTAAAAAACCTATTGCTCTTTTATTAAGTAAGGTTGGCAGGGGAAAAACTTCGTTTTTCAATAAAATTTGCACTGAATTTAAAAAAACACAATTTGGTGGCTCTTCATGCACAAGGGAGATCTTTTTAAAATGCACATCCTATGGAGAAGGATTCTATTTAATGGATACCCCAGGATTTGGATGTGACGAAGACATAATAACGCATTTATCTGCTTTATTTGTAGCCTCCGAAAGACCCTTGAATGCAATTTTGATTTTAACAAAATTTGATCGATCTTGCGTTATGAGAGAAGAAATAAATTAAGCCTTATCTATGCTCTCTTCATGTAGAGAAATTATTATTATTATTGTTACATTTTGGGATGATGTAGAAAAAGAACCAGAAGAAAGTTAAGAAAAATTGAGAAGCGACATTGAAGAGTAAGTAATGAAACCACTTAAACTTAAATCATTTATATGTACAAGTAAGGGCACTCCAGGTGATCTCATTTGCAAGTAATTAGATGAGTTAATATAAAATAATGTAAAAAGATCAGTATAACTAACTCCATAAGAGTTTTCGTTTCAATTTTCCAAACATACATTGTTTTCTATTTAGGATGAAATGGAAACACATAAATTAAAATAAGCCTTTTAAATAAAATGTGATATTGTGCTAAAATTTATACAATAATAACCAGATAAATTAGAAAAAACGTCTGAATTGATGCATGAGATAATACTTTTAATTAAAAAAGAAGGTCACAAGACTGTAATGGAATTTACCAATTAAAATAGAGACAAGTTTGAAAAATTAGTTGATAAATTTGGAGTTTGTGAATATACATATTTAGCCTACACTAAATTATAAGCAGAAATAATGGGTTATCTATAATAAGTCAAAGAAAAAGCAATATTAAAGATGTAAACATATAAATACCATTGTTTTAATTTTATCAGAAAATGCGAACATTGCGGTTAAATTTGGTATAAAGTATCAGGCTGCAAGTATTTAACCAAATGTGGAAAAAAATTACCAGTTAAAGACGAGCCAAACCACACACCTAAGCCAAAACAATTTCAAATACTTTTTAATGAGAATAATCTGGACGTCATTGAAAATAATTAAATTAATGAACAATCTATTCTTAACCAACAATCTAGTAATAATTCGTAAAAATAAAGTTCTTAAGAAGACCAATCTAAAGGTTTATTAGGATGTGGTAGGGAATTTAATTGGAAAACTGCACCTCGTCTTTCTGAATAAGAAATAATAGAATTAAGAGATACAGGATATCTAGATATGTTGTGCATGGTTTAGGACAAAGATAGCAAGGACATAGAAAATGAGAAAAGGTATTGGCAAAAAGTTGAAGAATAATAATAAAAAGAAAGAAAATCTTTAAATAGATAAATTGAAGCAGAGAATCGTAATTTTGAGTAGAAACATCTGTAAATATTAAATTATATATATAGGAAAAAGGAAAACGATAGTTAAGAGATATAATTCATTTAAGAAAGGAAATATTCAGATTAATAAATTGCAATATCCTAAAGTAAATAGGCAAATAATTAAACTTCAATTAAGGATGATGCTCAACTATAAAACGAATCATGCTCTGTCTCAACTTGCAACATAAGCTGATGAAGATTTTTATTTGCATAACCAAAGTAGAATATAATTTTGTAAATTTCTTAAGAAAATATTTATTATTATTTTTATTATTTTTATAAATGGGTCAACTTTAAGATATTCAAAAAGTGTTTGGAAGTTAAGAACAAGAATAACAGAGTTTAATGATTTTATGCTTTCTAAAACAAAGTTAATATGATGAGTTGGAACTCCAATATTACAAATTCAAATCAAATTTAAATGTGTTTCCCTCAATCGTAATGGGTCCCTATAAAATTTTTATCAATGATGGAGAAATTTTCTAAAACTCATAAGAATTTTTAGATTATATTTAATGTGTAATTTTGGAAGGAGATTTGAAAAGAATTGTAATTTTTATGGATGGAAGTTTTTAACAATTATTTATTAACAATTATTGCAAAATATATTTATACGAAACTTACAATCAGATTTTTGAAATCGTTGTATTCGATGATAAGATTACTGCTAGTTAGAATGACTACCCTTTACTAAAATAATATTGGAAAAATATCACAATTTTTACTGATAGATAGTAATTCTTTCTAAACTTTTTATAAAACTCTTGGAGTAAATAATCTTATTTTAAGAATTCCCTTTATCTGTAAAGTAATAAAGTTGATGAATAAATAATTGAAATTGTTGGTTAACTAATTGAAATCGAGCTTAAAAAGTCAAATGAATTGTAATTTGAAAGTGTAACTGAATTCGAATTAGCTTTCACTAATTTCACTGAATTTAGAAATTAACTTGTTTAAAAATTGTTTGGATAGATTCCTAAAATAAAAAATAATAATAATATTATATAGGGGAAATTTAATTATTAAATTATGAAATAAATTAATAGATATACAAATTTGGTTTTTGATTAATTATTTGAATCGATACAAAAATTTTAACAAACTTTTTATTTTTGTTAATATTGTCAGCTTTATAAATATTAATATGGGGATAGGTATATTAGTTCTGCATTTTTTAATGGATATTTCAAAAATAAATCTTGTTAAAATTGTAGCTATTCATTAGCCTCTTTTGATAATCTAAAAACTCTTTATCAATAAAAGAGAAAAGGGTTTTCAATTGATCATTGTGTAAAATATCTGAGCTAAAATTAACCCGTCTTAGCATAAAATAACAGTCCAACAGCATTAAAAAAAGTTAATAGTTTTAATCATATTATCCTAATAGGTAAAACTGGAGTTGGAAAAACAACATTGTTTAATTTATTATGCAATGGAAATATTATGAGATTTAATGAGCCAACTCAAAAACCAAATATAAAAAAATGTCTAAATAGTAATATGACAATTCAGGACACTCCCCCATTTGAATTAGAAAATAGAGATTCAATAGAAAATAGTGAAAAAGCTAAAGAAACTTTTTCAAATATTCTAACAAAATAATCAGTATCCTAAATCTTCATAGTTGTTAAATATGACAGGTTTCCTGTAATGAAGCAAAGCTAGTTTGATTGCATTAAATTTTTATTTCCTTTTAAAGATATTATTTCCATAATAATTTTTAATGATGATGAAAGGTAAGTAGCCGACAGTCAGAATGATTTTGAGAAAATATTTGAAACAAAGAAGATTTTGATATGCAACCTTAGAGTTCAGCCAGTTACACTAAACTAAGATATATAAAATCATTTAATTAATATACGAGCAAAGCCAGAATAATTAAACCTAGTAAATACAGATTTTGATCTCAAAAAAAAAAAGAAATAATAGAAGGTTTTTTTAAAAAATTTGGAAAAACTCAATGCTCAAAAGAATGAAGATGATATTTAAAAATTAATTTAGGAAAATAAAGATATATCTAAAAAACTTGAATAACTAAATAAAGAATAATTAGAATTGATAATGAAATTAAATTCGAATTAATAAAAAATTTAGGATGTCTATAGTGGTATGATATAGAAATCAAATAATGCAATTTGATTAATAAAGTTTGATTGAATGTTATTATATAATAAATAACTATATTTTATGCTTTATAAAAGTATAGTTTTGCTATTTGAGATTATCAATTCGAAGTTCGTTGCCTAATAGGGTAACGAAGTTCATCAATATACGATTCAGCAATACCCATCTAATTTACAAAAATGTAAGAAAATTTTTTGTATTATATTTTCGAAACTTAAGATAACTAAAACTATCTTGATCATTGAAATCCAATGATAAATCATAAAAATGTTATGGAACTGTAAAATTGATATCTTAAATAAAAATTTTAAAGTTGAAGCTATGTAAAGGGAGTAAAATGAAACATTATATGCCAATTTAATTTAAATATTAAATGAAATTTATTAATAAATAACAAAAGACAAACTATTAGTGTTCTATTTCATAAAGATAAAGTATTCCTTAGCGAATCTAAAAATTTCAAAATAAGTAATTTTCAATTAATATCTGTTTACTTTTTATATAACATTAGATAGATTTAGATATCACTCAGGATAATGGTATAAAAAAATTTTAAATTGATATTTAATAAGGGGAGTATTATTGAAATTTTAAACCTTAGCCTATTAAATAAACAAAGCTCGACTTAAAAGTCATATAAATGTATTATAAAAGTATATACAGAGAAACAAAAATGGAGTAAATTTTGCAACAAGAATTTGTGTGATATTTTGAAGAAAATGATTTTGATTGGAATTAGTTATTATAAAAGTAAATTAAGGAATCTCATTAAAAATGAATGAAAAGTATTTATAAGTATATATTAACACTTATTCCGTATATAATGGAAAATTGGTTGTTTGTATTATCATTTCCGGTATAGTCTAGTGGTTAGGATATCAGGTTCTCACCCTGGGGACCCGGGTTCAATCCCCGGTATCGGAATAATTTTTTATTTTTTTATTTTAATTTGTTCTTAAAATGCATTAATTTCTTCTGAAAGGTTTTTGAAAATTTATTTTTATGAATTAAAGTTGGAGATAAAAGTTTGAGAAAGATAAATAGTATCCTCGACACCCTATGGCTCATAAAAATGGTAATGCATTTTTGAATATTTAAAGGTGGTGTTCATATGAATTAAGAGGACGATACCAAGCTTTTTTAGATAGCAGGAGCAATGATAAAATAAATTGGATCAAAAATAGCCAAAGGAGATTTCAATTTGGCTACTATTCCAAAACCCATATGTTTAACAGCACCTAAAACTGCAAATGAATGCTTAACATTGTATATTGTTTATTATAAACAAAAAGCGATCATGACTATGCTAACCTTTATCTTACAGAAGCAGCAAAATGTAAGGATCCTCTTTAGAGAATGATAATGGTGGTAACAAATGAAATAGCTTATCTTCATGGAACACATACTTATTTGAGGTCATTGGCACCAATTGATCCTATGATTGGAGAAACATGCCAAAAAATAAAGGAGGACGGGACTGCCTTTTATTGTGAGTTTATCAAGGCTGATCCGCCAACAACGCTATATCAAATTTATGGGGATGGGTGGCAAATCTATGGTTCAGAGGAGGTTTTGGCAGAAATACATCCAACTATAACATAGATTATAGGTAAGAATCTCAAACCAAAATACATAAAATTTGCGGACGGAAAGCTGTACGAAATAAAAGTGCCTGGGATGATCATCAATGGTTTAATGAAAGGAGATCGAATTTTAAATAAGTTGGATAGTTTCACAGTGAAGTGTGTGCAAGATAAATTGGTTGCTTAAATAAATTTCAGTTATGTGTATGAAGGGAGTGCTTAGAAGATCAAAAATAAATTGATGTTCTGGTCATAACAATAGAAGCCACTTTCAGATTTGGTGGATGTGAAAATAAATAAATTAATTAATGTAATAATATTATTAAAAAGACTGATGACGATGATGAAGATCAAGTGTTCACCTTGGCGAAAGGATCAGGGTCGTGGTTGTCTCATTTTGAAATGGATGGCGAAGTATTGTGGAGAATAGATGATCCCATCTAACCATGGAAGGAACCACCATACATACTGCCAAGCGACTCAATATTCAGAGAGGACAAAGCATTCATGTTGAAGGGAGATGATGAAGCAGCCTAGACGTAATTGTGATGTATTAATAATTTAAAGTTCTCGTAACAAGATTGAAGAGCTTGGAATAAAAGATTAAACTCTAAGAAAAAAGAGGAAGTGAGATATTTGATAAAATGTAAAGTAAGATTAATTCTAATCAATAATAAATTTTATTCCTTTTTTCTCATATTGTTTTCAGTTACTCTTTGCTTTTATAATTTGTAATTATAAATATAAATTAAATTGTAAATAAAATGGGTAATTGTGTGACCAACAGAACAAAAATATAAACAAATCTTGAGAAACCCCAAAAGTAGTATATTCACTAAGCTTTTGTGAGACAAACACTAACAAACCCAGAGTATAATATATTTTGAAAATTGTTAGATCTCGTAAATAGCTGTTGTTATTTGAAGACAATTTCATCGAGATGTTTGATGAAAGTCCGATATTGGGTTAGAGCATGTATTGGTTTTTGTTGGGTCTACAAAATAATGAATAAAAGGGCATTGAATATGAAACCATGCTCTAAATATCCGAAGTCTTTATTTTGGGCAAATCAGAAAATGAAGTTTTGAGATTACCAAATAGGGTCTCTCTAATTGTATTAATAGTCTCACAATTTGGTAATTTGAATATCTAGGATGCGATCAAATAATTTGCCTCCTTGGAAATTACGTATTTATAGACTGCAAAATGTATGCAAGTGTTTGTTAATATGATGTTAAGAAAACAGAATCCCAATGAATAACCTATCAAAGCATTTGTAGATGCAATTTTCTAGAAAGTTAATGGCAACGTTCCAATCTTGCAGTTAATCAAATTTTTTGATAATCACATGACACAGTTAGAGGAGATTGTCGAAGATTATTATTACAACAAATTCCTGGGAGAATAGAAATTATTTCGTAATCCCCAATTGCAACATCCCTCTCACATATTAAATCAAGAGTGGATAGCATTTATGTACTTGAGTTTCATGCACAAAGACAGTAACAAATTGGAACTTCTATACTCCACCAATGTTCATGAGAGGAACTTTGAGTTATTGTCTCATCTTCTGACTGAATGTTAAACAAGTGTGCTATTCTTAATCTAGTGTGAAGAGGGTAACCGAAAGTATGTTTTTGGAGCCTACACTAATTTTGAATGGAAAGATGATGCTTAGCCCAATGGCAGCAAAGAGGATTGTGTTTTTTAAATGATCCCTCAATTCAAAGTATACAAGACAAAAAACGACAAATTCACGAGATCATAGTATACCTACCTAAATTCCAAGAATTAAGAATTAAAATTGGGAATCGGATTTGGAGGAGAATTAGCTAAGGAATTTAGACTCTTTCTTAATTAAGATCTACTGAATGTGTAATGTAAAACACATGATAAAACCTATGAGCCTGGAGATCTAATGCTCTTGAAACAAGCCAAGGTCTCTATTCTAGAAGTTTGGACCATTCAGTAGATACAAGGTACGACATAATTTAAGGATCTGATTTATTAAAAGATAGATGAATAGATTGAATTAGAAGAGTTCGAAAATCCACTCGTTCATCTCGATGAGGATATCAGTTCCTACAGATCTGGTGATCATCCATCACTTAATGAATCGATTGATTAATTCAAACAGAAGGATTCATGCGATTGGGAAGGAGAGAGTTAGAATGGATTTGAAGAAGAGATCATCATAAGAGGGGATGGATTTGAAGAGGTGAAGAAAAATGAACAAGGATTTGAAGTCATCCCTTTGAATGAAGCTAGTGTATGTCAATTTAACTATATTTAATTTAGATCAATAAGAAAAGTACCAATGTACAAAACCCAGAAAAGATACCATAACCACCACAACAAGAAGACAATCAATTTGAAGAGGTTCTGATCAAAACAACTTAATCGATGGATTCTTCTGCACTTTAGATGGTGTACAATGTCGTTTCAGGAACCTTTGGATAAGTTGAATCAGATGATAAGTATATGTGTTATAAATCACAAGTTGGAATGGGGATAACTCAGATTGGAAAGGCAACGGATCCACCACAGCCAAACAAAGTCGAGTTCAATTAAGTAAGGATTTGGCTACAATCACTGAAGATCTTAAGGAATCTACCAATACACAATATTGATTATATTAAATAATATATATTTAATACTAAAGATTGTTAAATAAACTCATTTTACAGCTATTTGTTTTTAATAGGATGCCTAATAATCTTCATATTCTTGAATTAAGAATCCCCAATTTTTGGAGCTATTACTGTTAAAATGATTGTTTATTTGATTATCAGTGAAACATCTCATATTGTCTTAATAGTATTGAATTTCATTGAGTAACTTGTCAGTTTCTATTAAGAATTGGTATTCGTATTATTCATTAAATTTATTTAACTTATAAACATATTAATCTCTTTTTTCACATACATAGAATCTGTCTTTTGGGAACATAATCTCCTTAGCATATTTCAAATCAGTAAAACATTTATTTAAATCAACCTTGAGTTCTCATTCTTTATGTAAGCCCAATTTCTATAGATCCTCTAGATTCACTGTAAAATCACAAGCATACTTATTAAAAACAAATCTTCCTTTCTTTTTTCGAGGAGGTTGAATTCATTTGAATAGTTTTAGATAGTCCCAAAGAGATTTGTCTTTAATTAAGTTAATTGTTGTCTTAAGTTCTCGAAATTAACTAAAGTTATTAATAAGACATCCATGATTTATTTTGTTGATCTTAAGACAACTTCTTTTTAAGTTTGCTATCAAATAGTGGATTCAAATTACAAAATAGGATTTAATCACACATAATGGTTTTCCAAATTCTTGAGCTTCATTATATGATGGAAGAGATTGCATAATTATTAGATCATTTACATTGAATAACCAAGACTCTATTAACCCTTATAAGTGAATTCAGCAAATTATTCTAAGTATTTTTGTATGACATTGTAATTTCCTTGTTCTCCATTTAAATATCCTTAATACTCTTTTACTTCTGAATTATTTTACTTGTAAAATTTCTATTGAAATTGTTTTGAGTTGTTTTCATTTAAAAAGAATAAACTTAAAGAAATAGTTTTCACAATGGGTTTTTTATTGTAAATTTAAAGAAATACCTAAATAAGGTAAGGAGCATTACATTTAAGACTTTGACAACATTGTTTTGTTCCTTCATAAGAATATCATTGTCATAAATGTCATAGTAGGGAAAGGAAGGAATCTAAATAAGAGAATAGTTTTACAATGTACTCTGGAAATGCAGCTGAGAGTAGTTTCTGAGTTGGATAAAGTCCTGGAGAGTTCTCTTGACTTTCCGCTCCATAGGGAGAAGTTGAATTGGGAATACAATGGTTTTTGAAAAGAAATCTAGAATGCCACCTCCTTCTTGAATGGGACTTGATTGTTATGAGAATAAAAAACGGACTGATATCAAATTAGAGTTCGATGTTTTCATCTATGAAAAAATACATTTATTTGCAAGTAATAGTCTTTTCAAATGGAATCAAGGATATTGTATCAGTCTAGATATTGGAATGATGTACAATTCTGAAGGATTCCAAGGCTTATTTCTTGACAAATGTATCTCTATCTATAATTTGAAATTGATCAGGAATATCTGGAGAATCAAGTTCAACAGTTTGATATGAATCTGAGATTTACTGTTTTTCTGAGAATAATTAAAATGACGATATTCTCTTATTGATACAGTTGGAGGATTCCCAATAATTCTTCATATGTCCATTAAGTTAGATCCTGACCTAGAGAATAATGACCATTTTGAACTTTTGTTGGGTTCTTTGTGTAGAACAAAGCCTTCGATATCCTCTTGATTATAACCCTTGCTAATGATTTCATCGACTAATCACTATTACTCTTTGTAATTCATAATTAATAAATCAAAATCCATATTAAACTTTCTTGTCGTAGAATCTCTTATACACTTGACTATTGAATGTTATGGCTACAATTGCTGCCACGAAAGGAGTGCAAGTGAATACCCACAAAAATCCGAATCTTCCCCAAGAACCATCCTGAATGCATTCAAACAATTCCAAACTTGACCATATTCCAATTTGAATACCTAAAAGCGAATGCTGGATTGAAGAGTGATTATCCTTCAGATGACAAGACACGAGCAGCACCAAATCCTAGAGTGACCACAAGAGCATGTTCCAATTTATCATCAGAGAATTTCAAGTAATCATCCTCCTGCAATGCCAAGACCACCATAAATAAGACAGAGCCAATCGATTCGCCTTCCACTGACTATTTGCTTATTGAATATATTCTAATACTCCAAGTAGATTGTCACCAATTTTGGCATTCAAATAGGGTGCATTGGTGAAGTCTTCTAAGACGAAGAAACACACCATTGCACCCAAGAGACTGCCTCCGACTTAGCCAATAACATTAAACATAAACTCCTGGAATCCAATTCTAGCCATAAGTAAATCAATCAAGCTAACAGCAGGATTGAATACAGTTAGACGATCAGTCATGAGAATGCTTAAGAAGAATATGACTAAGATTGCCGTATTGTTCCCTGCTGATGCTAAAATGCCATAAGTAAAGAGGAAGGACCCAATAGAAGCAATTAGAGTTGATTTGATGATAGTTTATTTTTCCACATGTGTGCCAGACAATTGACCAACTGATGGAGATGATTCAAATCTTGTGTAAGCAGCTTAAGATTCCCCTTCCGCATTCACATCACTTTCGAACCTCTGCATGTTTATATATTATTTATAATAATTCCATAAAAACATAAATCAAAACCATCTTTTAACCCACTACTTGAGTTTCTCTTGTCCTCCAAACAAACTCTTCGAAATCGCAATCAATCTATCACATTTTGAATCGATCATTCCATTCTCATACACAATATCCTTCAATTTCTTAATAAATGGCTCGATTGAATCCTTGCACCCCAATTGCCAGAACAAAACGTTCAAATACTCAGCGAGACTACATCAAATATACAATTAAATAGTTACTCCGGGTTCACTATGCCAATGATAGTGGCTGTGAATGCAGGTATCAAATATCCATATAGATTGACTTCCCCAATTAGATGCTCAAAACTTCTGGAATATCTAATAGCAAATGGATCGTAAAGCACTAATTTCTGATTATTCACTTTGAATAGGTATTTTTTCTAAAAGAAATTGCCATTACTTAAATTTATATGCAAATTCTCCAACTGTTTTGGTGATTAACTACTGGCAATAGTAAAACCAAGAGCATATTAAACTCCAATGTTCGTAACAAGCATCTTCCTCAACACTATAAACGTGTCGAAAGTCTTTGCAAATTTCAAAATGTAATTGCTTAAGTCTTATTTTTATATGTATTTCTCACTCCTCTCCCTTAAATTATATATAATATTAAATTTACATGTAATAAGGTATTCTAACAGTGTTATCCTTTACATTGCTTTTGTGATAGTTAAGAGACACAATTAAATCGGAGATATTGCTTAAGTTATACGTTTCCTCTTAATATGGTTCTATCTAATACAGCTACTTCTCGTTCTCTAATAGATACTTCTCAATAAAACAATGTTTAATATTTCTGATTTTGGTTTCTTTGTAATTCTGATTCAATACGTTTGTTATTTTTAAAAATTAAGAAGTTGCCTACTCATCCAGTATGTTTTGGATAAACACTTTGTTTTCCACCTTCTTAGTTTTCAAAAGGAAGAAGTATTTCTTCTCATCATTTCCTAATAATGCAATCTGCCTGATTAGTCTCTTTCTCCTTAAGAACATTATGTTAATTGTTGGGAACATACTTGTAATATAGACATTGTCGACTGTTTAACTTCTCCTTATTTGTCTTTCAACACCCAGCATGGGTAATTAATTCATGGAAAATTCATCATTCAATGCATACAATTAACTTATTTGAATTTATTATGGAACAAGAGTATTCAACGCACTGCTCAACTATTGAGAAAAGTCTTCAGATTAATTAATCTGGAATCCAAAGAGTTTGCCGTAGATTAATTTTAATGAAGCAACATAGATGGATGATATTGCTTTTAATTAATCATTTTTTATCCATTTTTGAAGATCATTAACAGGGAAGAATTATTTCAAGTGCTCCTTTATTTAATGATATTTTTGTATTAAATTTACAATTTACAAACATTTCTCATTGACATTGACAGAATTCAATTCATAATATTTCTAATCTAACACTTTGCCACATAAATAAATTAACTCTTCCAGTATATCCCAAATAGATGAATCATACCTATTATTAAATAGATACTGTATCGAATAGATGCTCGCAAATTAATTACTCAATTTAGAAGAGTGTTAAAAGTGATCTACAAATTATTATGATCTATCATCAGTCAATAAGCAGAGACTTTTGAAATATTGGATTACTTGAAAATGGTTCAATGGATTGAACTTGCATAGGTTATCTATTTAATCCAAACAATCTTTTCTGACTTATTCTGAAGGACTCTTTAAAAATGTTGATATCAATTGAATTAGGAATCTCTACAATAGATGTAAGGGAATTAGCCCGATTGTTTATGAAAATGCATCAATAACAATAGAATCCGTGGGGTTGGTTATATTAAGTATATGAAACATATACATACCATTAATGGGGAACTTTTGGGGCTTGTATTAAATAGCGATGGAAGTGACCTGAATGTAATTTGATGCAAATTTAATGTTGTTGCTGTACTTCTTATGAGCTAATTGATAGACTTTTTAGACTTCTCTCCAGAATTTCAGATAACTGATTTGATTTTGTATGAAGTATTCATTTGATTGACTGACCATCTATTCCAATTTCGGTTCTTCAGTTGCCATATTTGATGCATTATCAAATTGTTGTTAATCTAATCTCAGCAATTTATAGGATTGATTAATCATTTTGTATCTTCTTATTTTACTAATCATATAGCCTTTGAATTCTTCTGAATTATAGGTTGTCATTTGTAAACTATCGAAATAAGTTAATAGGTCTGTCAAGGATTGACAATTCTAATCAATATCCTGGATTTTCATGGTTTTGAATTTGATTTTTTCTAATTGATAAACTTTCTCAGCGTACCCTAGGAGGTGCTTTGGAACTTCTTTCAATATAGTTTATTCATTAAACAATTCAAGAATTCCATTCTATTAGTAGTATCTAAGGGGATATAATATTGTTTTATAATCAAAAATAGATAATTGGAAGCTCTTCAAATCCAACTATGCAACTTGAGCTGTCTATTATGGTTATCCATTGATATATTGATTTAATTGGCCATTGAAACGATGTAGACACATCTACAGTTGAATCAGTCGTTAACTGATCAAATCGAATGTGAATTCATGTTAATCAATATTGGTTGGCTGTCTTTCAAATAGGTACTTTTTGCAGAACAAACTAGATTGATAACCATTCAATATTTGATCCAGAATCATATCCTGAGGGGCAGTCTATTATTAATTTGGATATCCTGGAACATTAATTGCATAGTGTCTAAGACTTTCCTCCAGTTCTGTATAGAGTTGGAATTGAGACACAAAGTTAAGGAATTTCTAACCCCAAAATTAAGGTGATGACATCATTTAATCATATGATTAACTCAATTTAGGCAATGTTTTGATGAAGTTATAGCAATTAATGATTTGTGCATATTTGAGATTTTGTTCAATTGGTTACAATACAGAACTTCCACCTCTGCCATGCTAACTCTATTGGGAATCATCTCTCACAAAGTCAAGTAAATTGAAGTAAGCTTGATTATAACAGAAGAGGTCGTTATATTGAATATTCTATTTCACTTCTGATAAGCCTTATAAATCCTTCCAACCTTAATTTGTTAATTCTTTCTGTCTCTCCCTGAATCCCATAATGATCTTATTTTAAAATGTCTACACCTTACTCAATTCAACATTCATCAAGGTATTCCATTGATTGAGTTATTGCAAGGATTCAGAAAACAATTGATGGATTATTTATTGATCATACTCCTTCTGAATCCCTTGAGCCTCGTGAGTTTCTTATTCTAATTGCAACCAAAATTGATCGACTTGCTCTTGGTTATTGAGTATCAATTAATATTATTGGGTTGGTTCCCTTAATTGATTCATCAGAACCAATTGTCTCACCCAAGGTTGAGTCGCAGAGAGACATTTGCACCCAGACAAACTCTACTTGTTCCATTGTTCTTAATAGACACCTTGCAATTACACCAGAATATCTTCATTTAAGATAGAATATTATTCACAATCTTCACTCAAATATTGAAGTATTTATTCTAATAGGTATTAGCATAGTGGCAATAGATTCTTTTAACGAAGACATGCGATTAGGTTATTGAAATTGTGATGAATTTATTGATGATCCAAAATTTAGTGGATATTCTTTAATTGATTTAGAATATCTTGAACCAAGTAATTAGATATCGTAGTCATTGTTCCATATGATAAAGATTGTTATTGAAGGTATTCTGTGAGTTGGGTGATTGTCTTGAGATCATTTCTGATAACCTGATTGAAGATTGGTCTTAGCAATCGACTGCTCACATTGGCTGCTGTGCCCATCAATTCTATTGCAGCACTTGGTATAATGCACTCTCTTAAAGGTTATTGGGGTTGATCTTAGAGAGGAATGTAAGACAAGTTATAAATGACAATCGAGGGTAAATACTCGCTGGTCACTAATTTCAAACTCGAATTATATAATTTTAGCCATTATTTCTTTCTATAATAGATGGCCAGATATTTATTGAGTACTTCTTCCCTCATTTTAGAATCCTCACTCTCAGCAACTAGTCTAACTGTGATTTTGTTTGCTTGCTAGAGTTGAAATTGTGTTGGCTATTGCAATTGACCTCTTCCCAGAATTAAAAATTTAATTGCCATCAACATAATCTCTTCTCCTTCAGTTTGCAAGGGTTGATCCTATTGTTTTGTGGTTTGATCTCCTATCAAAAATTATAAGAAACGATCGTAGGTGTATCCGTAGATGTCGAGGATCATCTTATAAAAAAATTGTTAATAGTCCAGACAAGTGCTTAACTTACTTATCACTTACAGAATACTTCTGAATTCCCTTAAGGAACTGCCATTCTTATCGAAGATGCTCTTGAGAAAATAGAACCCACTATTGATGGAGCCTTGTTGCTTTTTGAAGGGGTAGGCCAAAAGCAATTCGCAAAGGAACATAAAGTACACCTTTAGGACCTTTAAGTCCTATACCTTCCCATGATTATTATCATAACTATCAGAACTACGTTAATCAATCTTTTTATCGAACCAATTCTATAACTTACTGATATCAAAGAAGAAATTCAATTGAACCTCATATGGCATTTTTGATGGTTTGAATTATTAATTCTCTTCCATCTTCTCTAATTCCAATCTCACCTACTAACTTCTGATTGGAGACAGATGAGTTGAAATTGCCTGCAAGTAGCCTTCCTTATTTGATATACCATTTATGAAGAGAAGACGCATAATTGCTATGCATTCCAATTTGAGTTCATAATCAGGTACTGATTCAATTATCAATATCAACAATTACAAGAATTCTATTTGTTCTTTCTGATCCTTGATCTCATCAAAATTATAAGCCATCATTTTTATTGTCTTTTGCAAAGCAGATCTATGTAAATGAAACTTAATTTTTTAATTCTCTGGGAAATCCTCTGGGAAATACAGTATCTCATCACTCTTAATTATCCCAAATGGAAAATCATCAGCCATCTCTGCAAAATCCGCTATAT